CAGAAGCAGCAGAAGCAGCAGAAGCAGCAGAAGCAGCAGAAGCAACAGAAGCAACAGAAGCAACAGAAGCAACAGAAGAAACAGCAGCAACACCAGCAGAAGCAACAGCAACAGCAACAGCAGCAACAGACACAGCAACAGCAACAGCAACAGCAACAGCAACAGCAACAACAACAACAACAACAACAACAACAACAACAACAACAACAACAACAACAACAGCAACAGCAACAGCAACAGCAACAGCAACAGCAACAGCAACAGCAACAGCAACAGCAACAGCAGCATCAACAACAACAACAACAACAACAACAGCAACAGCAACAGCAACAGCAACAGCAACAGCAACAGCAACAGAAGCAACAGAAGCAACAGAAGCAACAGAAGCAACAGAAGCAACAGCAGCAACAGCAGCAACAGCAACAGCAACAGCAACAGCAACAGCAACAAGAACAACAACAACGACAACAACAACAACAACAACAACAACAGCAACAGCAACAGCAACAGCAACAGCAACAGCAACAGCAACAGCAACAGCAACAGCAACAGCAACAGCAACAGCAACAGCAACAGCAGCAGCAACAGCAGCAGCAGCAGCAACAGCAACAGCAACAGCAACAGCAACAGCAACAGCAACAGCAACAGCAACAGCAACAGCAACAGCAGCAGCAGCAGCAGCGGCAGCAGCAACAGCAACAGCAACAGCAACAGCAACAGCAACAGCAACAGCAACGGCAACGGCAACAGCAACAGCAACAGCAACAGCAGAAGCAACAGAAGCAACAGAAGCAACAGAAGAAACAGCAGCAACAGCAGCAGAAGCAACAGCAACAGCAACAGCAACAACAACAACAACAGCAACAGCAACAGCAACAGCAACAGCACCAGCACCAGCAACAGCAACAGCAGAAGCAGCAGAAGCAGCAGAAGCAGCAGAAGCAACAGAAGCAACAGAAGCAACAGAAGCAACAGAAGCAACAGCAGCAACAGCAGCAGAAGCAACAGCAACAGCAACAGCAACAACAACAACAACAACAACAACAACAAGAACAACAGCAACAGCAACAGCAACAGCAACAGCAGAAGCAACAGAAGCAACAGAAGCAACAGCAGCAACAGCAGCAGAAGCAACAGCAACAGCAACAGCAACAGCAACAGCAACAGCAACAACAGCAACAACAACAACAACAACAACAACAACAACAACAACAACAACAACAACAACAACAGCAACAGCAACAGCAACAGCAACAGCAACAGCAACAGCAACAGCAACAGCAACAGCAACAGCAACAGCAACAGCAACAGCAACAGCAGAAGCAGCAGAAGCAGCAGAAGCAGCAGAAGCAGCAGAAGCAGCAGAAGCAACAGAAGCAACAGAAGCAACAGCAGCAGAAGCAACAGCAACAGCAACAGCAGCAGAAGCAACAGCAACAGCAACAGCAACAGCAACAGCAACAGCAACAGCAACAACAACAACAACAACAACAACAACAACAACAACAACAACAACAACAACAACAACAACAACAGCAACAGCAACAGCAACAGCAACAGCAACAGCAACAGCACAACAACAACAACAACAACAAACAACACAACAACAACAACAACAACAACAACAACAACAACAACAACAACAACAACAACAGCAAACAGCAACAGCAACAGCAACAGCAACAGCAACAGCAGCAGAAGCAGCAGAAGCAGCAGAAGCAGCAGAAGCAGCAGAAGCAGCAGAAGCAGCAGAAGCAACAGAAGCAACAGAAGCAACAGAAGCAACATAAGCAACAGCAGCAACAGCAGCAGAAGCAACAGCAACAACAACAACAACAACAACAACAACAACAACAACAACAACAACAACAACAACAACAACAACAACAACAACAACAACAACAACAACAACAACAACAGCAACAGCAACAGCAACAGCAACAGCAACAGCAACAGCAACAGCAACAGCAACAGCAACAGCAACAGCAACAGCAGAAGCAGCAGAAGCAGCAGAAGCAGCAGAAGCAGCAGAAGCAGCAGAAGCAGCAGAAGCAGCAGAAGCAACAGAAGCAACAGAAGCAACAGCAGCAACAGCAGCAGAAGCAACAGCAACAACACCCCAGTCTCTGCACGTTGACCCTCGACTCGCATCGACTTCCTGAAAGTTCCAGAGCGCCCAGCGCTGGCTCCAGGTGCCAGGGGAGAATGCCAAGCGACGTGCCATCAGCCACGCGCCTGCGAAACTGAAGGCACCCCAAGGAGGGGGTGGTTGGGGGGTGGGAGAGGGGGGTGGGAGGGGGGGGGTGGCGGGTGGGAGGGAATGGGGGTGGTTGGGGCAAATTGAGCGTCAGGGTACCATTTGCTTGGTCCGGGTACATAGCCAAGTCCCTGCTGAGAGCCATTGAATTATAACATGGGCACTTCGACAGTCATGCCTCTCCTTCCTCCCTTTTTCTGTCTATTTCGGTGTTGTCGCATCGTAAAGGGTTAAATACTCCGTGCCCCAGCCGGCCGGTTTTCAAAGCCCCAGCCGGCCGATTTTTAACAACCGGCCGACTTCCAAAAAAACCTGAGCCTTCAAGCCCACACCTATTGTAGGCCCTTCAAGCCCACACCTATTGTAGGCCTTAACAAAGAATAAGACAAAACCAAACTCCTGATGCAGTGGTTGGATGCCAAGTCACACCCACCAAAGTGAATCACTAAGTTCATTGCCCCACAACGCCCTGGATCCATCAAGAGAATACATAGCTTACTGATGCTTCTAAGCCACGGTCCAGAGGTTGGAGTCCCCGGGTGTGCCAAACCGAGCTGAGCTGATGGATCTTGTTGGTTTCCTCCAGGCCTATGGCTTGCAAAAGGTCTGTGAAGTGACGTGCCAATGCCTGTTTTTGAGGCCATTTAAGCCATCCATTTGCTGGGTGCTGGTGTATATTACGTATATAATATATACATATATTTGCTTTATCGCACACCGCTTCTGCAGAGCGGAATTGACACCTCGTAGACTGCAACTCTGTTCCGTCGCTACCACTTACCTAAAGAAGCAAGACCGTATGATGGCTCTTTGGGACCAATCCCGGGATCTGCACCAGTTGGGATTTGTGGGTGTATCCCCAAAAAAATGTAGGGCATCCTTGCTAGAGTATTGGCTCGGAAGCCCAATAAATTAACCGATTTGCCTAAAAGAAACCAGCCACGCTCGTTTTGGCTTCAAAGGGTTCCCGGCCCCCCAATTCCCAATAGGGGCTAATAGCGACTAATAAGGCCTATGAGGTGTTTTGTTTTTTGTTTTTTCTCTTTGGGGGGGGCCCTGACAACCATGAGAAGGACGGTTTCCCTCGCATAGCTATACAGGTAACTGAGCTTTTCGCTACTTGCCTGGGCGAGCCGCGCATGCGGCCTCTGCAGATCCCGATGTTCCGAATCCGTAGTCCGGACACGAAACGGGAAACCACCACCATCTGGCCATGGGTCAAAATCCCATACCCCCAGTGAAGATCCCAATTCCCACTAAAACAGACTAAAATGTGTGGTGCACCTACCCCCCCAAAATGGTACGATTGTTTTTGAACAATGGTTTGAAGATAGGATCTGGCGGATTCGTGAACAACCCAGACAAATGCAACACGCTGTGGAACAAATCCTTCTGCTTCTGGCTGTTGCGGCTCCAGCTAGTCCAAAATGTGCTTGCGACACAAGAACGCACAAGCAGCCGATGACCAAAAAGATGACCGAATGACCAAAGAACCCGTACATCCTAACAACACAACCACACCAAACTAAAAACAGACATAACACATGAGTACAGGCTACACGCGCATCTCACGACAAGGGTGCGGAGAATGCGCGGTGTCCCTCTTGACTTTCTGTGCAATAGCCACGCACTCAGATAACTGCAACTGTGGGACGAATTGCCCATCTTATCTGAAGTTGAGATTCCTTTTCTTTACACACAAGCAAGACCGTCCAATTTCACCTGACCTCCAACAGAACCTTCCACGAGCTTCAGGACCAAATTTCCCAGCCCTACATCAAGGGACGCCAAAAGAAACCATCAGAGCCAATGTCGACCACGACTTCTTTGCGAGGTCTCGTTGCAGTACCTGGAGCCTCCTTCTCACCCGAATCAAAAACATGGGGGGCCTGGCACTCCAAATGCCATGTTCGGGCCATTCCGGGTCGGCCCCCAACAAAATGCACACCATGTCCTAGCTTCGAAAAGGCCCTGGTCTCCTTAGCCTTGCACCATGCTCTCTCTAACCTGCAGTGAATGGCTAAGAGTTTTCCTTTCGTAGCAGGCGGCTCTCCCCCAACATGTGGCAGTTGTCACACTCTGACTCGGGCTGCTCGATTTCAACAGGATCACAGCGGTATCAAGCCAAGGGCACGGGATCGAAGCTGATTTGCCGTGAAAAGTGGCGAGCTTTTCGCGGGTGAAATGGAAACCCCACCACGAAACCAACTCAAAAGCAAGGCGAAGGAACCGGATGGCTGGAAGCGAAACATCAACGGCCACGACTCCTTTTTGGGTGACCCAGGGCCCATCCTGCCGGAAGAGCGCTTCACTCAGCTGCTCCACATACCTCGGGTCACCCGAGCCGTTGTTTTGGCTTCAACCAAAATCACTGGATGTCCCAAAAGAGATATGCGGCTTCAGGTGAAAAAAACAAAGCCAACCATGGGTAAAGTAATGTTGATGGTTTTTGGGAGATAAAATGATATTGATGGTTTTTTTGGGGACTTTCTCTTTGAATTCCCATGGTGAATTGCAAATGAGTGAGACGTTTGAGGGTGATTCTGAGCACATTTTAAGCAAGAAAGGTGCACAGGGGAACCTTCCTCAGGCATAAAGCTTAGTTTACAGGAAAACCAAAATACCAAAAAAAAGGAAGCCATTTTAAGGTCGCCTATTTTGACACACATAGCCACATGATGCCAGCAACAAATACTCAACTGTGATGAAGGTGTGCTGAATGCCGCTTGTTGCAGAGCTAGTTTCAAGCCATCTCTGAATGTTGCCCTTGTCCAGCACAGCGCACCTTTTTCCCCCAGGAGTCCTGCCACCAAGAATTTCGGTCCCCGGCATCTTTGTGCCAGTCTTTCCCCCAGTCGCTTTTCTCTTTCCACCCACTCCAATCGTCCCAGCTCCGTGCCTCCCATTTCCGCTTCTCGGGCCTTCCCTCGCCCTTCGGCTTCCATTTCTCATCGCTCTCCCCGTTCGAGCCCTGCCCGTTCTTCGAGACCTGCCCGTTCTTCGAGCCCTCCTCGTTCTTCGAGCCCTCCCCGTTCTTCGAGCCTGAGCCGGGCAAGCATGCTGATCCAAAATAAATGGGCGCATCATTGAAGTCCTGTGATTGAAGATTGGGTTCTTAAACAGAGGCTGGTGTGGCCAGCAAAAGTGAAAACACCGGCAACCACCAAGTTCACCACAATGAATGAATGATTGAATGAATGAAAGAATGAATGAATGAATGAGTGAATGAGTGAATGAGTGAATGAGTGAATGAGTGAATGAGTGAATGAGTGAATGAGCGAATGAGTGAATGAGTGAATGAGTGAATGAGTGAATGAGTGAATGAGTGAATGAGTGAATGAGTGAATGAGTGAATGAGTGAATGAGTGAATGAGTGAATGAGTGAATGAGTGAATGAATGAATGAATGAATGAATGAATGAACGAACGAATGAAATGAAATGAAATGAAATGAAATGAAATGAAATGAAATGACATGAAATGAATGAAATGAATGAAATCAATGAAAATAATGAAATGGATGAAATGATGAAATGAATGAAATGGAAGAAATGGAAGAAATGGAAGAACTGGAAGAAATGGAAGAAATGGAGGAAATGAAAGAAATGGAAGAAATGGAATGCATGAATGAATGAATGAATGAATGAATGAATGAATGAATGAATGAATGAATGAATGAATCAAGTAAGCAATCAATCAATCAATCAATCAATCAATCAATCAATCAATCAATCAATCAGTCAACCCATCCATGCAGCCATCCATGCAACCATCCATCCATCCGTCCGTCCATCCGTCCGTCCATCCACCCATCCATTAAATCGATCAGTCAGCCAATCAATCAAACAATCATCCATTCGATAACCCGTCGATCCGCAAGTCGGTCGGTCCATCATGCAATGAAACATTCAATCAAGAAAGCAATTAATCCGAGCAGTCAGTCAGCAAGCCAATTAATTCATATGAAACTAAGATCAATTGGCCAATCAATCAATGATCCAATAAAAATTACAATAAAAGGAAAAACAAAAGAAAACAATCATTCAACCAATCAATTCAATACGAAACAATCAATACATAAGTACATCAATCAAACAGCAAATCAATTAACCTACCAACCAACCAACCAACCAACCAACCAACCAACCAAGCAAGCAAGCAAGCAAGCAAGCAAGCAAGCAACCGAGCCAGCAACCAATCAATCAATCAACAAATACAAAACGACACAATCCAAATCAATCAATCAATCAATCAATCAATCAATCAATACATAAATCAAACCAGCAACCAATCAACCAATCAACCAATCAATCAATCAATCAATAAATAAATAAATAAAAAAAAATATTAAACAAAAAAGCAATCAATCAAATCAATCAATCAAATCAATCAATCAAATCACATCAATCAATCAGTTCAGTTCAATTCAATTCAATTCAATTCCATTCAGTTTCAATTGAATTCAAACTCACATTCAATTCAATTCAATCTCAAATTCAATTCAATTCAATTCAATGCAATTCAATTCAATTCAATTCAATCAATCAATCAATCAATCAATCAATCAATCAATCAATCAAATCAATCAATCAGCCAACAAAGCACTATGCAGGACTGAGTCCACCCCCCAAGAAGAAACACAACAAACCAAAGCATACAACAATTGACCCAGCTGGCAGGCAAACAAACACAACATCTTAACCTCGAACTCCGAAAACTTCTCCGACATCTCATGGACTCCGAAGCTTCGCCGGACGAACAAAAACTAAACAACTGGGTCCTCCAGCGCAAAGGTTAGAATGAAGGGAACTAACTTTTTTGATGTTTGTCTTTTTTAGGTAGGGGAACCCTCCCAAACAAAAAAGCAGCGGTGAGCAAGGGCACCTAGCTGGGGGACCTAGAACTGTTGCATGCCAGGAGAATCGATCCCAAAACTAGGGTTCTGGAGAGGTTAGAATAAGGGTACCCTTTTCTTCTGTAGTCTATTTTAGCAAAGAAGCAACGGTCAAAGGGCACCTAGCTGGGGGACCTAGAATTGGTTGCAGGAAAATCGATCCCAAAACTGGGGTTCTCCGGGAAGAACCAAAACAGGGGTTAAAAAAGGGCACCTAGCCGGGGGACCTGGAAAAAAATGCCGCCCGCGCCTGGGTCGCCGAAGGCGGCCATGTGAGCGTCCACGGAGGTGAGCTCCAGCCCAAGCTCCGCCTCCTCCACCGCCCGGCGCACCGTGCCCTTCCTGAGGCGCGAGCGACTCGAGACCCACTTGGGTGCTGTAGATCCCCCGGCAAATTGTTTTTCTCACTTTTTGCTGGTAAAAAGGAAACATGAAGGGAATCCAAGAAGCTAAAGTCTAAAGATCCAACCCAATAGCGGTAGAGACAAAACGCGGGCACATGGGGGTGGAGCGGGTCCGTGTGGGATGACCATTGGAGAAAACCACTAGAGAAATGAGAATCGCCACTAAATGGGCAAGGTGATGGGTCCGTGATAAAACCACTAGAAAACCATTAAAAACCATGCCGCAACCCCCAAATGGTTAATCAACCCCCATGTGCCAAATGATCCAGCAAATAGGGGTCTAGTGGCTTTTCTCCGTGATACGTGGGATGACCATTGGTTGGAACACCACTGGGAAGATGATTTCATCCCCACGAAATGGATCAAAGTTAGCCATGGTCAAAACTGGGGGCCGAAGGGAATCTGAAGCAACCCCCATGACATGCCCCTGGGGCGTGGCGCTCTACGTGTTTGAGGTCAAAGGTTTGTTTAAAGGGAAGCCTTAAGGGAAACAACCGCAGCCGGGGGCGATTTTTGGGGCGATCTTTAGGGCCCCGCAGCGAGCTGGCTGTGAAAATGAGGCAAAAACCAGCAGCTGGATCGCCAGGTGCTGTTTTTGTTTCCATCTACTTTGCCCCAAAACCAGCAACAGTGATTGAAAAAACACAGCAACTTGGCTATCTGGGACAACCATTTGCAAAGTCAATTGAAAGTTGAAATAAGAAACATTCCCAAAACTAACTGCAGTCTACATCATCGCAAGCTCGTTTTGCAGGTGAGCTCGTCATAAACTGGCGGAAATTTGCTTCCTGGGTTCAAGCATCGAGTTGCATGATGAGGAACAATTCGTAAAATGAACTAGCCGACGCCCTCTGATCAACCAGCACGAACCAATAATGTTCAAACAACCTGCCTTACACGGGTCCCTCGTGCTCAATGGCTTCTTTCCGGCCGTCCCTTCACCTTACCCCTGATCGCCCTTTCGTTGCATCCGGTTCACATTCAATGTTCGAGGCTCGACTTGAAGATATTGGGGCGTTCGGCTTTTCCTTGTTTGACTAATTTCCACCAGCGGCCTCAGGGGAACGGAGCCCTCAAAAGGTGTGGCTCAAAAATAGGAACCGGATTTCCCGCAATGGGCCCGGTAAATAAAATAGACTAAAGCCTGCGGTCCATGGCAGGAAGAGATTTTGAGCCACACCTCGTTCTTGTTACCTCCATTGATGGCAACCCACCGAGGCAGCGTTGCGAACTGGGTAGGGTCGAGTCTTAACCTTCCCCAGGAAATTTGATGGGTGTCCAAAGAGGGAACCTTTCTTTGGATTGAGTCTCAGAGACCGCTGCTGCGGGTACATTCCCATCTTTCAAGATGAAGCAACGAGGAAGTTAGGGTCCAAGTCTCCAGACTTCTTGGTTGGTCCACTGTGGGATGGAACAACATATCGATATGTTTGCAGGAACACAGTGTCCAAAGCAAGAAAGGAAAGGCATTCAAAACAAGGGCCTCGAGCCTCGGCCGCATCTCCGTTGGGAAAACAGGGGCTCCAAGGGTCAGAAAATCCCACGCTCCATTGTCTCCGAGCTTCTTGGCCCCCCCCTGGCGCTCGGTGCACTCCAGCCACTTCCTGGCCATCAAGACGCGGAGTGACAAAGGGTGACCACATCTTTGGGTGACCCCATGTGGGTGTGGCTTAAAATTAAAGAGCTACGGTTACGCAGGTTTTAGTCTTTGGTTCCATTTGCCCAGGTGCCATGTTGGAACCACTTTTTTGAGCCACAGCCATGTTGCTGAGGGAATGTGGCAATGAGCCGCTTCGGGAGGCCGGAAGAAAGGGAACCACAGGGCATGGCTTGTAAGATTCATTCCATCATTCCCTGCTGAGTATCAGCAAGTTTTCTATAGCTCATGGAGACTCCAAGTACTTCACCTGCTCGACCCTCGATTCGGTGTCCGACTATCACCAACCGGAAAAAAAAGAAGAGTTTTTTGGAACAAGATGCAAACGAGGGTGAGGTCGCAAAACCCGTCGCGAGGTGCCTCCAGCAAGCGCTTGGTGCTTGCTTCGTTCTTTTGCGGTGGGTTTGGGTGACGACACCCGCGCTGTGGATGGCTCAAAGGAGGAGGGCTGTCAAGGCGTTCTTGTATATTGCCATGAGCTGGGACCGCGAAACACCGATGCGCATCCTGGAAAAGAGCCTCCAAAGGCTGTTCCGTTTGCCTTTTCTTTGCCCGCACAGAGACGAAACACCTGCTGACATTGTACTCTCGCGTGTGAAAAGCCCTGGAGGGTGCTTCCCTGGAAAACCAACGAGCAAGCTAGCAGGTGCAAGCGGGGTCTCTTCCAGAAACCTAGATTTGAGGCTGCTTGCTTTGCTGCAAATCAACGGGCAACCGCCGATTTTGAGGGCTCCCCCACTATCGCTCCGAATTCCCTTCACCTGCCTCCAATGCTCGTCCTTGCAAAGGGTGGCAGCATTGCCCACCACAACCTTGGCGCGGCTTTTGGGTCTCTTGGGAGCGAAACAAACAACGGCCGCCCAAGACCCTCGAAATTTTGGAACTCTTCATGGCGCAACCACTTTCCCCATGAGGTCTTGGGCCAGCCTCACAAGGCTGTGCTAAGGCTGGCACATTCCTGGGCTTATGTTACAGGTTCTGCGTCCCTCATGGTCATGCTACACCCCTGTGGGGGGTTGTGGGGCTTGGTTGAGGATTGATTTAGGCTTGGTTTCTGTGTCCCAAATTTAGATCGCCCGTTTGGCACTCGAAGGAACCGCCCTTCTTTCCATCCGTGGTTCTTCACATCCCATTTTTTGGCTCAAAAGTGCTACCTGTCCGGAGATGGGCATCGACCTTATTGTTTACTCACATGGTCCGCTAGGGGAAGGAACCCCGCCCACCTTTCAGGTCAAACCTCTTTCCAAATTCGAAATGCATTGTGTCACCCCCCAAAAGATGCCCTGTGGGGTTTCCTTTTCACCCTGGTGAAAAGCATACCCCTGGCGTTCCTTTCCCCGCAAAAGAATGGCAAGGACCCAATTTGGATGAAGAACATCCTTAGGTATAGCATGGTTATCGGTTATCTTAACCCAACTATTGTAATGGTGGCAACTGAATGCCAGGGATACGGACTCGAGCAAGAAAACTTGCTGGTGCCCAGCAGGGAATGCGAAATGGAATGACCTCTACAAACCATCCCCGATGGCTTCCTTTAAGGGAATCCCGACTTTTTTCCTTCCCTCATTCCCAACCACAAAGAACATGTTTTTGCATCGCCTGCTGCCCAAGAAAACCAAATAAGCCTGGATGGTATCCCCACCCCCTGAATCCTCCTTTTGAACCTCCCTGAAAGCTGCCCCAAACCACCCCAGAGCCTATCTGGGGAAAAAAGAAAAGACAAAAACCACAAAAACCTGTTTTTTCATTGCCTGCTGCCCCAACAAAACCACAAAAACAAAAACAAAAACAAAAAAGGCGAGACCGCCTGGCTGCCGAGGGGCCAAAGCGCGCCGGGCGCGGGTGATCATCACGTTCAAGCGCCGCCAGTCCTTGAGGAAGCCCACGGAGCCCCAGGTGTTGCACCGCACCGCCGAGAAGATGATCACCTGGACTGGACACATCTCGGCTGGCTGCTGCGATTGTGTTTTTTTTGGGGGGGGTTGAGGGGAGGAGTTGAGGGGGGGAGGGGAGGGGGGGCGAAACCGGCTTCTTTTGTGGCTTTCACAAGGATAGGCAGGTATGGACATGTGCATGATGCACGCCTCCGCTGTTTGTGCTTCATGTTTTTTTCTTGTGGGGGGGGGGGGGCAGGGGACCCATGTTTTTGTTTGTGGCTTCGGGATATGGACTGAACATCTGCGTGGCTCCTTATTTTTTTGTTTCGAGGGCACCCACCTTTTTGTTGTGGCGTTCAAGGGAGACCAAGAAGGAAACACACCCTTGCGCCATCTGTTTAGCGGGTCGGTTCTTAACAAACAAAAAGTAACCTCGGAACAAGGACACCCCCATTTGCGGGGCCACGTCTACAGAAAACATGCGAACATACGTTCCGTGATAGATTTCCTTAAAAACAAACAGGGGGAACTAAGACACAACAAATTCTGAAGCAATTGGAAGAGCGGAATCTCCCAATTTTCCAAGGCCTCTAAGCCCCAACAGCGGCGTTTTTCTACAGTGGGCGGTAGGAATGACCCCGAAAAGTGTTTCTCAGGGTGATTCTGCGTGCTATGGGAGCAAACTTGGCTCCGACTCGCGGAGCCGTTCAAAGGGGAGATGAAGGTGGTGGTCTTCCATCTGCTTATTCGCCCCCCTGGACAAAAACACATAGCTCCACTAGTGATAGATTCCCAACACCGAGAGGAACAAACAGGTCTGAAGCAAACGGTGGTTCGGGGTCTCCCATTTGCCCACAAGGGGTTTCAATCCCCAACCCAGGGGTTCCCTGACAGGCCAAGTCTCCCCAGCGCTTTTGAACCGAAATCTGCTCACCCCAAAGCCGATCTGAGAGAAATCCAGAGCTTCCTGATGCAAAAATTGGAAAAATGTTAAACAAGAGGCATAAGCAGAGTCTGGTAATTCACACAGGCCTTTGGAATGAGCTTCGGAGTCCCTACCTTCCCTGACCAGCGAGCGGTCTCCGGAAAAACATCAAAATGAATGCATGGACCCTCGAACTCATGGCAAAAACAACATATCTGAAGAAAATAGATCATCCTTTTTGAGCATATCATCTTCTATTTTTTGCGGATGTAGACCTGGGGGGGGGGGGGGTTGAGACAACAAGGCCTCCGGCCAAACCCATCGCAAGACTCGGAGATAGGAGACCTCTTCCGCAGCGCTGTGACTTGCCCGCCTCCTTCTCCCTGCCCTGGAAGTTGTCCACCTCAGCCCAGTGGATTTCCACGGGGCGCCCTTTTCTTGGAGCTTGGTTTTAAAGGCCACGCCGTGCCCCACATGTTTTTCAAAAACTGGCGCTCTACCAGTTTGTTGGGTGGTTGAACATCTCAAGAGAAAACAACAACAACAGAAAAACAAACAACAAGCTGGTAAAATTCAATAGAAACTCTCCCCCCCCTCCCCTCCCCCCCCCCAAAAGCAAAAACAACTGCAAAAGTGCCAGGTGCTGGCAGGGCCGCTGAAGCAATCTCCAGTTTGAAGATCTCCTCGTCCGCGAGGCCCGCCCCCAGCGCCAGCGCGTCTTTGCTTTGGAGCAGCTTTCGCAAGACCCGGACCTCACCGGCCCGCGTCCAAACCGGGCGCAGAAGCTGGGGGCTTTGCTGGAACGGTGCAAGCCCAACAGTGCGGGACGCGTGTTTGTGGCTCCCTTCAGTTCCCCACGTGCCCGATTTAAACCCATGGAGGTCCAGTTTCTTGGGAGTTGTTGGGGTTTCTTGGGGTTGCTTAGGGAGCTTTGGCAAATAGCAATCCCTCAAACTCGGCGAAATCGCATTTCTTACCGGCCTCCTGGTAGAACCTGAGACGGCCTAATTTAATTGTATATATATATATATATATAATAATATATAGACATTCTATATACACATCTCTGATAACATGTATACACATTACATTTTTATAGCATTATATTATGTAGACAATATACATATATATATATATATTGTACAAACATGTGTATATATATATAATATCAATGTATGGAACAAGTGGACCGTTTGCATTTTCAGCAGGATCATGGGAGAGTGTGTTGCTCATGTGTACATCTCACGGAGCTCGCCCACCGGTTCCATTTGTGCAATTGAGCATCCGACCCGTCCGATCGTCCAACCAAAAAGCGAAGTTCTGCGAATCGAAAAGGCGCAAGTGGTGAACCGCCGGAAGAAAAAGGGGCTCGTATGGGCTCGTCACATGCTTCAAAGATCACCTTGCAAAACAACGCATATTTTCGGTAAATGACGACCACCTGCAAGAGAAAGAAATAACAAAGGCCCCGCTTGAGGTACAACTCTGGTTCGCCCAATTAACACGTAATTTCCCCCAATATCGGGCTTTATCCATCCCAACTGTTGCGTGCCCTGGACTGTCTTTGGAATTCCTGGCTTACACCGAATCGTCTTTTTCCAAAAACCTCAGGACGCGCGCAAATCAACAAAATCCCCAGACGTCCACCGTACCCCCGTTCCCCCCCCCCCACGAGGACCCGAAAACCCGAAGACCCGAGGACCCGAGGACCGACCCGAACGACGGCCTGGCCCTTGTAGGGCGTCACCACCCCGATCTCCGTCAGGGGCACCTCCTTGCGGTCCAGCAAGCCCTGCACCAGGTCCTCCCGACCGCCCACGGGGGAAAAAAAAAAACCACAGGGCATGGGCAAAAAACGCAGGGCGATGGGAAGACACATTTCACACAAGGGCCAGAAGAAAAAGAGGGAAAGAGCAGCAGGGAGGCCATGGGGAAAACCAAAAGCGGAAGAAAAAGAGGGAAAACAAAAAGCATGAGGCCATGGCAGGTAACTTTTGTCTTCTTCTTTCTTGTAGGTGGTTTATGTACATCAATCAGAAAGAACCCTCCCAGTTGGGGAATGGAGATCTCCATTCGGAGATCAAACGTCAAAAAGGTCACTTTTTGAGGTCTCAAGATTCCTAGGGCTTCTGACTTGTTTGGGGGGGGGAAACGTGTTTTTTTGGGCTGGGGCAATTTCAGTTTGGAAATGGTGTTTGCTATGCCTGGCCGCGTTTTGTGGTGGGTGCATCCCAAAACCTGCGTTCTATCTAGAATTATGTATGCATGCTGATTGTTTACGTTGTGCTCGTGATTTGTTGTTTGGAATGGTGTTTGATATGCCTGGCCGCGTTTTGTGGTGGGTGCATCCCAAAACCTGCGTTCTATCTAGAATTATGTATGCATGCTGTTTGTTTGCGTTGTGCTCGTGGTTTGTTGCTCTTTGGGCTGGTTTATTTTTGGTACTCTGGCAAAAGAAGGGAACCATTCTGTTTGGGGCCGAACTTTCTTTGATGGGAAGGGATGGAAAGGGTGCCTGCGTCAGAGGAAATTGTCGTCCATGTTGGTCCGGTCGCCTATGTCAGTTGGAGACGTCGCCTACGTCTGTTGGAGCCGTCAACTCACGAGCCAGGACGGTGCACATCTACTAAAGCCTTGGTACCACTCACATACTGCCATCCCGTCCAGGGTATGTTCCCGGGAATTTGTGGCTTCCTAATGGCTAGTCACTTTTTGGGGAGTGAGATTTGGTTGAAGGAAGGGTTGTTTTGATATGTTTTGATAGCGTGATTCAGTTGTGCCAAGAACCGTAGGGGGGAGGTGTCGGGCTGGATGGCGAAATGTGATCTCTAGTGGGGGCCCCTTGCGTAACCCAAGGAAAGGATTCAGACTTGCCTTTGAACAGCCTTGTTCGGGGCTTTCAATACCTAGGTCCTCCAGTAGAGAGGTTAGAATAAGGGTGCCCTTTTTTCTGAAGTCCATTTTAGTAGGGGGACCCAACCAACCAAAAAAGGGGTGAGAAAGGGCACTTAGGTGGGGGACCTAGACATGGCCCTGGGTTCATGAGGCAGTCCTTCACTACCAGCGCCTCCGCCATGTTGGCTTTGGACTCACCCTGAACGCTCCGGCAAAAGAAAAAGGCGAGGCCCGGTCGAATGGCTAAGGGTGTGGTTTGATCGTGTTTGAAAAGAGGGTCTAGACAAACATCCACAGACCAGGGCACCCCAACGGCAATCAAACTGCATGTTTTTCGTCACCTGAATCGGTTTCAAGTCTTGGGTGGGCTAGTTCACAGCCGGGCTGTGGTACTCATCCCTTTTGACTTCCTTCTGGGTATCGACAACTTTTGGGCCTAGGCAGTTGGGTCAGAGCGAAAGAAAGGCCCAGCGTCTCGCACGGGAAGTGACCCTTTCACGATGCTTCTCCTTGCAGGCTTGAGGGTAGAAAGTTGGCCCAGCTACTTCCAGTTGCTGAAGTCCACTGGCAAAACTAAATGTGGCAGTGGGTCAAAAACATGCACCGGTAAATGGAAACATGGATTCAACCTGTGGTCCCATGGTGGTTTAATCTTGACCCACAGCCATATGTCTAGTAATTAGTGCTAGGTTCCCTTTGAAAACAACAAGGGAAACTCAAACGTTCTCTTGAGCAAATGGAAGTTACTCGGAAATCGGCAACCAATTCGATCTCAGTACACCTGCTGGATGGCCTTCCGATACAGAACCCTTCCACGGCGAAAAAACAAATGGGAGCCCCTATGGCAACACCATGTTTTTGGGGCTCTCGCGGTTTTCCCGGGTCGAAACCCAAACCCTGGACACCCAAACCCAAGCGAAGAAGGGCACTTTTACACACCCAATGGATTCCCCAAGAGTCCTTGGGGCAAATGTCGGTGAACAATCTGACATCCGTCGCTCTCTCTCTGGTTCCAGCCATGTAGTTCGTGTTTGCCCACAAAGCCAGCTAGTTCTGCTCTGAGACCGGTTTCGGTCGCACGTTGCATTCCATTTCTCGAGTCAACCTAACGCGAGATTCCCTTCTATCTGCTATTCCTGTTTGATGACGGTGTGAAGTGGCTGTTATCGTATTCTGACTCAGCATAGCACGCGGATAAACAATTTTAACACACAAACAAAACCAAATAACACATCGACACAGCTGATTCTTACAATCACACAACTCAGCTAATCAGTCCTCAGGGCTACAGCCAACATTATAAAGGCCTTGTCTTGAGCCATGAATAGGAAACCACCGCATTGTGTACTTGTCACCATGAAACATTACACCCGTATCACGCCGTATCTACCGCAGCTTCCCAACAGTCCATTTGCCGTGGCGACCCAACACCCACCTTTGGTCCGTAAACTTAGGTGATTGCAATCTTGAACCTCTGGGTGACTGGTCGATTTTTTGGGGAACCCCCTTTGGTTGGTTTTAGCGGGGAAATCAACAAGAACAGCTTGGCCAACCATTTTGGCGGGCCCGGGCCCCCCATAAGACAAAAACCTATGCGCTTCAGGACCCATCCGCCGAGCCAACGGGTCAAAACTCAAAACCGCAAGCCCCTGAAAGAAAGCCTCCCATCAGATTCCCCATGGCCGGGGTCCACAAGCCGTTGGTATCTGGCGGGGTCTCTTTTCGGCAAAATCGCCGGGTTTCACTGGTAAATGGATGGCATGAGCCCAATCTACACCAGAACCAGTTTATGTCTGTCCCCAAACCAGCCGATCAAAAGGACGCCTGTAGGTCAAATGACCCAACCCAAATCAGTTCTTGATTTTCCCTTCACCCAAATCCTCCGATCAAAAGGACGCCTGTAGGTCAAATGACCCAACCCAAATCAGTTCTTGATTTTCCCTTCACCCAAATCCTTTGATGCTTTTCCTTGTTCTTTCGAAGGCCTCGAGGTGCTCCTCCACACTGCTCTCCATGAACATGGCGGGGCAGTCCAAGGACGGCCACGGCAGGCCGTTGGGCCGGGGCCTGTCCGACGCCTCAGCGAACTTTTTCTAGGTGCCTCAAGGCCCTGAGCGACTCGCGGATCAAAATCCCGTGGAAGTTGGCCTCTCCCACATGTTCTTCCATTTGCTGAAGTCCCCTGGAAAATGCGCGAATATGTGCAGTGGTGATAGATTCCCTTTAAAGCCAACCGGGAAAATGACAAACATTATAAAGCACATGGCAGTATTAAGCTGACCCTGGCCCCTCAAAAGCAGGGCTCACATGGACATGCGGCCATGAATGCACTCGCTGATGCACTGGAGGTTGTAACGAACATAAACATCCCCTACCCAAACGGTGTTGCGAAAGTTGCCGGGTCAGAGGACAAGCGGAGGATCAGGAAACCAAATCCAGACCGAGGGGTTTGGAACAAACGACTGGTCAAGTCTGCGGCCACTTGACAATACCTAGGGTTGTCTGGTGGCTATGGAAGACAACTGGAGCCGGGGATCCCGCTTGACTATGATGACCAAACTGCATGCCAACGTGGATCAAAGCAGACACAAAGTGTAGGAAGTGCGGATTGAGGGCAGCCATCCATCAAGCTCTAGACAGGTTTGATGGATTCTCCATCCAAGAATCTGCTATGTACTTTGATGTATGAGCCATGGTTGAGACCCCTTACGTGGGCCATGGTCACGGTTCCCTTACTGCAAGTAAATGTTGTAATGGCTGTCCGAAATCCCCATGAAGAGGTTGATGACAATCCCTTCCAACTCCCAAGTAAACAGCAACGCCTGGCACTCGCTCTCGCTCTCGCTCTCTCTCTCTCTCTCTTTATCTATGCCGGTCTGTGAAAACACATTAGACCGAGTACCAGAACAAATGGACATTACCCACTTAAAGTCAACACATCTCCCCCTGTCGTGTGCCAAGATCAACCGCAACCAACTCCGCCTTGCGCCTGGCTTCACGGCCACAAGGGACATCCATTTGCTTCGCACAGCCCGCGCCCCCGCGCCGCCGACGAATCGAAAACGAGGCCACCTGCACCCCGTTCTTCAGCTTGCCATGGTAGATGCAGCCCGCGCTGAACTCCATTAGCATGGGGTGGGCCCGGTACCTCGCACATCTGAATGATCCAAACCTCCAGCTGAGAAGTGCCCTGAACACAGCGGCATATATTTCGAGGGGTGGAATCGGTTCCCTTGAAAACCAAGGGAAACTGCAACATCATTTCAGCAAATGGAAGCAAATGATCCAAAGGACCAGGAAGCCCCACGTTTTTTCCCTGCGGTTTGCGGTTTGCCCCAGGCAAGCTGGAAGTGCACCATCCGAAACTCGAGTCCGGGAGCACAGGTGCCACGAAAAAAATACTCGGCGGAGGCCATCCGAGCCGGGACCAGAGCACCTTTGATCCTACAAAAAAGACACACATGCACCACCCTTTCAGGGTCCAAATTTGAGGTCTTGTCTTGCCTTCCTCTTGTAGGTCCTCCAGTAGGAGATAGAATAAGTGGTTACAATAAGGGAACCAACTTGTTTTTTTTTCTGTAGTCTATTTTAGCAGGGGAACCCTCCCCCCAAAAAGGGTAAAAGGGCGCTACTGGGGGACCTTGTTGTTTTTGCCGTCCTCTCACATTTTGTCCGCCCTCTCGTGGATTCACGAGTTCTGTCCAGGGATTGGAGCTACGATCTGCTTCCACGTCGCGTGGCTCATACGTTCGATCCCACTCCACTCCCCCAACAGGGTAGCCGCCAGAACCCCCCGGCCAACCAGTCAATATGGCCCATGGTGAAGCAAGACTTGTATCATCGATTGGTTGCGGGTGAACCCTCTGAAGAAAAAAAAAAAGGGTTCAATCGAAAACTCTTTGTTTCCCAAGAAGTTGAAGTCCAAAGATCCAACCAGATAGCAATCACGATCTAAGACGGTCACTTCGGATGTACCCCCTCCCCCGGGCTTAAGGGCAATTTGGTACCTCCATCTCTTCCTTGGAGAAACCAACGCGTTGCCACGCGGAGACAAATTCAGAATCTGCAGTTTTTCCACCGTCTCTTCGCAGAAAATTGTGGTTAGACGATGGAAGTGGGCAAGGGCCCACTTCCAGCTCAGGTTGTCTTCACCCCCAGCCCAAGCACTAAGGGATGGGTCCGTGACCAAGACCCTGAGTGAGGTCTTGGGTTTCTTACGGAGTTGCCTTGATTTGGATGAGGAAAACCCCTCCAACATCAACGGGCTGCCTCCATTTGCTGAGGTCCCCGGAAACAATGAACATATATTGCCAGTAAGAATAGCCCCCCTTTACAGCCAACAGGGCAAAACAAAACATTTAAGCGGGTGATTCCCTTGGTTACCTACATGGGGGTTGATCAAAAGGTGCCATGCACATGGGATGACCATTGGTTGGAAAACCCCTAAACAACGTTCATATTATGTCAACAACCTAAAAGGAAAAGTTACCCATAGTCAACATGGGGGGCCGAAGCCAAAAGGAATATTGATCAACCCTCACAGGGTTACTTGCTGGTGCTCAGTAGGGAACAAGGGAATGAACCTGGGTATTCCCTTAAAGGAAGCCACAACGGATGGTGTTGATAGGGTTCATTCCAATTCGCATTCCCTGCATCTCTCGCACCAGCAAGGTAATGTCAACATCGGATTCATACACCCATGGTATTAAACCGGCCGCACAGGACCCCCCCAATACTACACAACTTGAAAAACCTTCTCGACCTTCTCGTAGGTCCTCCAGTGAAAAGGTTAGAATAACGGCACCTTTTTTTCTGTAGTCTATTTTAGCAGGGGAACCCTCCCCCCAAAAAGGGTAAAAGGGCACTACTGGGCGACCTAGCCTTCCAATTGAAAGCTCGTGATGCTTGTTGAGAAACCTGACGATTTCTGGGCTGCCCGTTTTCAGATCCGCTAAAAGTGAATCACTTCTAGTGGGTGAAATGGAAACCCAACCAAAAAAAAGGAACTCACTGGCTGGAAGTCCATCTCCAAGCTCTTGCGCCAGGGTGCTGAGTGTCCAGAAAGCAGTAGGGCACCCCAGCCCCCGTGAGCCGTGAGTAGAGCGACAAGGAGAAGCCCCGCAGCTCGGATTCACGGGAAATCACCTCGGGTGTTTTTGCGGCAAGTTGGGCTCGTCGTTTTTGGATGGGTCAAACTTAAACCACCAGGATATGGACGGGTGCCGTTTTGGATACCTTTTTTTGACCCACACCCATGTGTTTTTGGTTGCAAAGGGAAAAAGGACAACTAACACCATGTTCTTCAGGAAAGTAAGTATGGTAATTTGTCTTTCAAAGGGAAACCAAAGGAAAACCACCATGTTTGGGGGTTCCTCTCAATCAAAATAACCCGAATGCCGCTTCAATTTGCGGTCCATGCTTGGAACCCTTCCCAAAACAGGTCCGCTTTGAGAAACCGACGAGCACAAAGGCCTCCTCGTGCAAAGCCCCCCGCCGCCCGTTGAACCAAGCGAAGAGTCGTCTCCCCAAAAGGCTCCGTGCACTTCTTGGAAAAACAGGCAGGCAAACAACTCGCAACGTAATGTCTTGTTGCATGATTGAAGTACAGAAAGCAGCAATAGCAGTACAAGTTCTAGCTCCGAGTGTTCCAAGAGCATCTCTGGGGCTTGGTTCGGCTTAGTTCAAGTGAATGCACTGCTTTTGGTAAGGTTTCATCCATCATCTTGAGATTTGTCACCAGCCCATTGCCCCAAAAACCCTGGCAGTGGACAACTGGCTGGGAAAAAGGACCCGAAACCACCTCTTTGCACCGCTTTGTGGCTTCGGTCCTGTTCGTTCGGCAACCCTACCAGATCTTTGTGTGCTTTCTTGAGGTTTTCTTGTTTGGTTGGTTTTACAGGGACCAGGAAAATCATTCAGTTTGGGGGGTCCCCGTTGGCACTCAAGGGCTGTACCCACCATGTCAAGAATAGAAAGATCGGACATCCACACCTAAACTTGCTTGACGTTGGAAGGGGAGCAACAAAAATCATTTTTTAGCAGTTAAGTGGTTGGATTTCCACCACTAAACCACAATTTGCGCAATGGTTCAAATGTTTCCCAACGGCCATGTCAAAGTTGGGACGATCCCTTTCCCGGGCTTGGAGATGGGCAATTCGCTCGTCTTGGAGGGAAACACCTTCGAGTCTCCCAAAAAGACGACTCCAGTGCTCCAAGTCATCCAACAACAACAAAACGGCGAGACTCCCCGAAAAAACCGACTCCAGTGCTCACCCTCCAAGTCTCGGAGTTATCCAAGTGGCTGAGGGCGGGAGCTGGCAATGATCTCCACACAGCACCAGCTGCTTGGCGCCGCGGCAGACAATGGGCACCTGGGGAATATCCGCGAAGGCAAGCGGTGAGCCGGCAAAAGCAAGGCTCTGACCCCCTTGAAGGTCCTGTGGATTGGACCAGATTTCGTAAGGACATCTCCAAGACAAGGACATCCTCATAAAGGTTGAACACCCCCGTTGCTCACAGGAAAGCAGATTCCAAGGTTAGGACGATTCAAAAGCTGGCATGGACCCAGTATTTCTGAAGAAAACCTCATGCTTTTTTATTTGGCCACCCCCAAACTCCCTAAAGGTCGCGCACGTGCTCAGAGACCCGGATTCATTCATTCCAGTACATCATGCGCTCGCTTGCCCGCATCCTATCCGCACCTCCTGTGACACCCTTGTCCGCATCAGACCAAGTAGATGAGCCAGATCTCCAAAAGGCCCCGGGTGCCAAATTTCAAATCCGGGCAAAAAACAACCACCCAAACCCGGCTCCCACGTGCTTCCTGCAGTTCTCTCCCCCCCCAAGAAAAAACAACAACTAAAAACACAACATCCAGAAAACCCAGCTATGGGCCAAATGCCCAGCAAGGAAATCTGGGCTATCCTCAGATCCCCCACTAAAAGTGACTAACCTTTAGCGGGTCAAATCGAATCCAACCACTAAACGCAAACAAGCCAAAAAGCTACCGGATGGCTGGGAACTACCAAGAAACGAAACAGGGCCCGGGAAAAAAAGAAAAACTAACAAGAAAAAAGGAAAAAACACAAAAACACAACAACAAAAAAACAAACAAACAACACACACACACAACAAACACACCCGAGCCGACGCTTCGAATGGAATGCGATCTCCAGGGCTCCCCGCGATGCAGGAGGTTTCGGTGGCCTGGGCCACCTCGTCGATCAAGATCCCGTGGAAGTTGAAGTTGGCCTCGCCGTGGATGCGATGAATTTGCTAAAGTCCCACGCAAAAACCTGCAAACATATCATTCCAGTAGTGATGTTTGCAAAAAAAGAATAAGAAAGAAACATGTTTGGCAATGTCCCGCGGAAAAACTAAAAAAACGTGCAAACATATCATTCCAGTAGTGGAATCGGTTCCCTTTCAAACATTTCCCCTTCTCTCCCATGGATGCGATCAATTTGCTCAAGTCCCCCGGGAAAACAAAAATGATACGATATGTGTTCCAGTGAACTTTGGTTCCCTTTAAAACCAAGGGAACATACGACCTATTCATGTCAGATGGAAGCCTTCATAAATGGGGTGCTCAAAATTCAGGGAGCACGCAGGTAGTCTTGGTTCCATTTACCAAGGTGCTGGTGTCCCCAAAAACGAACGGCTTAAACCTTTTTTCCAAAACCAAAAAATATATATATATATATATACATGGGGGTTGATCAAACGGTCCCATGCACATGGGATGACCATTGGGGAACAACAGGGGATTACCACTGGAGACACCCACAAAACGATGATATCCGCCACATAGAAAAGCTAACTGCGGTCATTGAGGGCCAGGAATATTGATCAACCACTAAATATCCTTTTTATTGAGTAGGCTTTGACAAGTGAATTGGAGGGCCGATAATGTGAACCGAACTTCCTTTTGGCTTCTCATTCTCTTGCTTTTGATTTGAGCCTGAAAATTCATTGGGGACCGGAAATGTGTCGACGTCAACATTCGGTGCATGCTTCTTGAGGTGAAGTATTAGACATGTAACTCCAGCCTCTTTGCGATGCCATCATTCACCAAGCCGAGCAGTGTCCACCAACCAATGTAAACTCGGTTGCTTTCTGCTCCCCTGCTAAAAGTTTAACTTTTAGTGGTTTAGTGGAAAACCCACTAGTTGGCCAAAAGTTAAAGTCCTAACAGCCCTTGGCAAAATGCACCAAAGTAAAGGTGCTTCCCCATAACTAAAACTCACAGCCACTCCCCCCGATTCTTGACCAAGGGAACCAGCCAAGAGTGAAAAAGAAACATGTCTTACTTGTGAAAATAACTGGGATCCGGGTATTTACCAGGGTTCTGTGGTTCACTTGCGATATTTACGGCATCCAGCGTAACCAAGTCTGTTTCTTTGCCCACTAAAACTCCATAACCAATATGGGTGTGGCTCAAAATTAAAGAGCTAGGGTTCCGCAGCTTCCACTTGCCAAGGGTGCCATTTTAGTACATGTTTTTGAGCCACAGCCATATATATTATATTGGCCCTTGTGGTATGCCCAAAACCCCCAAACCGTTTGGCATCCGCACCACCTCCGGTTCAGGGGTGTCTTTTGGAAAAATGATCGACCCCCTCATGGTGAGTTTTGTTTTTTTGGCTGGGGTCGACTCTTTTGCTTTTTTCTCTCACAAAAGGTGGCAAAAAAACAAAAACTGCTCATAGGTGTCCTTTTAGGGGAAATAGTTGGATTTCCCTGGTAGATGATTAAACCACCAGTCAAACCAGGAATCACCATCTATTTTTCTAGCAAAACAACTAAAAATAACACCTATGCCCCTGCTCCGCTCATTGCACAGCGACCTGAACTCGAAAACCGAGAAGAAAAAAACAACTCCGCGGGAGAAGTGGCCATTTGCCCACCGCCCGAGGCGATGGTCGTGGCGCAGATCACGTCCGCATCTTCCAAGATCCTCAGCGCAAACGGGGCGCCAGAGGAAAAAAAAAAAACGCCACAGGGCTAAAGCTGGCTGATAGAAAAGGCTCCCTTCGGGAGCTTCTCAAAAATCTTGGATGGATAGACTTTAAGTGTTGGGAAATTATTGTTTTACTAAAGATGAAGAAGCCGAACTGTTTGCGCAGCGGGATCGAGGCATCCAGCAATGGACGTGGTTGGTACTTGAAGTCAAATGCAAAGGATACCGACCGAGAACCAATTCCTGCTTTGAGGTGCAGGTCCGGAACCCTCGGTTGAGAGGAAAACCATGAGAGTATGCCGGGATTTGAGACAACGAGACGGGCGTCAAGGCAACATGGCAGAAGAAGGCGAACCGGTTGAAAAGGCAGGGCATGAGCTGCTGACTATAAGTGCATCTTCTCTTTGCAGGGACCTTCACAAGGATTCTATTCAGTTTGCCGACGGCGAGCCTCACTTTCCCAAGGCGCTACCTCTGGGATGCGCCAAACGGGGGCAACGATTGGGTCCTCCAGTAGAGAGGTTAGAATAAGGGTACCCTTTTTTTATTGAGTCTATTTTCGTAGGGAACCCTCCCCACTGCTGGGGACCTTGTTTGACATAGAGGTAGCCTGTTGGAGTGTGTCAAAAGGGACCTCTGCAAGGTAAGGTCCGATGGTTCCACCGTGGAACTTCTGACTCCAGTCTTGGCTGGAAGCCTATGCAGGGGCTTCGCCGGCACTTGGCAGTATGTCTGCGCTCATCTGCGTCTTGGTTTCATGTTGATAGGTCTCCTTTTGAACCACGCAACCACGAAGGGCGCCAAGTTGGAATGATTTCACATGGCCGTGCGTCACAAAAAATGGTGACACGTCTGGGGTAAGGTAAGATCCGCCGAGAAACCAACAGCAAGCCCACATTTTACAGGTCTTGTAGATTTCAGAAGCCTGGAGTCTCCTTCTGACCCGAATTAAATCATGGACTCGAAAGCACCCCTAAGGGGTGCTTTCGGCCCCATGACTTTCGCTTCGTGGCCCAGAAAAAAACGCCAGGCTTCTGAAATCCAGCGCCTCAACTCTGACGCCGGAGGCGCTTGGCTCGCATCATGGACTCCTGCTTCCGATCCCAGACCCTGCGCCGCAGCATCGCGTCCTTCCGCCGGCGCCACTCCTTCCACTCCTTCCAGGGGATCCCACGGACCGAGTTTTTCTCGGGGAAAAGAGCTCCAGCCCTCCACACCAAAAAACCGATACAGATTGTACCGATTTCACGTATGGGCCCCATGAAGAAAAGTGCTTTATTGAAGATGCCCTTTGCAACAGGACTTTGGACGCAGGGGCTGGGGGCTGATGTCAGCGAATTGAAACATGACCCCAGATTCGATGGTTCACTCCCACCTCGTTGGACTCAGGGGCTGGGGATTCACGTCAGCACTTTGAAAAATAACCCCCCAGATTCGATGATATTCGATGGTTCACTCCCACCTCGTTGTGTCAAGCATGTGAAACAGTAACCACCACGCGTTTGCAAGGCATCGCCGCCAATCACTGTCGCCAAAGGCTCTGGTTGCGGGTCCGAAGCGCTATCCAATCTGCAGAACTCGTGGCCATCCCTTGGTCTCTCTTTCTGACGATTGTTGGAGTTTCAAAGGCAACCCCTCAACTCACTTTGGCCAAAAGAAGTCAACGACCTTTTGTTTGCCACTAAACTGGTTCAGACCCCAAAAGTGACCTAGGTCCTCCAGTAGAGAGATTCGAATAAGGCTACCAACTTCTTTCTGTCTATTTTAGTAGGGGAACCCTCCCCCAAAAAAGTGTTCTTCAAAGGGCACTACTGGGGGACCTAGTTGTAGACCAGCTTCCCTCCAATTTATAGTCTGGTTTGGTGGTTAGGGGTTTTTTACCCCTCCACAAGACCCATGGGTTCAGTTCCCATCAGAAAGTGAGCTCCATCAACTCTATGGATCTCGAGCCTCAGGGATTCAGGCACTCAGGGAGTGAGCGACAAGCCGCCCACACGCACTCCTCGCTCTTCCAGGATGGCTCCTCCCCTGGCTCTTGCGGCATCTCCTGCGGGTTGAAAGCATGTGACAAGAAGCGCGGTTCTGGTCTCCACCTCTTCTACTAGGTCATCCAGTGAAGAACGGTACCTTTTTCTGTAGTCTATTTTAGTAGGGGAACGCTCCCCCCAAAAAAAGGGGGTAGAAGGGCACTGATTACTGGGGAACCTTGTCTAGATGTTTGGTGGTGGTGGGGATGATGAGGATGAGGATGAGGAGGATGAGGTCTGCTACAGATATAACAGGTCAACTTCTCTTGCTCCTCCACCTATATTAACCATAGAACCACTTGCCTCCACTACACGATCAGCTCCAATAGCTGCCGCGATAGGTCCTTCTATGGAAAACCGTTTTTTTCTTCATACAGGAAATCCCCAAAATGAGTGACAGCGACGTCCCTTTGGCTTCCCTTAACCATCCCAACACAAAGTGCAAAAGGTAGCTACTCAACAAGATACGCACCCATAATTATATAGGATCTGCATATTGCACACTTTCAAAACTGGAAAAGGATCAGATCTTATCTTAACCCCCTCGCCATAACATGAGCAAACCAGCTTCACAGTCAGAGGCAAAGCAAACCGACCAACCAGGGAACACACCTGGATCATTTCTGACCGTCTCTTGGAGGAATGAATGAGAGGAAGACTTTCTGCAAGTGTAGAACTCCCATATTCTTTGGGGGGGGGGGGGCTATAGCGAATGGTGGTCTGGTATTGATGGGACGTTGGCAACTGTTTCCTCATGCTAGCATGCCGTGCCTAAGACACTTGACATTCAAGTCGATGGAATTGAGCCGTGGTTTAAAACTCTAAGGACAATATGCCATCAGAGGCTAACCTGCTCAGTGGGCGTAAGTTGCACGTAAAATACATCACACTTGCCAGATTCCCCAAAAAGCACCACTGAGAGGTCGGTTTCTGAATGCGCTACGTGGCACACGTTAATTCTGCGGCTTCCGCACGTGTCGAGTTGCCTTGCTTGACTGTCAAAATCACAAAAAGAGAAATGGGCGGCGCGTCTTTCTTTGAGGGTACCCTGTTGCTTGGTTAAAAGGGAACCCAATAGGGAAACTGTCTACAATTCCACAGACTTTGCAACTCCCCCGTGATGTCAACTTTGCAACATCCTCTACGGATGCCTCACTCTCCGAAATTATGCTGGAAGCCACAAGAACGTTCTGTTCAAAGGAAACATGTTTTTCAATCTATAGTAGATCGGCAATTCCGCGTGCATTGCCTGGGATGGTGTTGGTGCAGAATCCTTTTGACTGAAGCATTCTTTGCATGCCTTTCAGACGCAATGCCAGCAGCAGTTTGTGTGTCTATGAGGGGGGTTGGTGGTGAAAGCGTACCTATTTTACTGAGCGTCGCTGCTTTGCCAGTAGAAGGGAGCACTTCTAAATAGTTGGCCCACTACTTTCATCGGGAATTCTGCCGTTTGCACCCATAATTTATGTCAGTCCGCCAAAACTTGGACAAATTCCCACAGAGCGTGCTTGCCAGGAGGCAATTCTCCATAAGGAAGCGCCATTTCCGGACTTTACTCGGATGCCCAGTGGCCATGAGAAAAAAAGGGCATCCTTTTTTGGTTGCTTGATTTGAAAGGGGAACCTTTCCCCCAAAACAAAGAGAAAAAAGGGCGGAATCCACTAGGCCACAAAGGCCATATTCAAAATGCAGTCCAAATTCCGTGCATGATTAACTGCAGCGCCAAGAATAGCCAGCGGCGGCAAGCAACTGGGTTTCACCGGATCGAAAAAGAAGTGTAAGGTAGCTCGCCCACTAATTTCATCTAGACTTCTGACGTTTGCACCAAGGAAGCACCATTTCCGGACTTCAACCGGATCGAAAAAGAAGTTTGCGCGGCCTCGTAATCTTCATCTCCCTCGAGCTTCTGCAGCTGCCGGCCCTCCGCAACCAAGTTCCGCAAGATCGCCTGCTCGAGCCTGGGGGCGACCAACCAAAGGGCAGAGGCAGTAAACCTAGGTCCTCCAGTGGAGAGCTTAGAGTAAGGGTACCCTTCTTTCTGTCTATTTTAGTAAGGGAACCCTCTCAAGCAAAAACGGGGTTAGAAAGGGCACTACTAGGGGATGCTCCCACATCAAGGGGAAAAGGGCACTACTAGGGGACCTTGAAACGATTTTATGGTAGGCCTCAGGTGATCCCTCAGATGGTTTCAAAAGCAAGCATTAAGAAACTTTGAGCCTCCAAGCCTCTAAGTCTTTGCGCAGCAAGGAATTTGCACGCTTGGATCCGTTTAGCCTGATTTGAGGGTGAGCTGGGGTGGGTATGGGGTAGGTTCAAGATGGGTTTAGCGGGTTTAGGGTTGGTTCAAGGTGGGTTTCGGGCGGGCTTGGGGTGGTTCAGGGTTGGTTTGGGGTGAGTTTAGCAGGTGGTTATTGTGGTGTTGATTGGGTTGGGCTTAGGGTTTACGTTAAAGGTAGGTTCAAGGTAGGTTCAAAGTAAGCTTAGGGTCGGTTTATGGCAGATGTTGGGCAGGTTTAGGGTGGGTTTAGGCTAGGTGTTGTTTTAGGGTCGGTGTTTGGCAGGTTCAGGCTAGGTGTTTGGCAGGTTTGTGGTAGGGGTTGGTTTAGGGTGGGTTGTAGCGTTGGTTCTGGTGTGTCTTCGGGCGCTTGCTTGATTGCTTGCTTGCTTGCCTGCCTGTTTTGCGCGCCTGCTTGCTTTTCATAACAATCAAACAACATCCCGCTCCAGCGAGGAACAAAAAACCGACTTCATGTTAGACCATTGGAATTGGGTCTAGTGTAGCGAGTTGTTTTCCTGTTCAGTTTCCACTGTTCCGGGGGGGGGGAGCACATGAAAGTGGGTCCAACAATAAATAGCGAATGCTTAAATACTCAGTTCCTGAGTGGAATCGCCAAGGCCAAGCCCGAACTTGCTATTCACCACTAAAATGCTCAAGACCCCCAAGTGATGAACGTCCAGGAACTCAGGACGTTCAAAAAAATGACACATCACCCGCAGAAACTTCGACTGGGATTCTCGACGAAGCAAGCAATCCGAATCCGCTGCTTGGGGCTCAGTAGCTTGGCGCTGACTTTCTGGGTGTGGCCAATGCGCACCACCTTGATGCCATTCCTCGGCTTGGATTTCACTACGGCCATGGACCTCCAAGCAAGGCCGCGATCCCAGGCGATGCCCGAAATAAGGCCTTAAGAGGTTCATAAGGGCTAGCCCCCCTTCCCATAGCCCTTCGGGTACATGAGGTAGACTTAAGCCAAGGGTTTCTCACTTCCCAGCGGCTCCAATTCGATTCACTGGCCTTCAAACAGCCTGGTTTTGAGGCCCACAACCTCCGAAAGGTTGAATAAAAGGGTCTCTGGTCGGGTTTTAACCATCGAGAGGCCCCGGAGCCTCTGGGTTGCCCAAGGGCTATTGACCATGGGAAACCAAACGGGAACCCAGGCTACAAGGGTCTGGTGGATCAAGTGTTGGGCTACAAGCCAAGTAGGTAACTTCTGTGCGGTCGGGGCGTACAGGGGACAACCTGATATCCCTTGCCTTCAAGTCATTTTCCATTTGTTTGATGATTTCCCTAGACGCATCCACCCACGGCTGCTTGATGCCCCCAAATGCCAAACTCACTTGCCCCAATCGAATGCACTTCGTCAAACCAAAACGAAAGGGGAAGCCACAAGGATTTCGCTTGCCCTTGAAAACTTGGATTCTCAAAAGTCACCCGAATCAAAGGAGTGCGCTTCGCTCCCCCCTTGAAGTTTAGGATTCTCCTTAAATCTCCCAAAGCAAACGCCTTCCCTTGGGCTGTACCCCAAACTGGCCCACCCCCGAAAAAATCCTAACCAAAACAGCCGAACACCCCCCCCCGGCCCAAAAGATGGGTTTTCATATAAGCCCAACCAACCTGGTGTTGATTTTTGTCTTGGGGAGGGAGGTTAAACCAAACAACCCCATGGTCTTTTTAATAACACCCCCAACCCCTAACCCCTCCCCCCCCCCCGCCGTTCAGCGCGCGCGTTCGGTTGTAAAACCTAACCGAGGTGCGCCACAAGCCCCTCGGCGATGTTGTCCACGGCCACGTTGCACTCGGAGGTGGCCAGCAGCGGTCGGTAGCCCATGGTCCTCTCTAAACCCATGGCGCGAATGGTCTCAAAAGCGACGGGTTTTTTGGCCTTAAGCTTTGGACAGTTGATGACTTTAGGTCCCTTCAAGTGAGGAACTCGATCGATGTTCATTGAAACCCACGAAAACGGTCACCCAGAAAGTGACGAAAGTCCGAATACCTGGAGTCTCCATGACCCTTAAAACGTGGTTGGTCATTACCCAAAATGGGGTCAATGGCCCATTTTTGCAGGGTCATGGAGACTCCAGTTATAGGCGATGATGAAAAGGGGGTCTACCGTGCAGTTTCCGGGTTCAAACTTTTGGAGGCTGTGCATCAGGTAGGCAGAATTCAAAACGACAAAAAGGGGCGACTTGACTCACTGCAGCTGTACCAACTGACCCACACCTAGAGAACCTCAGAATGCTGCTACATGTAATTCGAGACCACACTGCGTGCGGCTTCCTTCAACACCTGTACTGCAATCAGTATTCCCCCAATCTAAATTTCCCTCCAAAACAATTCGGCCAAACTCGCAAAACCTGCAGGAACATCACCCTTTCGAAGGCCAGAACTGAAGAACTCGTTTCTGGCTTCCTTCTCACTCAACTACTCAATGCACTCAACCATTCAAACACTCAACTATCAACCACTCAACCACTCAACTCGCAACCACCTGCCAGTTCCTTCAGCCTGAAAAACAACTCTTGACAGTGATGGATTCCCTTTAAAACCAAACAGTAGTGATCAATTTCCTTTAAAACCAACAAACATCAAACACATTCCTGTCAGCAAATGGAAACCAAACGCGGAAAATCAAACACATTCCTGTCAGCAAATGGAAGCTCAAGTACTCAACGCATGCCCGCCTCACCCAGCTGGTCAGGATCCGAACAGAGGTGTGGGTCTTGCCGGTGCCCGGTGGGCCCTGCACAATTGTGAGCCTGGCAAACTCGGTAGGATCCACCCGCTTCACAGCCGGAAGCAGCCGTTCAAGGTTCGTTTTGGGGTCCTGGTTGAGACCATGTTCCTTTTAAAGTGACCGGGACCCTTACGTCAGGTTCCATGCTAGTACCCAGCAAGTGACACTGTCTGCTGGTTCTTCATGTTTGAAAGTCCCTTTCTTGTCTATATATATATACACATAATAGGCGTATATTTGGAGATGTGATCGCGGAGAGGCATACAAGCAAACCAGTTTGCTAGCTGACACAACGAACATGCACCTCATGAACTTCTTAAACAATAGTGCCAAAAGGTTCAATAAAGGTCGGCTTTGGACCAATTCAAAACAGAAACTGCGTAGTCTCTTTCTGACCTTCAAAAATGGGGGGTCATTACCCAAAAGAAAGGGGTGCAGCTGCCCCATGTTTGAGTCAAAAGGACACTCCAGGTAAGGACAGTCCGCCCGTCAAGCGCCGAAGAGGCAGAAACATTGCAACAGCCATGGCTGGCTGAGTGTCCTTCCCCCAAACTCGCAGGCTCGGCCCATGTGGTCAGCCCATTGCATGCCAGGTTGCTCACTCCCCTCACTCCCCTCGCTCCCCTCACTCCCCTCACTGGGAAGTAAATGGATGGCATAAGACCAATCTAAAGCAGCGGAACCAGTTTATGTCTGTCCCCAAATCAGCCGATAAAGGACATCTATGGTGATGCTCTGTTTGTTTCTTCACCCAAATCAAGTCTTTTGGTTTCTCCTGGTCTTGTTTCGTCTAAAGCCAGTGGAGCCTGTCACTAGCCTCAAAAAGGACATCTATGGTGGTCAAACCCAGATCAGTTCTTGTTTTTTGAACAGGTCCTCCAGTGGAGAGGTTAGAATACGGCTACCCTGTTTTCTTTTTCTGTCTGTTTTAGCAGGAAAACCCCTCTCCCACAAAGGAGAGAAGGGCACCATTCGCTGGGGACCTAGTCACATCCAGACCCAAGTCTCTCAAGTCCCTGAGTTGTACCTCGCTCTAGGCGGAGCTCTACAAACTTGGTTGACGTTGGGTTAGGGGAGCAAAAAAAATCAAGTTTTAGCAGTTCAGTGGATGGATTTAGCAAAATAAAAGTTTTAGCAGTTCAGTGGATTTGGATTTCAACCACCAAACCACAATTTGCGCAAAAATGTAACGAAAAAAAGGTTCCCAACAACAACCATGCAAAGATCTCTGACCAAAAACCTGTTGCCCAGTGACCCCGCCATACTGGGCTCCGGAACCCCAGTCTTTCGAAACTCATTGCACTACAAGCATCAAAGCCACCCCGGAAGTGGTAAAGAGAAGCAACCTCAGCTGAATTTGACCATTGAAAGAATGAACCGATTCATAACCGCCCCGTCTTCCTGCCAGTAACTGAGCTCATCCTTTCATGAACAAAAGCTGGAAAACATTGAAGAAACAGATGTATGCATGTATCATGCATGCATGCATGTATATATATATAAGCATGTAACAAGAACCTGACCCCCCTTTTCGGGCCAAAGCAAACAGTTCTCCAGACATGCACAGCGCCTCTTGGACATGGCGCTCACGATGGCCTGCTTCTGCGTCTCCGAAGTCCTCGACTTCGGTTGCACCCAAAAAGACGGAGCGATCGGCATGAGAAGACAGCCTTCGCTTGGTGCACATGCTCATGCTTCAGTACGGCACTGTTTCGTGTGCATGCATGCATTTTTGTGGATTCGTTGACGGAGAAAGGGCTGTTTAGCAAGCCCAAGAATGAAACGTGCATGGGATGGTCTCAAAATGGGAAAAACGCCTGCTCCAATGATTACTCCACGTATGAAGTTGGTCGACTCACAGCTTTTGGTCTTAGGGGAACCTGAAAACACTCTTTACCAACCAAAAGCGGTTGGCTAATTCTTCGAGTTTGGACACCGCAGGAGGACTGTAACCGCACGAGCGATGATTTGAATCAAACAAATATCTGCAGGGCCGAATGAGTTGAGCAACTCGTGTGTTGTTTGTCGTCAATGCCGATTTTGGGGTTGGCTTCAAGGACACCAAAAAAAAAGCGACCCTTTCGGGGGCACCGGTTTTGGCGACAAGTGATCCGACCCTTTGCGGTTTCCACATCGTCGGAAGCCCCCGAGTCAACAATCGCGGGTAGCGCGGCGTAAAGCCTCGCGGCTTAAGAACCAAAAGCACGGCTCAAAGTCAACACTAAGTTTCATGGGCCGTGTCTCTGACGCAAAACTTCCGGCACAAAAGTACTGGTCTGTGTCTATTGCTGGCATCCGAAGGGTTTCAAAGAAAGGCACAAGAAACAAACGCATCAGCCCAATCTGAGAGGGCTTCAAAACAAAAAGCACAGGAAAGCCCAAAAAAAAACTAAAAAAAATCAGCCCAGGCTGAAGGCTGAGACCTTTTTCGGATACCAAAATCAGCCAAGGCCGTCCTTTCCAGCGCCATGGCCTGCTTCCGCGCCAGCTCGAGGTCCTCAAGGATACAACTCACGGATTTTGCCAACCCGGGGGAAAAACAACTCTCGCCAACGAAGCCCAGAAGAAAGGGGGTCATTGCCCCCGCATTTTTATCTTTTGGGTCAGAAGGAGGACCTTTGGCTTCTCTCTGAAGCCAAAAGCACGTCTTCCAAGCTCTGAGACAACTTCATCACCGGCCCAAAAGCGCCTCAGGCTGTGCCACCTTGATGTCTGCTGCTGCAAGCGCAATGGTCTGCTGCTTCCGCTCCTGGCAGGCAGACTTCGGACACCACAAAAGCGACTGTCTCTTTAACTGGGCTGTCCGTTTTCAGATCCCCAATTAACCCTTAAAACTCCAAGGACTGGGGAAGTTATTCTTTTACAGACATATAGCCCATGTTACCCAAAAAGTTGAAAAGTTATGTTTTTAAGAGGTAAGCCTAAATGTGACTACGTAACTTTTGGGGGGTTAAATGGATATCCCACCACCAAACACTGAAAGCCAAACAGCCAAGGGCATGGCTGGGAACCACCATGCTAAGAGCTGCTCGAAAATTCCAGGAAGCACAACTTCCAGTGTTTCTTGAACAACTTTTGGGGTCTATGGATGCCATGAGATATCCATGCGTGCCATACCAGTGGATGGCTCTGGCTCCCTGACTGTGGATGGACTTTGAAAACTGGTGGATAGATCACCTCATAGATTCTCTTCACAGGGATCCTCAATCGTCTGACCGTGCTGCAAATCGCTTGGGATAATCCCAGATTTGCCGTGGCTTGACATGAAGTCAAGAGAAAGCAAAAGGAAGCGGACACTTGGGCAGTTGTGACGCACATGGGCAGATCGGTCCTCGATGTCCTGAAGCGCGACACTATCTCATGGTCATATATATATATATATATGCTGCATGCACATGGACAGTCTGCGACTCTTCGAAAGCACGGCAAGCAGCACGATTTGTATGCAAGCAGGAAAAACAAAGCAAGGCATGACGAAGTGTCACAAACGACAACTTGAACAAATCAGGATGAACATTACCTTCCAACCGTTGGTATGGTAGCAACAACGACAATGTTTTCTGCAGCCCCAGAACCGAACCCAACAACAAAGTCTTCTGCAGCTTCCTAAAAAAGCAAAGCCAAACAACTAAGAAACGTGAACACAACATGCCAACAGCAAATAATCATCCTGGATCTCCACAGTGTTTTTCATTTTTTCCCCTGAGCCTTGCGCCCGGCTAAGCTGCCAACAGCTCCATCCCGAATCGTAAAACCGTTTCTTTAAAAGCAAATGTGTCTGACCCGGAAAAGTGCATGAAATCGACAAGAGCCATGCCGGGGGGGGGGGGAAACACCTGAAAACTGCAATCCCGGCCTCCTCCTCTTCAGCCGCCTTCAACTTGGCTGCTTCAAGCGCTGGATCAACTTCTTCCGCTTCCTTCTCTTCCCGCTCTGCTTCTGCCTTCGCATCCTGAGGACACAACTGAGGCAGTGTGGCATTCAATCGATCGACAGAATCAAATCCAAAAGCCGCGGCCAAAAGTCGCCTGTAGCCTTTGGGTTCCGGCCGTCTTCTTCGGGGACCGCAGCGTGTGCAAATATGCCGGGCCGGGCGGAAAAAAAACAACTGGCGCCGGTGAGGTCCATCCCTGCAAGATACCCTCCCACCAACTAACATGGAAGCGCAAAAAAGCCCTTTCCACTAGGAAAGTAGTCTAGGCAAATTATAATACTTCACCAATCTGAAATAAGGTGGTTGGGGGGATGTTCCCCACATAAACCACAATTTAGGGTGAGGTCGTGTGAGGTCGCAACAATTCAACCAGAAGTAGTCTTTGTCTGTGCACTTCCATGTGAGCTGGGGGGGGGGGGGGGGAGGGGTAAGCCATACTGCATCCCGACCATCACACCGTGAATCCATGGCCGACCGCTGATGAGGACGAGCAGGTGGGAAGGACTTCAAGGCAGTTCACGCGAGTGCACTTCCTCATATCACTCCTAGGTCCTCCAGTAGAGAGGTTAGAAACCCTTTTTCTGTAGTTTATTCTTGTAGGGGAACCCTCCCGGCACTACTGGGGAACCTAGCTCCTAAATGACCGGGACTCACATTATTGATATGCCGGTTCAGACTTACATACGAAGCCAGGCCAAACATGTGATGATACCACCCGTGCATGGGGCAACTGATTGCAAACACCTACACCTGAGCTGCCGTGGGCTGCTCGGCTTGTGCAATTTTGTGTCACACGCGGACTTTTTGATGCGATTGTGGGGCCTTTTGGGCCACACATGCGTCTTGCAACCTGCCTTCCAATCTCGCATGCATTCAGGCGCCCCACATTGATATCTCGTAGTCGTTGAGATCCACCACCCAAACAAGCCCAACCAATCGACCTTGTGCACCTTTTCACAACGCAAACATGCAGAACCAATCATGCAGAAACCTTTTAGAAGCAATCACTCATATACAGCAAATGTACTCTAAACCACTCCAAAGTTCCAAAGGAATACGTGAGAGATGCTGAATCAACTCAGGACAAGCCTTGGATGCTTGCCCTCGAAAGTTTCCCCACCGAGCTGAATGGCACCAAGTTGAAATTAATCTTAGTGTTCGGTCCTTTTACCCCCAAACCTCCACCTTCCACTGGAAAACAGAACGCCCAGTGCCAGATTCCCTTCAAACCAAGCAGAATAGAACTACCACAAATTGTCATTTCAGCAAAAAAAGACCTCACCCAACGGCTCCCTTTCTCCCCCCGAAAAATCGGCCCACGGTTCCCCCCCCACCCGCCCCTTTCGATTTCAATCTCACCCCCTCCTCTTCGATGAAGAAGTCCTCGGAGTCCCAGTTCTCCAAAGCGTTCGCCTTTGTGGCCTTCAACGTCTCCTGCTTGCCACAGGCACGCACGGGACGGCAGGCACGGGACGGGACGGTTGTTGTGTTTGTTGTATTTGTTGGTATTTGGTGTATATGTGTTGCTTTTCTGTTGTGTATTGTTGTGGTTTGTTGTTGTAGTTCTTCTATGTTTAGTTTTTTTGTTATTTGTTGTTGTGGTTGTTGTATGTTATATGTTATTGTTGTGGCGCTGTTGCTGCTGTTGCTGCTGCTGCTGCTGCTGCTGCTGCTGCTGCTGCTGCTGCTGCTGCCGTCGTGGTTGCTGTCGTCATCTGTCGTCCAAGTTTGCCACACACGATGTTGGGATTTTGGCACACATTTCGCACCAAGCCCGGCCCGGGGTCAAAATCAGGGTGTATTTTTTGGAGGGAAAACTTTTTGGTATGCTTTTAGAGGTTGAAACCAACAGGGAAACCCCCGGTTTGGAGAGTTCCCCTATTTCAATACGCACCCACAACGCTCAATTAGCGAGGAAAAATCCCGAATTGCAAGTTGCCAAGTCCGGTTTGGAATGTCTCTTCACTCCTTGATGTTTTGCCTGCGACACGATGTCCCAGTCTCTGGAAGCGCCCGCAGGCCCAATGCGAAAGCACACCAATGCAATTGTTGATGAAGTACTCTCAAGGTGGGATTCAGACCATTAACAACAAACAAGCTAAAGTTGATGAATGGCTGATGTTGGCTCATGTATCAAAAATAACAATCATCCACTCAGACCGAAGCCATGCCTTGTCCATCTTGGCCAGCTTCTCCTGCGCCTCGCCCTTGTATCCTAAGGCGTGCGCTTGGCACTCAGACCATGTCTCAGCTGGATGATAAGAAGGTCACCTATGAAAACAACATCTTGGTATGTCCTTTTTCTGGGTTTTCCCGTCGGGGTACACCTACCCCCCACCCCCCACCCGCCACCCCCCACCCACCACCCCCCACCCCCCACCCCCCACCAGTAACATCTTGCATTGGAGTACATACTGCTTCAAAGGGGATTCCCCTGGTATCACAGATAGTGGAAACCAAAAACTCCGCATTTTCCACAACCATGTGGGTTCCGGACCCACAAAGCAACCGACAACCAGCACCCAGTGGCCAAATATTCACACTCCGCATCCACCATTTGTTCTCTTCCAGAAAGCGGAGCTCGGGTCTCCGTGGGTTTGCGAAGACGTCCCCTGGAAACACAAACCGCCATCGCCAGTGATCCCTTTAAAACCGACAGTTGCAATTGGTCCAGTGGAGAGGTTAGAAGAAGTTGGTACCCGATTTGATTCTTCTGCACGTTCATTTTAGTAGGGCAACCCTTTCTCCCCCAAAAAAAGGTGAGAAGAGAGAGAGCGAGAAAGGGCACTACTGGGGGACCTGGAATACAAAACACTATAAGCTCAAATAGGTATGGGTTGTCTTGAGGGAACCCCCAAAATGCTGGGTGTCTGCAGTTTCCTTTTGGCTTTCCAAAAACAACAACCCAAACCGGGTACCAAGCCTCAGAAAAGAAAAACCTTGCTCAAATGCCATAACAGTCTGGGCACAAACAAATCCAGTGGTAGATTGCTTTTACAACCAACAAAGAGCATAAAACAGAAGCAGATCCGTGTGTCATTTTTTGGAGTACCCCTTTTTGGGTGGTGTTTCTCCAAGGCAAACCAAAAGAACTCTCCCCCCCCTTGGATGGACGGAATCCTGCACCACTTTGAACCCATGGGAAACCATTAGTTGTTGGTATTTGCTGGGGAATCATCCTTCCAGGGTTTCTTGGGTGGTGCAGGATTTCGTCCACCCACAGTAGGTAGCCAAGGGAATCGCCCTTGAAATGGTTGGTTACCCACAAGAAGTTGCTTGCCTGGAATCTGGGTCGGTTCATGGAAGGTGAACAAAAACCCTTCGCCAGCTTCTCTTCAAAAAGGACAAACCTCCTAAAAAGGGAAAGCCTCCCCATTCTTTGCAGGGATCCCCTTCTCAGGAAATCTTAAAGACCTTCCACCTTCCACCGGTTGAAAAGCGGAAAAACAAATCCCTTCGCCAAACGACTTGGAGCACCCCCTTCTTGGTGGTTCTAAAAGGTGAACCAACAGAAACCACCCTTTAAGAAAACAGACTCACACTTCACAATTCTTGGCATGGTTGCAACAAACTGTGTTTGTTGCAGCCCCCGAAAATTGATCAGAACCAACAAACATAAACGACGAAAGATCGAAACACATGCTTCAAGAACCGTGCAACATATTCCGTTGCAACAAACAGTGCTTGTTGCAGCCCCCTGCTAAAGAACGAGCAGAACCAAGCAAAACCAAAGACAAAACAAAAGCAAACACGTGCTTCAAGAACCGTGAAACATATCTTCGTTGCAACAAAAACTGTGTTGGTTGCAGCCCCCTATAAAAAAATGAAGAGAACCAAACAAAACAACAAAAAACCCACCAAAACAAGTGCTTCAAGAACCGCGAACAGATCTTCAGGACATCTCAAAGTGACCACAAGTGCCCCCTTCGCCGAAAAGAACCAAACAAAAAACAACAAAACAAACCGCGCCGAGGGGCGCCATTTTTTCCAGGGCTCCCCTATCTTTTCTAGGGAAACCATCCCAAAAAAAAGTTTTCAGGAAACCGTCCTACTGTAAAACCCTGGGGTTTTCAGGAAACCATCTGAAACCCATCTGAGCATTGTTTGTTTTGGAGGGTCAGGGCTTGTACACTGCTGGGGAGGCTACTGCTTTTGGTTTTTTTTTCGCGAAGCTCAAATCCATCATCTGAGAAAAACAACGCTGCTCATCTTACAACCGGAACCCAGGGTTTTCAGGAAACCATCTAAAAAAACCCGAGGTTTTCAGGAAACCCTCCGAAACCCATCTCAATTGACCGAAAATGCGCCGAGGCGCCTTTGCCCAGTTTCCGGCGCTTGGCGCGGAAGCGCATGAGCTTCGCCTCCTCGATCACCGCCTCATCCAACTTCCCCACGCCCGCGGCCACCAGCATCTCACAGACCTCCGTCCTGCGATAGGCGGCCTGGTGAAAAATCGATGGGTTTCCCTGTTTGGTGAAACTTTTGGTGAAAAGTAGATGGGCTTCCCTGGTAAATGGAACAAAAAACCATCTGAGCAAGTGCCAGCTATGTGTTTTTTCTCCTTTTTTGCCCAAACTAACCTAAAAAGGACGCCTATGGATGCGATCTTGCAGTGGGGACCGACGTGGGGGGGGGGGGGGGCTTGGTTGGTTGGTTTAAGGTTGTGGTGGTTTAGGCGTGGTTTAGGCTTGGGGGGAGTATGTTTACGGTTAGGGTTTGGTTGGGTCCCCAAAAAAGATGGGCTTGATCGGGCAATGTGTTTTGGCGAGGATAGGAGACTTTCAGAGCTGGCCGCAGGTTCCAACACAAGTTGACGGTACGAGTATTTCTTGCTTTGTTTTGCCTGTGAAAATTCTTGCTTTACTTGCTGTAGCCCATGCATACCCGAGGTCATCACCCTAAGAGCACCACGAACAGGCTCGCTTTGCGGCTTTGCACGGTAGGGATGTAGAAAGACGGGGCCGCGCAGGATGTACAAATACTTGTTTGAGGGTTGTTCCTTGGCTGGGTGGCTTTCAGAAAGGAAAGCGCTCAAGCCGACTACCAGGGCCAAACACGCCCATTCGAATGCTAAACAGCCTTAGGCGTCGTTTTTGGCTGGGAACCCGGCAACTGAAAAGGATCCAAGCTGAAACTAGTGGATCCTACAGCCTGACTGATCTAAAAGTACAGAATTAACAATGAGTTCCAGCTGGAAATCGGTCATCGGTCCCTTCAACCAAACTGAGCAAAAAAGAACACCCATGCTAACATGCCGTCCTCTCCATGGAGATGAACTGCATAAGGGCCGCCACCTGGACGAGAAAAAACAATAATAACCTGTCCCATTTTTTTTAAAAAAAAGAAAGAAAGCGCAAATGCATGCCAGCACCCTCCAAGGGTGGCCTTTCCACTTGTACCTGCAGTGCTCTGACGTGTGAGCCATTTCGGGTACAACTGGAAAAGCCAGCCTTGGAGGGTGCTGGTTGTTGTGCTTGATGTTGGGGATCTTGGATAGAACGTGAGTTTCTTCAACAGAGCTCAATTGGTGTTGGAGCTAGGCACCTGGGCAAAAGTAGTTTAGGTGCGCAGAAACACCAAAGCTGAAGCGGTGGACCACTCCAAAGAGCTAGGCAGCACCCAACAAAACCGCAAGCACCTCTTGGGCACATGACCCAGAAGAGGTAGTTGGTAGCAGCCCTTGGAATGTCCGGCGACTGTCCTTGCAATCGCATCTTCAGCTTGTTGCACTTGAGTCGTTGCAGGCTAAGGACTGGGCACCTTTTGTAGGGAGTGCGCCGTGTGCCGGGAACACAGCCAGTCTTGCTTCTAAGTCCTGCAAGACCTTCAAGATCTGCTTGCAAAGATATAAAACATTGTACCCACAGGCTCCCGATTGATTTAGGGACGTCAAACAACCTGGTTTTGAGACCCCCAACCACCTCCGGGGTGTCTAACGGAGGGGTCGGGTCATCCAGTGAAAGGCCGCGGAGCCTCTGGCCCACTCTTGTTTCACACTTGGCACGAGACATGCCTAAAGCCTGAAACTATTCACATGTTTTGGCGACAGAACGCGCACACAAACACACACAGTCTTCTCGCTCATTTGATTCGGAGATCTATATCTATATATATATATAGGCGCTGCGCTATAAGCAGCCCCAAGAACAATAGTGCTTGAAGGAACACATCACGTCAAGTAGGGGTATATGTGTATGTGTATATCTTGGTCTGAGTGTCTATGTGCGTATCTGCGTTTGCACGCGTGTCCGTGACTGTGCGTGGCTGCGGGCGCCTTGCGCGCGCGCTTTCATGCACGCTTGCATGCGATCTGTGTGTGTGTGTGTGTGTGTGTGTGTCTGTGTCTGTGTCTGTGTCTGTGTGTGTGTGTGTTCGTGTGGGGGCTTACCTGTGTGTGTGTGTGCATGCATGCTCGTGCGTGGGAGTGCGCATGCACGCGTGCACGTCCGAATGCGTGGCTCTACCTCCGCGTGTTCGAGTGTGTGTCTGTGTGTTTCGTGTTCGTTTCTGTGTGTTTGTGTTTGTTTTTGTGCGTGTGCGTGTGTTCGTGTGCGTTTGCGTCTGCGTGCCCTAGGTGGATTTTTGGCTGTGCGTGCAAGTAGTTCATCAGTGTATTGTCTGCCGCAGAACCGTTTCACCAACAAGGCAATCGACTCCCTGCCCGCACGCTCGACACAACTCCAGCAACAAAGTTGCTCTACATATCGTTGTTTGTTGCTACATTATGTACATATGGATGACCTGTATTTAACAATTTGTCACGAATTAAGCAAACCTTCCACCAGAGACTACTTCACATGCCTCCCCCGAAGAAAAAAAACAAAAAAAGAGCTCCGGGCGCTCGCCTGGCGCTCGTAGGTGGTCCGATTGGCGTACTGGTCGATACGGAACCGCTTCCGCTGCCAGGGGTCCTGGAGGGAAGTTGGGGCCCCGACAAACCCACGCGACAAGTGCTCAACCTTTTGCTGGTAAGGGAAAATGAAAGAACCCGAACCCGAGAGATTCGCCGAAAAGTTAAAAGAAAAAAATATGTAAAAGTGGCTTACAGGCGACTTAAAAAATGAAGGAGCCCAAAGACTCCGAAGTTAAACAAAAAGAGTTGCAGTCAACGGAAATGAAGGAACCCCAAAGACGCCAAGAAGTCATAAAAGGCAAGCCAAGCCTGACAATGCCGAGTATATCCCGCAGGAAGCAGGCAGGACATTAAGGCTCCAAGTGGGAGAGACAGCTGTGCAGTCGCTCTGCCCAAGCGAGCCATGCTTTGTATGCCCAAAACGAAAAGCAACATCTTGCAACGGCCGCAAGTCGTAAGACGCGAAGGTCCACTATCCCTTGACTTAGAGGGCATCTTAGAATGTTTGAGGGCTGATGTTCCCATACTTTTGCCCCAAAGGGTTCATTAACGCATAAACTAGGGGATCACACCAGGGGTTCACATATGGACCTATCCAGCGCTCGGCTTAGGACAAATGCTTGTGTCAGAGCTTTCTTGGGCCTCAGCCGAGGAAGTCACAGCGGCTTCTCGATGCTCGCATTTTTCCAGTCAGCATCCTCTCATGATAGGAAATGGATCCTTCTTGGATGGCTTCCAAGGGAAACCTAAAGGAAACCACCTGAAAAGGTCCCTAATTTGCAGAAACGCCCATGTGAGTAATCAAAACCTGGTACTATAATGGTCTACCCAGAACCATGTACAGGATTAAGAAGGCGGATATCCTACTAGCCTTCATCTACCCAGGTTTTGATTGTGGCTCATGTATGATGCTTGCAATCAAAAAGAGTAAGGGGTTCAACTCCACGCCAACCAACACTACCTATTAAGGGGGAATCTGATAAATCGGTCTGAAAACATATCCATCTGCTTTTGGTTTTCTTTGGCGCAACCTCAACAAATACGACCCATTCAGCCATTTCGCACCCAAACAAGCGAGCTCCTTTCATTGACCGCACCCACCTTTTCGCTCGAACCGTTTCGACTTTTCGGGTCCTCAGGCATACGGCCGGACACGTTCACCACCAGAGAGTGGCCCCGAAAGTCCAAGTCGCGCACCATGCCCTCACAAACACGGTTCTTCATGGGGTCGTTGTAGGAGATGACCACCTCCGGACGGAAGGTCGACTGAAAAAAAAACAGAGACGCCCTTTTGGGGGGTGGGTCCCAAAGAAAGACATCAGAATGAGTTGGAGCAATATCAGCAATGTTGATGGGTAGTTTGTGGAGCAACGGCTACGAACCATTTAAGGATTCTTTCAAAAGCAGAAGAAAGGCACAATCACAAACCTTGGACATGACCCGACAGCCTTCTCCCCAGAACCTTCGTCTAAAAGGCAGTGCTGGATAAAGAGCCTCGCCCGTAGAACAAATCGAACGATTGTCTGGGGGGTCCTACAGCAGCGGCTGAATGCACTGTAGGCAGTGCACAATTTCCCCTTGACGTAACCAACCATCTTCCTTTTGGATTTAAGAGTGTTTCCCTTGGTTACCTACAGGATTCCAAGCCCTAATCACTACTAAACCAGTGCTAAGTATCAACAAGCCAGTGCTAGGCTGATCCGGAGCCAACCAAACCAACTGAGGCCCCAATAGAGCCAAATTACTTATGACACCCTTTTCTAAAACCACCGCAAACATATTTGCAAGGGGGTGGTGGTACAGGGAAGCCCAACAAGTTAAAATAATGAGGATAAACAGTGTTTTAAAATAGACGGTGCCAATACCAAGCAATACCAAACAAACACTAAACCAAATTCAGAGACTACTGCACCGGTGCAAAGGAATGCTAAACAAATGCTAAGCTAGTACAAACCAGGACTAAACCAACACCAACTAATACTGAAACAATACTAAGCCAATCCTGAGCCAGGAAAACCAACTGAGGCCCCAAACAGCCGAATTCTGTACGGCACCCTTGACTAAACAGCCGCCCGAACAAGCGTCCAAGCGGGTGGCACAGGGCAGCCGTAAAAGTTCACAGAGAAACGACAAGTTGCCGGAGCGGTACAGAGAAATACACAAATACTGAACCAATTCCAAAGAGTACTGAACTAGTACAACGCAATACTAAACCAACGCTAAACCGATTCTAAACAACTGGGCCAGCTCCAAGGAAGCAGTACTTACTGAGAGACTATGAGAGACTGCTTGAGTAGGCTCAACTCTTAGTCCCAATTTGGTTTAAGGTTTCCCTATTGAACCCCCCAACTTGTTTGAGGGGCTGTTTGTAAGCTTGCTTATTTTGATCTTTCCTTCGATCCTTCCATTTCTCACCCAATTGGTTCGGCGAGACCCCAGCCCGCAGGCCCCCCCCCGGGCCCGGGCCCCGCCTGCTCCCCAGATTTAAAGCGGCACCGCTCCTCCGTGAGGTTGTGCGGCAGGTTGAAAATCACCTCCTCCGTGCCGAAGTTGGGCCAGCCTGACAGACTTGCCTGGAGTCTTTTTTATGACCCCACAATGGGTGGCCATTTTTTGCAAATTCACAGCTCCCAGCTAAAAAAATCGAACCAGGAGGAACGACCAAAGCCCCAAGCGCTGGCAAGGGGAGTATAACTTCCTGGCCAAACGACGGAAACGGGCTCCTTTTTTTAGACGCTTCATGGGCTTGCTCCAAGGGCGATCCCCAAACTCCAGGATCCGAAACGGGACCTCCAAGTTTGAAGCCTTAGGCCTCACTCCATGGCATCCGGAGAGGCTGACACGTGCCGAGTCGCTGCTAGGGCGACCATTCCGCTTGACATGGGGGTTGAATATACCCCTGGCCCTCAAATTGAGCCATGGGCAACGTTTCCCACTGGGAAGTATCATCTTTTTAGTGGGTTTCCCCAATGACTGCTGTCTCAGAATTGGAATGCCTTGACCTTTGCATTTCCCAATACAACCCCCCCCCGTTTTGCCCCTGGACAGAAGCCCGTCGCACGGAAACAACCATCTTCTTTTCGAGTAGAAAATTCAACGTTGTTCTGTAAGAGGCCATTCGGATGAGAGAGCACCCTCCCAAAACAGTAAATTCTCCCTCCGGAACCTGCCCTTGCTTGAAAAGCTCCCCAAGCTGCTCACTTTTCTCTTACGCCCGATGGGAGATGAAACTCTGGCCAAGTCTCAATCTTTCAACCAAGAACATGTTCAGTGGCAATCTGGACGGACTGTGCTTAAGGGGGCATCACTGAACCCCCTTTGCAACTGTCAATCCCGTGTTTAAGGGTTTCTCGCAGTAAATGTTGAGCTGCCCAACAAACATTTGGGTTTGTTGCCGTGGGCACGCCATCTGAACAACAATCCGACATCCTCGCCTCAGTTACCCAATGACCCAGTGGAACGATGTTTGGTCTTGCTAGAACTGACCCAAAAAATGGTAAGGGACAACAAGCATGGCGGTGACTGGGCTCTGCAGTTCTTCACAAGGTTATGGAAACGATTTACGCCTTCATACCACTTGCCGCCAAAAACAACAAAGCTTGATTCTGGCAACCATAGTGAACCCTACGCCAAGTAAGCCAGTCTAGAACAGTTTGAATGTGACTTGTGCGGATCCGCGGCTGTAGAATGTTTAAAGAGTACTGAGTACTACAAGATTACTAAAAAAAGACCAGCAAGGGGAAGAACAGGTGGCATCCAGAAAAAGCGCATCCAAAGCCTTTTCTCAAGTAAGGAAACTTCAGGAACCAACCAAAACTTGCTGGTGCTCAGCAGGGAATGATAATTAGAATGAACCCGACAAAAACCATACAACTGCTGGTTTCCTTTACGGGAACTTTCCGGTTCATTCCAATTCTCATTGGCACGCAATTCACTGAGATGTTGTTTTCTGTGAGTGCCTTCATGTCATTTCCTTGCTATAAGGATTGAACATGATCTCATTCCCTACTTATCGCACCAGCAAGAACAAAAAAAACCAACGAAACGAGACTCGACGTCCCCCGCCTGGCAACGCCGCTTTTTTGCTCTCCTGCTGACGCCCTTGGGACTCCACCTGCGCAGTTAGGACTACAGCTCGGGTCAGGAGACTCGCAACCAGAGCCGGCGGGTGCCAAAGCCAGGTATCCACTTTTTGCATTCCATGGCCGTGGCTGCGCTGAACTTAGGACGAAATGGTAAACATCGCCTGTCTCCCAGCACCCTTCTGAAAAAGAACAACTTTCTGCTGGCTGAAAAGAAGAAGTGAAGGAATATCAAAAACAAGAAACACAAGGGAAGCCAAGGAACAAAAGAACAGGGAAAGACCCAACATGGGTGTGGCGCCTCTTGGGTTTGCCGAGGTCAACCAACAAAACACACGAACCCGGGTGGAGTGCCTTGGGGGTCCCTTCAACATACTCTTAAAACAAGTACCCTTAAGACGGAAACTCTTCGGTTTTCCCAGCGGCAAGGTAACTGGGATCTGTGAAAGTCGGCCCAAGCACTGCCTGAGGCATGTGTTTCGGTACATGTGATTTTCATTTGTCGCCAAGAGTGCCATCAGTGACAGCCCTGTTGGGATTCGGCCAAAATGCCCTGAAACGGCCTTCCAGTAGCAGGTTGTTTCCATCAACCCCAAACCTCGCCACCTTTTGCCATCGACCCCAGCTCCAAGGGTATGGCCAAACTAGCTCCGTTGGTATTGGGGGTCCCCTTTGACACATAGCCAGTTTTCTCCCATCCCGCGGTCTTACGTTCATGCTTCGCTGATGTGCGTGCGACATCTTGCAAGGCTAAGCCAATGTTGCGTCTGACCATGGAGCCTTCCCGCCGGGTGGCGCATGTCAGGCGTCTGGTCCAAGACTTGGACCACCATCGGCAAATGACTATACCAAACAAAGTGCCATCTATGTTCAAACCCACCAAGCGGGTCATGCGCCAAAGGAGGGGGAACCAAACACCGTGGGTTTCTCAACGCTCTTCCAGGTCCTCCAGCGCAGAGGTTAGAATAAGGGTACCCTTTTTTCTGTAGTCTATTTCAGTAGGGGAACCCAAAGCCCAAAAAACATGTCAAAAAGGGCACCTACAACCCTCCCCCAAAAAAGGGGCTAAAAAGGGCACCTAGCTGGGGGACCCTGTCTTCCCCTCCAAGGTGACAGGGTGTGTCAAAAAAAGTGCGCACCGATGCCTTCATGTTGTCAAAGGCAATGCCAAAGCTCACCAGATCCTCGAGCACCGCGCCACGTTTCCCTGTTGACAAATCTATGATGGGAGTTGCCCAACAACCATACCCCTTGGAACCACACATCGATGGCACATGACATAATTGGAACCATACTGATAAAAGTCCTCACTTCCTGAGTGTCCGCATCCACAAAAGCCTAGACTTTCTGTGTTTCTACCTTCAAAACGGTCTTGTCAGGTCAAACGGCTAGGAGCTCAAGTGAGATTCTTGAAGCAAGCCCCAAACAGGCCACCGGATGGCTGGTGCTTGTCTAGGTCCAGATTTGAGAGCTTGGAGCAAGGGTACCAATTCTTTTTTTGGTGTCTGTTTTAGTAGGGGAACCCTCCCAACCAAAAAAGTTGGGCTCAAAAGGGCACCAATTGCTGGGGGGCCTCGTTGTCGACTCGGTTTCTGAAAAAAAACTCGTCTCGCTCCTTGATCTTTCGGTAGCCCCAGCGCGAGCGGAAGCCTTGGACTTCCGCCATCAGCTCCAAGGCCAGGAGGATGAAGAAATGGCAGAAGTACCTGGGCAATGGCCCAAGCCGCTTGGGTTCGGTAGGGGGAAGTCCAAGGACTTGCTGAGAAGCCCCCAGCAGTGATAGATTCCCTTTGTATCAAGTCAACAGGGGAAGCTATATAATATGAAAAACAAAAAAATAAAGTGGGAAAACGGGCGCTTGGTGCATTTTGGACCTCTGAAGTACCTACTTTGGTTCACCACCCCCAACCCCCAAACCCACCCCCGCCTCCACCCCAACCCCACCCACCCCCACCTCCCAACCCAACCCCCGCCAGGGCCCCCGCTTGCACACCGCCGGCTCCCGGCCCACCACGCGGCCCCTCAGCTCCTCCAGCTCCAGGCCCTGCGCAGCGCCCGCTTATGCGATGGGGGCCATATGTACGTGCGCCCAAAAATGGAGCTACATATGCATATATAGACAGATTTCTATATGTATTTCTATATATATATATATGAGAACTGTCGACGTTGTATTTAAAAAATCCCCCCAAGACCTTCTGACCTTCGAAAGGGGGGGCACAGACTAATACGGGGTCAACAGTAGTATATATATATATATGTATATATATATATATATATATGCTAGCATGCATGCATTTATGCATGTCTGTATGTGTGTGCGGATGGATGTACGAATGGATGCATGCACACATGTGTGCTACGTAAATGGTGGTTGTTCCCTTTGTCTCGAAACGGCCATTCTTCGCGAATTAAAAAGTTGCTTTCGCGAATTTTTCGCGGATTCACCACCGTGCTCTTTTCATTTCTTAAGTCAGAGAATCGCAGCTTTTAAGAGCCAGCGAAGTGCGCGAAATTTCCCAACTCCAGCTGTACAGTCGCAACTTTTCATGTACCTCCCCTTGCAATCGAAGCCTGCGCTTTCGCGCGGCTTTCGCGGATCTTTCGCGAAAAATCGCCCACGTTCAGAGCGGAAAGCCACCGACTAACACCCACAAACACACATACACAGGCTTGCAGCACTAGCCAGCCAGGAGCACTAACCAGCCAAGCAGGGTATCAAACTGTAGCCGCACTGTAGCCTCACCAGGCTTTGACAGCGCAACATCAACATCTTTAATCAGCTTAGAAGGAAAGGCTCAGCAGAAAAGATGAATGGTTTCACAAATCATTGATTTACCAGCAAAACTTTCGCGCCAAACAAGTTACTTTCGCAACTCCATCGCGAATCTTGTGCGGAGCTACCTCAACCAACACCGATGTCACAACTGTGAGAAGCGAACGCCTGCAGCTTTCGGTGGCCGGAGGACAGCCGTCCGATGCGAGCGGCGCCCGCGCTTGCCATTCGCCCATGCGATCCATAGCATCCGAGCGCCCTGGATGACAATCCCCAAACAGGTCCTCGGAAGCCTCTTCCTTCGGCAGGCGGCCGGATGCCACTCAAAATCTAACTGTGGGTGGAGGACTGCCCCATGGCGTGGGAGAAGAGAAAGGAACCCATAGACAGGCGAGCCGGGCTGTCAACAGATGACACAGATACGGGCAAAGACGCAGCCGCAGACAGACAGGCAGGCAGACACGGGCAGACAGACAAACAGACATACACGCAAACATTCATACATAATTTGGGTCCTTGTAAAGAGTTTCGGAAACAGCCGCCGCTCTTGGTTGACGTTGGAGGGGGAGCAAAAAATCAAATCTCAGCAGTTAAGTGGGGATTTCCCACGAAACCACGATAAGCAAAAATGTGAAATGTTTCCCAACAACAACCATGGGCTGGTATTGACTAGGGTCAACGCTTCCTTGCTTCCATTGGTTTCGACTGAGTGTCTTCGCTATCAGCATGCTTGAGGCCCAAGTCGGATTGACCTTTGGCGCCTGTTGCAGTCTAGCCAGGCAAATTCCTTGGGCATTGTTCGAAGGAAAGAGATTTAACTGGAAACACCTCCAACGTCAACAGGGGATCCTTACATTGTACACCTGAACATTGCAACTTGTTAAATGGTATTTAGATTCCCTTTGTTTTGGTGGAAAAAAAAGCGCCACATGCTTGTTCAAATGGTTGCAAAATGCTCTTTTTTACAGGAGCCCTGATCAAGCTTCAACAAGCAGCCGCATCTGAAGCCCTGCCTCCAGGGCCTTTTCGGAGTCTTCCTCCGTCAGGTTCAGGGCCTGCATGCCTCAGATTCATGGCAACTGGAAAATTGATGTGTCGGAAAAAAAGGGGGAAAAAACAACAAAAACCAAAACAGATCGCAAGGACCTGGCTCCGAATGTAGGAGCAAGAGTGTGTGTGTGTGTGTGTGTGTTTTGTTTTTGTTTGTTCCTCGCGACGTGACATTTTGAGGTCAGAACATGGGAAGTACGTTGTTTTTGGTAGCGAGATATCCGATATGTGAATGTCTAGCACTAGAAGTCCTTTTTGCCGACCAAATGACCAGTCACTGAGAGGGCAAATCACAAAACTTACAAACCGAACAGGAAACCTATCTAAAACACCTAGCTCGTTTTACCAGGGGACCCCATGAGGCAGCGTATATACTTGTTGTTTGTTGGAGTGGTGTGTGTGTGTGTGTGTGCGTGTGTGGGTGTGTGTGTGTGTCTCAAATGCACCACCTCCAATTTCTATCTACGATACTCAGCTGATTGCTTCCACAACCTGTGCATTGGTGCACATTCGTGACCTAAGAGTTGACTGGCTAGACAACGTTCAAACTTTCTGGCCATAGATTCAAATGAAGCAGACACCTGGCAACAATAAGCGTAAAGCTCGAAAACAATTTGGGGCGCTAAATGGGGGGGTCTGATTTTTGACATTATCCACGCCCTCTGAGAATTATTGGCTACTTGGGTTGTCTCTAAATGGGGAACCCCAACATGGTCGGATTCCCTTTACCATGCCCACCCCAAATAAGGTACCCTCTGAACAAGACAAACCCAGTTATCGCTTTTCACATCAACGAAGAAGTAAATGGCATGGAGATCCGGAGGTCACCCCCCTCCCCCAGTTCGTTTTCTTGTTTTCTTTTTGCGGGGTTCAGAGGTCACCCCCCTCCCCCAGTTTGTGTTTATCTCTTCTTTTTGTGGGCCCAGACGCTCCCGATTTGTGTTGGGCCCTCAAACAGCCAGGTTTTGAGACCCCAAAACCCGTCTGGGTGTCCAATGGAGGGTCTGGGTCTTCCATTGCAGGCGTCTGGGGGCGTGTGAGGGCGGTGCTGCCGACGTTTTTCTCACCGAGCCGCGCTTCACACGGCTAGTGGGGGCCTTGAAGCCGCACATCTCCCGCACGAAGTTGTGCTGGTGCACCGAAAGCTCCCACTGCCTTGATCCGCAGCACACGAAACACACACACACACACACCACGCACACATCCAGATGTTTGTTGAAGAAACAAGCAGGTCCACAATTCATTGGTTTCCCCTTGAGTGAACCAATGGAAGCCAGGCAGCGTTGACCCTACCTAGAGTCTCCATGACCCTTTGAAAATGGTTGGCCATTACCCAAAGTAAAGGGGTCATGGACCCATTTTTGAAGGGTCATGGAGACTCCAGGCACGCACACATCCACAATTGTTTCAAGAAACAAACACATACATAATTGGGGGTTGTCCTACATTCCTTTGTCCTTTTTGGGCGATAATTAAAACCGAAGACTGGGGTTTAGGACGGCCCTCAATTCTTTGGCTTCCCATTGGCTGTTTAGCCCCCAAACACAAAGTCTGCAAAGGATCATGAATTGACCTCTTCCGCCATCCATGAGAAAATCAAGCTGGAGAATGAACTCATATAAGATTGTTGTGCTGTGGTCAAATCTGCCATTTGTGGCTCATGGTCATGGTTTATGATTAAGTGGATTGTTCTTAATGACAAGTGATACAAATCCCAAATAAAGTGGTCTTTTGTGCTTGACCAGTACGGGTGTACGGGGACTCCCCTAATTTGGCGGGTGTTCCTTTAAAGCAAGGTGAAAAGGGTACCCTAAAAAGGCACGCAAATGCACACACGCACACCACTCAAGTGATGCCTATCAAAAGAAGGGTGATACACGAAGCTGAAACCTGTCATCGGCCTTTATGCCAGTGTCCCTTTCCGACGGATCATACAAATAGCCGTGTGATATCCCAAAGATCCAAGGTGTTGGTTTCCATATCTCTTCATCCTTCTTCTCAGAAACCATCCATTTTCTTGGGTTGATCAATTCTGGATACCTCATAATTCCTTCTCTCTCCCCGGCTCCCGCTCGTTTACACTGTGAGACCAGGGAAGTTGAACAGGATTAGAAAGGAAAGGGACGACATTACTGGAACTCCACGTAAACAAAAGGGGCCTGATATGATAGAATACCATGTCCCACGTTCATCCCTTCATCACTTCGCGAACAATGAGTTGGGTATGGAGGGATGAAATAAATGACAATTATGAAAACAAAAACAAAACAAGAACTTCGAAATGTCAAGGTGATATGTTGTCTTTTCCTTCACTAATTTCCTTTACATCCTGCTTTTTTTGATGTGACAGGAATGGGCGGGGAATGGAAGAGAAAGGGCGAGAGCAGGCGGGGGAACTCTGGCGACTTTTTTCTCGTCCACTAGCTCACCTTCTTGAGAACCAGTCAATCACCTAAAGCGTGCTAAGCCATGCAGAGATACATTATATACACCAGACAAATCTACAGAGTTTGGGGAGGTAGACAAGCTCGATGTTCCCCCATTTCTCACAGAAAAGCCCACCATCCCCCCCTCCCCCCCACACCACCCGAAGCTCCTCCCCCACACCACCCGAAGCCCTCTCCCTTCCCTCCTCTCCCCTTCCCTCCTCTCCCCCTCCCCAAAGGGCGCTACTGGGGGCTCCCGAGCTCCCGAACCCCTCCCCCCACCCCCCCCCCCCCCCCACCCCAGCCACCCCCACCCCCACGCAAGGAGCTCTGCAGGCGGCAGCGCGGGCTCCGGCCCGGGAGGCCCCAAGCGCCGCGCCAAGGTCTGGCCGCCCCCCCCGATCTCCGTGCCGATGTACCAGCCGCTCTCCCAGCTGGCCGCGTCCTTTCCGAGCGCCCGGAGAAAAATCGAGGTGAGCTTGGAGAGATGCCCACTGAAGAAATGGAATGACAAAGAAACCCTGGCCAGGGAAACCTCTGAAAGTTACTAGGTCCTCCAGTGGAGAGGTTAGAATAAGGCTACCCGAGTTGTTTTTCTGTTTGGTCTATTTTAGTTGGGGAACCCTCCCAGGAGGCCGCGTCCTTTCGACGGCTTTGGCTGCTCGCGAAATGGAATGGAGTTTCCACAAGCAGTAGAAGGAATGACTGAGTCTGGGTGTTGGGAATGAACCCGAAATCGTTTTTTAGAGGACACCACCAGTGGCATGGATGGTTTTTGGCGGGGTCATTCCATGATCGCAAGTTCTTTCCAACGCGGAGCCCAGGAGCCCTGTGAGCCCCGTGATTGCTCTCGCGGATAGCGGGGATAGATGAAGCCCATATATGTTTTGGGATAACCCGCCTGCATTTAGCAGATCCATCAGTATGGAAGGAGTTAGGAGTTTGTTCAAGATCTGGAAGCCCAGAACTGTGACTCAGGTTTGCCACCCAAACGGATCCAGCTAGCTCCTTAAAGGGACGGCGGCACAAGGGGCGGAAGGAAACCTAAGTCTTCAAGGACGCATTTGAAGACAATTCAAGTAGAAATGGACCCTTTGGCAAGCATCATGGGGAGTCTTCTCCAACCATATTGAGAATGTTCTTACGAACGGTTCGAAACAAGGGAGAAAAGCAAAGGGCTCTTTTTTGCCGTGTTGTTCGCCTGTGGCAGGCCGGCGAAAACATACACACAATGATATATGGACTAATTGCAATGAAGTGCCTGCTGCGCCAAACTCTGCTTCCAACTTCGGGAGGCCCCCGTTTCTTGTTTTGCTGTGGCTTGGGGTCTAGGTCCTCCGGTGGAGAGGTTAGAATAAGGGTAGCCTGTTTTCTGCAGTCTATTTTAGCAGGGGAACCCTCCCAAAAGAAGGTAAAAGGGCATTACTGGGGGACCTAGTCTTTGTCGAACTTTATCCAGAACAATGATAATCCAAACCGCAAAAGCATACCGACATGTTCGGGAAGAGGCTGGACAAAACGTCACATCACATTAATAGATCTCACACAAGCCGGGAACAAGTTGCACTTTGCCAGGTGGCTCTTGGATGCCTGGCTCTGCAATGAGGCCAACAGCCAGGTCATCCAAAACGAGTTGACATATATTAGACAAAATAAAAACTTCACACACCTTAGCTGCCGGTAGATCCCTTTCACAAATGCCGCTTCACTCAAGCCAAGAAGCGAACAGGGCACACGAGTAAGAAAGCAACCTTGAAAGCAACTGTACCAGAACATACGCTGAAAGCCATACTTAGATTAGCATGAACAAAAACTGTGCGCATTGCGGCAAGCCCGAGTTCTTCTGTCCTTGTTGCTGGTCAGCGAGCCTTCCCAGTAGTAGCAACAGAAGCGTTTCGAGATGCCAATTCGCTTCTCGTAGATCAGGCGAGAATGCCCCAGCAGGTCACGTCTGGGAGCGACTCTCTGGAACAAGCCGTTCCTCAGACTCGGCCGAACAGCAAGCAGCACACTCAGCTTCCCACATCTGTTGGCGCTTTGGAGGTGTGCTTTGATGTTTCGGGTTTTTTTTGTCCCATTTACCCACGACCAAAGCCAGGGCTTCAAATCGAAATCCACACCATCAACTGGTTACCTGACACACCGGCAGAAACTAAGCTGGCTTGGAAAAAAACCAGCCCGGGGATCTATTTAAAGGGCCCATAATCATAGGAACCAAGGCATTCATGAAACCGACTGCGACTTGCCGACCTTCTATACGCATATGCTATCATATATGTCTATATGTACATATGTGTATATGTATATGTATATTATGTATTTGTGCATATATGTACGGTATAATGCATTTATGTGTGTACGTACATGTGTATATACATATATGTATGTATATATATATATATATGCATGCATATGTAAATATACATATATATATATATATGTATACACATACATGTATATCTCAACTCTAACGACTTATTCCTCCTCCCGACGAAGCCGAGAGGAGTTCTGCGAGCCGCAGCTCGGGCTTCCGCATGCACCCGGAGAACTCCAGCATGGTGGGCGTCTCCGCCTCTGCGAGATCCAAATCCAACTCCCCGGTGTCGTCGTTCGTGGCGCCTGCGACATACCGGCGAAGCGGCGAAGCAAGAACAACGAGGGACAGCAGGTGCAGGAAACCACATGGGCAACACAGACCTGAAGGATAACCATATTGTGCATGTATATATGCATATAACAAATCTGAAGGTTAACCATATTGTGCATACATATTATACATAGTATGAGTAATATAAACAAATAGATAGACAGAAGGTGATACAATGCACATTTCAACAACAACATATACTATATGGGCCGTTGCCGACACTTCAGCAAGGCCGCTGCCTTTTCACCCAACGGCGCCGAGGCTCCCATTTTTGAGGTGCTCCGCTTCCAGATATGGCGACATAGCAGAACCAACACACCGGAGTTTCCTGATGGCTGCAAGGCTAACAAATAACGTCTGAAAACCTTTGTTGCTTGCTTCACTTCATACATTTGCTGAATTAGTGACTGTAGTTGTTCACAGCGTCCATGTTCCTGCAGGAGATGACCATGCCGTTGGACTCAAAAAGCTCAATTTTGTCATCCGGCCATACCCAAAATCTCGACGTGACATGCACGCCTAAGTCAGGCTTGGTCGTTTGCCAGCGTCCCCCGACCATACGGGAAAGCACTCTTTTTCAGGCCGTTCAGAGCCCAGCTGAAACAGGTGTTCCTGCTTGGGTAGTTTCCCAAGTTTGTAATTAAGTTTGTGGTAGCCTCGGTTACCACCCAGTCAAAAGTTCCCAAATCAGGCTCTAATCTAAGCGGCTAAACACTTAAGTACTTGGCCTAACATCGAAGTGGTGATGAATTGGGCTGTGACTCGTGACCACCCTGATCTCCCAAACTGGGTGCTTTCCAACAAAAGACTCCTTGCTCGAAGGGCTGTCGAAGTGTAGCTGTGTTCCTCCCTGCCTCTTGTAAACCAAACCTACCTCGCCCAACTAAAGCGACAGTGGCAGATCCTCCATTCTTGTATGGGTGTGTCTTAAAATCGGAGACCCAAAAACAGCGAGACCGAAATGCGTCATACTCAAAGCCCGGTAATGAAACGGTCTATCCCAAATCATGTAAAGAATTGACCAGGCGGCTGCACCCATGTACTCAGTTGCCCAAAGGACCTGGAAATAAAAGGTTAACCTTTTGGAGCCATGACTAAATATGGACCAACATGGGAAACCAAAAGGTCAAAAGGTCGGCTTTGAACAAATGAGTGTATGCTTAGGATTCTCCCCTTCCAAACCTTCAATCCCAGGATTTTAGGGAGGTGGCTCCAATGAAGTGCTCCCGGGCCGGCCCGGCACCTCTGGCCTTTAAACACGTCCTGCTGCTCCGCCTCTCGTATGTCGTATGGAATCAGCGGGATGACCTTGGCGTAGCTCGAGGCAGTTTTGGAAGCGAAAAAAAGTGCACGTGTGGGTGGCTCGTCTTTTGGAGGTGACCCCCCCCAAAAAAAGAAGTGTTCATTTTGGTGTTCCTAAAAAACCGCAATCGAAAGAAACAAGGCGAGCCACCCAGCTACCCTGTCCAATCAATAAAGCGGACGGGCGTTTTCGGGGTCCACTTCGAAAGCAACTCGTCTTCCAACATCCTCCTGTCAGCTTGCATAATTGGAGGGAGGCACAACTCGTTGGGTGGCTTGGCCCAAAGTAGAGCATTTTCAGGCGTGGGTTTTGGAGGGATGGATGCAGACATACGCCCCCAGTATAAGCTCCCAAAAAACCCATACCTGAAAATGACCTAGCAAAGTCTGAAGTTGTTTACCGTATTCCCCGGTGACTGATTTCCAGCAACCGGAACATGAGAATCAGAACCAGATTTCCCAACTTGCGGGATATCCAACCGGAGTCCCTATGGCCATTTACCAAAACCCAAGCGAGTTCAAGTCAAAGCTACTGACTCAACATGTGGTTGTAACTCAAAGTATGGAATCTCCAAACAGGCACCTTGGCAGATGGAAACAAAGACAAACACCTGCGTCACCCCAGTGTCTGTTTTGTTTGAGCCACACCCATGTGACCAACTGATTCAACCACTGACACAAAAGTTGAGAGCGTAGGCATCCTGATGCACCGAACCATTCTCAGCCCCGTGTGACGGTATATGCAACAAAAACTCTAGGATCACAAGTGTGGACCAAGAGCTTGGCGCGGAAGAAAAAAAAAAATGGCCCAAAGCCAAGGGGAACGAGATGGCCGAGGAAAAAAAAAGACACCCTAAGCTTAGGGCGTATCGGGCGATTGTAGATGGTGCAGGGAAGCGCCAAGGGACAAGCCAGCAAAACAAACAAAGGCCCTCCCGTTAAAACCCCCAAAGCAGAGCTGTGAGGCTATAGATGGTGCTACTGTGGATGGACGAAATGCTGCACCACTTTGAAACCATGGGAAACCATTGTCTGTTGGTATTTGCAGGACAATCATCCTGCCAGGGTTTCTCAGGTGGTACAGGATTTTGTCCATCCACAGTAGTGGCCAGGCCAAGTGGCATCCCCATCCTTCTCCAAGCCAAAGTTCAGGGCGCAGCGCACCAGGGCGTGCGCTGCCTCGTTGGCCAGCAACTGTCCGATGAGGCTGGCGAAGGACCTCCAGACAGTCACGAGGACGCGATGCGACGCTTCAAATCGGGGGAACCACACGGTTCGTCTTTGGGCCCAAGATTCTAGGGGTTGATTCCCCATTCTTTTCAGCCATCGTTCTTGTCATAAACCAGCCATTTATTCAGGGTTCTGGTGGTTTTCTAGAAAGAAGGATCCCTAAAAAGAATGAGAAGTTACCAGTAGAAAAATAAGTGGTTTTCTCTGAAGGCTTCGTTTTGAGGGGTCGCTTTCGTTTTACAGGGCTTTAGTCGTGTTGCCCCCCAAAGCGGGTCCCCTTAAATGGGTAGTTTTCCTCTTAGGTCCCCCTGAAAACCGCCAACAACCATATAGTGTGTCAAATGGCAGCCAGTCAAACATCAGGTGCCCAAAATGGAACCCTGAAAAATTGTACCTGCGAATATCCTGGTGGTTTAGTGTTGACCCATACCCAAATGTTGTTGGCCAAACAAAGGTTGCTGTCTTTTGTCCGGGTGAGATCCTTCTCCCACAGAGGGTGCCCCGAAGAACACGACAGACCCAAACTAAATGGAAGTACTGGTGTAGCTCCCCAGCTATCTGCTCGTTCTTCGAGTGTGTCGAAAAGGTCCCGTTGCAAGAAGGGTTTCAAGAAGCCGAAAGGCAACTACCACATCATTAGTGGGTTCCATGCAAACATAGGAGCAACTGCGGAAGACACGTATGCATTAATTAGTCAGATGCCACTTTAAACGGATGTGGTTGCTGCGAGATTGTTCGCACATGGTAAAACATGTCAGGAGCTCGCTGATACCGGTGACGCCCGCGGAAAAACGAAAACCCCAACAAGGCGGTAAATGAGACGAGAACAAGGGACCTCGGTGACTTAAGCTCCTAATACCTACTACAGACTGCACGTATAACAGATGTATCCTCATGTGTTTCAATCACTTGCGCTTAGACAACATGACAATATGCACTCCTTCAATCGGGCCCACTCTTGAAGTGATGTAAAGCGCTGCCAAGGAACAATGCAACAACGAAGATGCAAACAACTGACAGCAGCACAGCAACGCAAAAACGCAAAGCTACACAAACAAAACACAACTTTTGTTTACCACAATGGTCGTTCCCGAAGGAACTCAGGGAGTGAGACACGCACGCCAACGCCCAGAGAGCCAACCAAGCCAGCCCAGCTCTTGGGGTTTTGGGAAAATACCGTTGGAACCGTGTCAGCTAGCTTCGCCCTGGACAGGTTCACCCTGGACAGGTTCCCCCTGGCGAAAGAATGAAACCCTTGGGGTTGACCATCAGGCGGGGAACCTAAAACAGGATCATCGGTGCCAGGAACAACATGCGCGAAATCAAGGAACCCGTCTGTGTCAATATCATGGGTTTGGACGCTCACCTGGGCCTTCAAACACGGAATATCGCCCGTTGTTCTTTCTAAAAACAAAAATGCATAAAATCAATGCCATTCACATTCTCTTTCGGATAGTCTGAGGGTCCAGGTGCTTTGTCTTTTTGAGTTCTCCATGACATTTGGAGGAGGGTGCCTTCTCTCAGTTCTTGAGCGGATTGGCAAAAAAAATGAACTTCCGTCCGCCGCTAAAATGGTTTTCCTAAAAAGTATAAAGCCCATAACTTGGTTGCTGTTGACCCCTCTGCAAAGAGTTCTTTTTCTTGTGGGTTTAGTGGAAAACCCCATTGATTCCCCAAGAAAAGTTGAAGTCTAAGGATCCAACCCAACAGCACTCCGTTGCTTTCTGCTCCCCTGCTGAAAGCTTCACTTTGAGTGTTTAATTTGGAAACCCATTAGTTGGCAAATGTAAAAGTCCTAACATGCAAGCAAAATGCCCCAAAGAGCAGTCAAGAGAAACTCAGGGAGTGACTTGGCCTTGGGTCCAAAGCCCGTACCCCCGTCCTTTTTAGTAGTCTACCCTTTTTCTGTAGTCAATTTTAGTAGGGGCCCTCCCCCAAAAAAGAAACGGTAAAAGTTGGCACCTAGCTGGGGGACTTTGTAGCCTCAGGCAGTGACTGAAATCTCTTCCGCTCCACGTCTTCATTTGAATTCCTCGTTCGAGGCGCTGCTCATCGAAGCAGATGCCGCCCCGCACACAGGCGCTCACCACGCGCGCGAAGCGCTCCGCGTCGGGGTTCTCCGCGCAGGTCCGCAGCAGGGCCCGCAGCACGTCCGGGGCGATGGGCTCCTGTGCAAACGTTCCATGAAGCTAGGGCTGTGGGGGGGGGATATCCTGGGACAAGGCCTTATTGAGAGGGCTGATAGGGGGGAACCCTCTAGGGTCTTGGGCTTGTAAGGGTAGGCAAAGGAAACAAGCAAGCCGAACAACCAAAGAACCAACCAGCCAAATAGCCAACATCAAGTTAGGCAGGCAAATTACAACAAACAACCAAGCCAAAGCAACCAAACAGCCAACATCAAGTTAGGTAGCCAAACTAAAACAACCAACCAAGCCAAACAAGCAACCCACCAAACAGCTAACCGCCTTTGGAGTTCCCAAGTTACCGTGAGGCCGGCAAAGGGAAACAAGCGCTACAATAATAAGCCCTGAAATGAAAGCGTTCAAACCTGCAAAGACAATTCAAGCGAAGGCCCCCGATCCGTGATCCCTGGTACACCAAGCACATCATGAATGACAAGCAAGGGCTGAGTCATGAAACAATGCAGAATAGCACAATGCCAAACCATGTTTCATGGCCCTTTAGTATGCCTGATAGGACAACGAACAAATCTGAGAACCTGTATAAGACTTGAATGAACAAGCCGAAAGATGGCCGCAATCCATAAGTTTCAACCCACCGTCCATTCAAAGTGCAGCTGTTTCTGGACCTAGGGAAAACGAACACCTGTCGGATCCCACCAGCCGCGGGCCTCGCAGTCTAGAAGTAGCTCGGCTGCCTCGACCGCTTCCTGACGGAAGGTGTCGCTGGTGTCTCTTGGCAAGGCTAGGCGCTAAACACCTGGCACGCTGAGTCAGCTGTAGTACTGAACTGGAACCCCCCTCTTGGGCCTTAGTGCGCCATTTGCTTAAGACCCCTGGCAGAAAAAAACAAACAAACACACACACACACAAAAAAAAAATCCAGTAGTGATAGATTCACGTCAAAACCAACAGGGGGCAAAAAAGCCTTAAGCAAATGGAAGTAGTGGTTTGATTGTTTGCAGTTGATGGTGTTGATGTGCTGGACCGTTGCTCGCCTTGGAGCCTCGGTGTCTTCTCTGGCTCGCTGACTTTCGATGTGACGCATCCAAACTTCTTCTACCAGCCCCCCCCCCCACAACCACTGCTTCTTTGGACAGCACTTGGGAATTTGGACATGGGACGAAGCAGCTGTTGGGGGGTGCTGGTGGGGGACACAATTCTCAAATGCTCCACGATCACTGTTGATGTTGAGAGGTCCAACTCGGACATTATTTTTAGGGTTAGGGCATGAAGAACAACAAAAGACTGTATGATTCGTTGACCCGCATTCTAACTCCCAAGCTGGTCTCACCACTACCAGTACCTACTAAGGGCCAACTGGCACCGCCGCACCCTGTGTATTGTGTATTGTGAAGCGTTGTTTCAAGTGGTTCTGAATTCTTGGTACTCAGTTTGCTCCGCCAAAAACCACATGCCGCTGACTGGAAGCTCAACTGTGGCGCAGGCATCAAAACAACCAGCGCCATATTTTTCTTGGGGTGTCCCTCAAAGGAAAAAAAACACCGTGTTCCCATTCGCCATCCGCTCCCATTCGCCAGTCGCTCGCTCGCTGAGTCGGTCTCGGTCCTCCGTGTGCTTCTCGTGCAGCGCCTGCGAGAGCTGCGCCTTGGCGCGGCTCACGGCGCGCTTCCGCTGCTTCGCCTCGAGGTCCTCCACCTCGTCCGCACCCAGCCTCGCGGAGGCACCGCGGAGGCGGAGGCGCCGGGCCGAGGAGTGGGTGAAAAACGCAGGGGAGTGGGGGGGAGGGGGGGGGGGTTGGTGGCCTCGCCCGCAAAAAGGAAAAACTGGTTGTGACCCCCCCCCAAAAAAAAACAAGGTTTGAGTTCTCGGCTTTTGGGCGGTTTGGAGCTGTGGTTTGGTGGGCAGGGAGACCCATTCACACATATCGGATTCCCACTGATTGGCTTTTTGGGCGGTTTGGAGCTTTGTTCCGGTGGTTTAGGTGGGTGAGGAGAACCATTCACACATCTTCGCACTAACTGGTGGTTGAGATTTGTGGTTTGGTGGTTAAGGAGGGGTTTTCCATTTAAATCCTCTGTAAGAACCAGGGGTTCAAGCTCAACTCCAATCCACCAATAAAAACCAGCAAGAAAAGGGTAGCCTGAGAAAACCATGGGGGTTGCGTTACCCCAAGAAACGAAAAACAAGCCAACTTCGAGTTTCCATGACATGCTTCCTGGCTTCCTCTTTGTTCCTTGTGGGCGCCGGGTTGTGGGGAAGGCCAAGCTGAGTTTTTTACCGCGAGGCGGGGAGGGCGGCTTCCGCCGGGGGGAAGCAGCTGCTGCTGGGTGTCACAAGGCTGGCGAACACACCGGTGGCCACAGCGCCATGCGATATCATACACTCCAAAAGGGAAGTCATGGAAGTGTTCGAAAAAGACGTCCTAAAATTTGTTCTCAGGGTCGCTCCTGGCTGCTGACTAGTATCCCCGGAAAAGCTGCTGACTCTCTTGACTAGTATCCCCATGGTACAAGGGCAACTGAGACAACAGCAGGGCAACAAGCTGACCCCAGGAACAAAAACAATATGAAATCGATTCCCTTTAAAGCCAACAGACAATCTCTCCACCCAGAGGCTCCCGATTGATTTAGGGCCTTCAAACCAACCTGGTTTTGAGACCAGCCACCGGGTAGTGAAAGGAAATGGAACACCAGGCTGACCGAAGAGTTGCGTGTCAGGCTACTCACTTTGAGCTTGTTTTGAAGGGACACCCAAGGCAGCTTCGTTCTTTGTTGACCTCGGCAAACTCCAGAGACACCACGCCCATGTTGGGTATTTTCCGGTTTCGCTGATTGTTTTTCCTTGGCTTCCCTTGTGTCTTGATCTTCCTTCACTTTTCTGCACCTTGCTGCACGTTGCCTTCCGAGGCGCTGGAGGTTTTGCCATTCCCCCACGAAGCGGGCGGCCATGGATTTCCGAAGAAGTCCGAGTGGCGAGACGTCGGTATGTTTTCTTTGTTATGGGACCCCCCCAAAATGCTTGGTGTCCTTTTGGCTTTCCTTTGAAACCAACCAAAAGAGGTACCCTCAAAAAACAGACACTGATGTTTCCAGTGGGGGGGCTGCTTGATGGAGATTTAGGGTCCGCTTTGCAACCTGCATCATTTTGGGGTAGTGCTGTTTCAGGGTTCTTGGCTGCAACACTTACTCTAAGTGTCCATGGCACCGGAGGGGGGACCCTACCCTTGGGGGGGGGATTGGAACATAGAGTTGGCACCCTTTTTCGGCGGTGTTGGAAGGGAAACTGAGAGGAAAACCCACCTTTTGGGGTGTCCACCTTTTAAAAAGGACCCCCCCCCAAAAAAAAAAAAACGTATATCATGCATGCGTCCAAATTCAATGCCATCCTTCGGTTGCGGGTCGATGCTAAGCTCTGCAGGAGCTGTGACACTTGCATCTCGAGGCATGCTCATGTGCTGTATCCATTGGTCCCCAGCCCCAAAATAATGGTAGCAAGAATGGAATGGCTTAACGAAATAACAGCAAACAAAATAGCTCACATACTTATCCACTAGCATGAGACCTGACAGGTCCCAGATCATGTTCCTGGGACCCGCTTCAGTTCCATGGACATGGGGATAATTTCTCCGATCCGAACTGATTTCCAGCTCGACGGCTTGCTGCATGGTTCAGCTCTTTAAGCCATTGACTTGCTCGGCTTGCGATGTGTCACACTCAATTGCCAGCCTGCATCCAGCAGGTCCACAGGACAAACCAAAGGCATACTTTGGATGGACAAAATCCAATCCGCACCAGTTGCTAGGTGGTTTCTCCCAGTATTCATACTGTGGATGCACGAAATCCATTTCGCACCACCGTTCAGAAACCCTGGTTTCTGATGATTCCCCTGTACACACCAACAAACCTTATCTAGGTCCTCCAGTGGAGAGGTTAGAACAAGGCTCCTAAGGGTACCCTTTTCCTGTAGTCTATTTTAGTAGGGGAACCCTCCCCCAAACAAGAGTAAAAGGGCACTACTGGGGGACCTAGTTATGGTTCAAAGTTTCAAAGTGGTGCCAAATGGATTTCGCAACCATCCACGGGAGGGTTTTCTCATCCGGCAGGGCGCTGGCATTTAAGTTGCCAACCCCGACGTTGGCTCATGTAAGGGCACCTGACGTGCTTTTCCTAGTTCCCACAACCTCCATAAAACTTGCGAGAAAGCCTGCAAAACTGTTGTCTCATACTCATATTCATCTGCGTCATGTTCATTCCCCCAAAAAAGGTAAAAGAGCACTGCTGGGGGTCCTTGCCTGACAGGAACCATATATGGGTCACTCCCTCATTCCCCCTCATTCCCTGCTGAGAAGTTTGCCTGTCACTTCCCATTTCGGCATCACGCTCCGACCAGCTGACGATGCCAAGGAGTCAGGAGCCCAAGAGCCGATTAAGGACGTGGATCAAAGGCCCTCTCAGGTCTTGGGATCCATAGACCCACATCGGCAAGGCCCTATACTCAGTTGCCCAAAGGACCTGGAAATAAAAGGTTAACCTTTTGGAGCCATGACTAAATACGGACCAAAATGGGAAACCAAAAGGTCAAAAGGTCGGCTTTGAACAAATGAGTATAGCTAACCAGCGCTTTTGTTTCCTTTCTGGTTTCAGGCACGCCCGTTTTCGGTTACCTAGTACAGTTGGGGGGTTGTTGTCAAAAATGAGTACCCTCTTTGGGCCATGGATAATGTGGGGCCCGCCTTGAGGGGACCAAAGCTGGGTCCGTATTTTGTTTACCTCCTACCAGGTGCAATCTGGGGAAAAATGAACCGGCAACACACCGACGAGCTGATTTTGAAGCCAAAACCCGAAAAACAGAACGTGCAATACCCTGAACCCTCCCGGTTGCAAACTACTTTGAAGCCAAGAAAAAAAAACAAAAAACTCAACCTTCCCGGTTGCTGCAAAGATAGGCTCTGTGTGTCCGGGGAAAAGGTGCAACATAGGCAGGCCTTCCCGTTTCTCCTGCTGACCAGGGTTGTGGGAAATGGAATCCACGAATCTGTGATACAACTGTAAAAGGGCCGAACCCCAAAGACTAATTTATCACCCCAAAAAAAGGGGGAGATTCCCAAAAGTATCACAGTGGTTGGATCAACCGCCTAACTTTTAATTTACTCAAGTGGCCTGCGCAAAGAGTATATAGTCCAGGAACTCAGGAAGTGGTTGAATAAACCCCTGGATTCCACCCTGCTGTTGACAGCTTTCCAAGCCCCGCTGACCCCGGCTTCTAAGCCCCGAGCTCCGCGACGTAGCGAGCCTCCGCGGCCCACTCCGCCTACCCGGGAGAAGTGGAGCGGAAGTGAAGCTGTGGCTCACGAGACCAAAGGACCCCGAAATTTAGGGTTAGACATTCAGTTGAGACCAAATTGGGGGAATCGAAAGGTGAAAAGGTCGAGAAGCCTTTGAGCAAGTGAGTCATACTCAAAAACCGGTAGTAACATGGTCTACCCAGAACCATGAAAAGAAGGCGGGCGCAGCTACTTTTGGTTGGGATTGTCCCGTACTACCCTTCATCTACCCGGGTTTGAGCACGTGGCTCAAGTGAGGTTGCAAATGGAAGACTCTTCAGGTGCGGCAATATCTGTGTCCTGAAGAATGGGCTTCATGGGCAACTGAATGCCCACAGTGCCACCTTTGACGTATGGGTGGCTCGTCTTTTTTGGGGGTCGCCCGGTGTTGGTGGTTTGTTTAAGGAAAACTCAAAGAAACTCAATCATTTTTGGGGGTTCCCCGAAAGAACAAAAATACACCCATCCATGCGCTGGCATGGAAGCTCGCTTCTGTCTGGACTATGATCAGCTATAGATCCCTTTGCGTCGCGCCCGCTGAAAATCGAGTCTCCCGAAGGCGCGTGTTCGATGCAGGTTTCTCACAAAAGACATACTGTGGATGGACGAAATCCATTTCGCACCTATTTGAAACCATGGGAAACCGTTTGTTTGTTGGCATTTTACACGGCAATCATCATTCCAGGGTTTCTTAATCTCCTCCCCCTATTAATGAATGACCCCCATTAATAATAAATGCAAATCCGGGGCCCGAGACCAGATTTCCACTCCGTACAATTGATTTTCAATTGCCCCAATACTAAACCAATACTAAAGTCTTGGAATCCTTATTAGGGGGCACTTTTAGCAAGCTTCCAGCTCCACTTTTAAAAAGGTGGGTTCCTCAATTCCCCAAAATGTTGCTTCCCCAAAAGCTGGCTTCCCCAAAAGGTTGGGTTCTTTTGGTGGGTTCCCCAAAAGGTTGTTCTTGACTCTCTCCCCAAAAGGTTGTCCCTGGTTGTCCCTGGTTCCTTCCTATCACTGAATGCATGTCTGGCTGTCTTGAAACCCACACGCAAAAAAAAAACAACCCCAAAAACCCCAATTAAAAAAACATATATTGTTGGGGGGATTTATTTATAATAGGGGGGGGGGGGGGCGTATTTATTAATAGGGGGAAGAGATTAGGTGCTGCAGGATTTTGTCTATGGCCTGCTCCCTCTTTGGATCCCTCGGCGGCAACACCCACAGCACCACACCAGACTTCGTATCGAGCAACGTGCGCCTGGGTTGGGCAAGCGCAGGCGACGCACAGGCTTGCCTGTCGCGGATCGAATGGATGCGTTTCAGCAGTCACAAGTGAGCGGCAAATGACTTCAATCGTTGTAGAATTTCATCAATCAGGAATGTAGCAAAAAAGAAACCAGACACCATGCACCAAACAGGCCTTATCTACAGCTTACATCAGCTTCTGGATCTCTCTGCAAAGCAAAAACTGTTTGTGCGTCCTACTCCCCAAAAAGTTAAAGTCCAAAGATCCAACCAACTAGCCATAAGTAAAAATCCTGAGAGTTGGCTGTTCCGCACTGAGTACGTGTCCATTCCAAGAGACTGCCCAAAAGAGTGCAACTCTCAATCTGGCATTCAGAGATATTCTGAAGAACTGCATGATGGGTGAATTTGTTTTACCCCGAGCATCGCAAAATCCCGCCGCCGAGGCTATGCTCAAACACTGGATAAGATCTAAAGGCGCGCGTATCGCATTTACCAGAAACGCATCCACCAGTTTAGCAAGTTTAAGTTTGAGACGAAGCCAAGACAACTTGGCACTTGCGTTACGAGTTCTTCGCAACGGCCACTTAATGCCTTTTGCGTCAGGGGGTTGCTTTTTTGTGTATTGGACCATTGCAGTGCACCATTGAAAAGAAAAAAGCGGTTCTTCCACAGGTTGACCAGGGTAAGGAAGGGAAAGCCATGAGGATAGGGACCCCTGCTCATCTCCCAAGTTGTGCCGGCAGAGTTCAAGGCTGCAAACTCACCAAGCTGTCCTAGGTCCTCCAGTGGAAAGGTTGGAATAAGAGTACCAGCTTTTTCTGTGGTCTATTTTAGTAGGGGAACCCAAAAACCCGAAAAAAGTTGGTAAAAGGGCACCTAGCTGGGGGACCTAGTATCCTTTTGTTTTGAGAAGCTACAACATTTATCTTCTGGAACGAGCTGGGAACCACCAAGCTTTCTTGGAGGTGGTACCCCCCCCTTCTTGGCGGTTATCCTCCACTTGAAGCAATCCGAGCTCCGCTTCAAATTCATCCCCTCCGATCCGATGAATCGGACGGATCCCACGGGATCCGATCGCGCCTTCGGCATCTCATCTTGGCTTCCTGCGAGGTGCCCCTTTGATCCATGGGGTGTTTTGTGTGTTTTGTGTGTGTGTGTGTGTCCGGGACTTCAAGTGAAAAACATCGTCGAACGGCCGCTCGTGGCTCACCTAGCCTTGGCAATGGCTTTCTACCATTTCTAAAGCGTTGATGACCATCCCTGAGCAAAGGGGAATTGAACACACGCAGAACTAGTGATGCAGCATGGAATAAAGATGTCTATTGCACGGCTACAAGGGTGTGCCCCATCTTTGGCTTTGAAAACAAAGTAGTGGCAATGTCTTGCTTGCACCAAAACAACCAGAAGCCAACCCCATGCACAATGCCAAGTCCAAGCACGTGTCATGAGCGGAGCCTACAGCTCAACATGGTGGCCACTGCCAACTTCAAGATAGCTGCAATCCTTCAGGGAAATGCAGCACTCATGCAACTGAACAACGAGCAACCACCACAACTTCGCACAAGGAGTAAGCAGTTAAACATATTGGATACCAACAAGTGCCGGGTCTAAGCTCAGCCTGAAGTGCCGTCCACTCACTCGCTCGCTGTAAGTCAGAAGTACTTGAAAAGGAGGAGAGCCCGGTCCCCAAATGGCTACGTCTCATGACGGACCAACCATAAGCTGGATGACTGGAACAGAATTTCCCCCAACCCTCCAAACCTCCAACCCTCGAACCCGTCCCCCCCAAAAAAAAACAGCAACTTCCCAACTCCCCCAACCCTCCGGAAACCCGCCCCCAACCGCAACCCCCCCCCCCCACCCACCGCAACCCCAACCCCAACTGCCCCCCCCCCCCCATCGCCGCACAACCCCCAAGGCACAGCTCTCTGCACCTCACCTGCGCTGGGGCACTGGATGGCCAGCTCTTTCAGCAGCTTCTCTCCTCGCGCAACGCGCAACACGCAACCCGCGCCGCCAAAGCGCCGCGCCAAAGCGCTTCGACCCTCTGACGCCCGCGATCCTTTCGCAGTGGACACCGAGGAAACCCACAAATTGTTTATGCCGGTGTTCTTGTTCTTTGTTTCCCCGCAACCTTGAAAAAGCCCTTGCTATCCCAGGTCCTCCAGTAGAGAGGCTAGAACAAGGGTACCCTTTTTTTCTGTAGTCTCGTTTAGTAGGGGAACCCAAAAAACCCGAAAAAGAAAAAAAAACGGTAAAAGGGCACCAATTGCTGGGGGCCCTAGTATCCTTTTGTCTTGAGAAGCTACACCATTTATCTGGAGCTGCAGAGCTGGGAACCTCCGAGCTTTCTTGGAGGTGGTACCCCCCCCCTTGGCGGCAATTGTCCACTTGCAGAAGGAAGCCCCCTGGACAAAGTAAAAAACCCAAACATGCGTTGCATAGTGATAGACCCCCTGAAGAACCAAGAGGGGAAATAGACAGTTCAGTCCCGGACTCCAAATGGATCTTGGCGTTCCTTTAGGGTCCCCTTTGAACTTGCGAAACCATGGCGCCCTCAAACGAAAAAAAAAAGACCCACATGCGCCCTTCTGGGACATCTCCAGGATATCGGGCCGAAAAATCGCCCCTACCCTCAGGGGGAAAATGGGTTACCACAAACGGATTTCCAGGGGTCGAACTACCCCCTCCCCCAATTTCCTTTTAGTCTGGGGGGGGGGATTGCCAAAAGACACTCACCAAAACCAAACAGAAGCAGTAAGGGTAACGTTCAACATCACCAGCCTCACATCCCGAAGACGGCAAAACTGGTCACCTGCAGGTGGACCCACGGTAGCAGATTGATGCAATAACTTGGCATCACGCATGCCACTTTGTCTTGAAAATGCCAGTAAACCAGCCATTGGACAAACAACAAGGGAATCTTGGTTTTGCGCCACCGGTTGGGAACCAGTGGCGCCACGCTTCGGTGAAGTTCCGATGCACTCACCATCGGCTCTTGCACAAAGATCCACAAACCATTGGCGCGGAGTCGTTGGCGCCAAGCCGGCGGCGCAGAAACCAGATGCACCGCTGGGCTCAACTCCCCAAACATGCTGGCTTGTTACTTGGCGCACGGCTTACCTGAGAAGCACTGGCCTATGCTGTTCACGCGCACGGCAGGAGATGGCAATAACAATTCAATCAAACAAATGAAATAAACAAGTGGAAAGTAATGTATATCTGTATATACACAGATAATAGAGAGCAATCAAACAAAAAACACAGAAGAACCAACCACATTTCGGAGAATGAGCAAGAACCGTTTGCAGAAGGATAAAAGATAATGATCAATGAAAGAACACAGTACCCTCCATCCAACAAGGGGCTCTGGAACACCACTTGCCCTTCGGCGAAACCAACCACTGGAACCACTTCCCTGATTGTTGGAAAGAGGGTGAAGCTGCTTAGATAGCCAAGTTGCAGTTTTTTCAGTCACTGTTGCTGGTTTTTGGATGGCAAAGTGGATGGAAAAAAGGCGATCGCAACCGGCGATCCCGGTTGTTTCCCTTAAGGCTTCCCTTTAGGGTCAAAAGCCCGTACCTTCAGTGAACATCCCAATCCCCACTAAAATAGACTAAGATGGGTGGTGCACCTACCCCAAAATACCATGGGTTTTGACCCACAGCCTGGTTTTTGCCTCATTCCCACAAAGCCAAGCTCGTTGCGAAGCCCAAAGACCGAGCCCCCGCCTGCGCGATGCATCATCCGCCAAACGGGCCAGTCCACCGCCTCGGCGACGCGCAAGCGGGGTCCAAGGCCTGGGGAGTTGCAACGTGAAGGAAAGGGCCCAAATTCTCACTGGCTGAGTGGATAGCCCAAAAAAAGTCCAAACTCTTTCTGTAGCACTAAAATGGTCCTCCCAAAAAGTTTAAAGTTCATGAACTCAGGGAGTGAGCAATTTCAGTTGGCCTGGACAGCCCAAGTCACCCCGTTTTTCCAGATCGGCTGGGGGGGAAGAACGGCCTCGCCCAAGCTGCGCCAGTCTTTTGTTTCCTCCAGATCCGCAAAAACGGCCGCAGAGGCTGGGACAAATCAAAACCACAACTCGGCGCCTGGCGATCCAATCAATCAAGGGCCCTGCACACTGATGAAATGAGCTTGTTGGCTGCCCTCCCGGTCCACAGGGGTCATGGCTCCATGGACCCAATTCTGCCGCTGATCCAGAAAGATGGATCTCAAATTGCTTGTCTGCGTATAAAAAATATATAATAATAATAATAATAATAATAATAATAATAATAATAATAATAATAATAATAATAATAATAATAATAATAATAATAATAATAATAATGATAATAATAATAATAATAATAATAATAATAATAATAATAATAATAATACTAATAATAATAATAATACTAATAATAATAATAACAATAATAATGATAAACATGATATATATATATATATAATACACAATATATACAGTATATAGTCACTGTCATACAGCTGTCCCGCCAGCCTTTTCAAGACATGAACAGCCAGACAGAATCCTTGTCCTGGATTGTAACTCCTAACTGTATGCAATGATCTAGGGGCCAACCAATTTAGGGCACATGCCGTCCAAACATCCGACACGCTTGCCAGTGACAAGCACTTGCCTTCGGACTTCTTGCATTCACATCTCGTGACTGTTCCCAAGCGCAGGTTTGTCTTTCTTGGAGGGTGCCAACCATCTTTGGTTGCCTAAATGGAAAAAAAACACAGTTAACTCCAAACCAAAGCAAGCCGGGTCCATCATTCCGAGGCGACTCCAAAACCTTCGCAACTGGCTCCCAAACTCAAAGAAACTTACGTCCAATCCAAGTTTGGGTACGGGATACATCCCAAAACCTGGCAGAAAAGGAATCCAGCTGCACATGTTTTTTTTTTTAAAAAAAAATAAACAAACCAACACAGAAACACAGCTTTCCTTTTGGTATCCCTTTCACGCAAATTGAACGGAGCCTCATAAAAGGAGCCTTCGCCCCCCAAAATCCCATGGCCTCCCTTGTCTAAACCTCCAAAACGGTATCCTTTGACTCACTCAGATTGCCTGGTTTGAGGGTCACCTTGCGCCTTACCTTCGGATAGTAACACCCAAAGGTGCGGAAGCTTCGGGGATTCATGTCCGACTGGTGGCTTGGATCACTGCGGATTCATGTCCTGAAGTCTCCTTCTGACCCACAAATCGGGACCCCAAAACTAGGGGTGGACCTCCAGGTTTCAGTCGGGTTATGGGACCTCCAGGCACCAACCTTGTGAGCTAACTCTAAAAATCGGCTTCGTTGTTCGGGGTGGGGGTCCTTCACAAGAACCGGAAGCTCAAGTCAAATCCAAACCCGGCTTCAAATTGTCACTCAGTTGTTCAGTGACCCTGGCAAAAAAAGGGAACCCTTCTTCGGGCTTGGACCATTTTTGGTGGGGCAACCACCAAACAAAAGGGGAAAAGGAAAAGAATTGGTGCCACTGAACAACTGAGCTCCAAAAGGAGCTCATGAATAGAGTTAGGCCCAGTTTTAGAATGTAGCAGCTTTTTAATTGTTTGCTTCACTTGGAGTCACTGGTAAAATGTTACAAATGTATCCTAAGTCTACCCCAGGACATGGCTGTGGCTCAAAAAACCGGTACCAAAATGGGTTGCCCCGGTAAGTGGAAACATGGACCAGAACCTAAGTCTCCACCTTCAACAAGAACCACCGGGATGGGACGATCAGAGGCCCGCCATGAGCTCGAAGAAGTAGGGCCCCTCCGCCAGCTTGGCCCAGCTCAACACCTCCTGGACGGACCCTACCGAGAAGCTTCTGGCCCTAAAAACGCCAACAACATGAGAGATATATGAAGTATACCATATATATATATATATTTATGTATATATATATATATATAAAGTCTACCATATATATATATATATGAATATTATACGTAACACAACTTTTGGCATGGGTTCGCGAAAACTGATTGATTGTTTTTGGCAGCCCCCTAAACATGAAGAAAGATTGCCAAGAACAGTGATACCCAAAACAAAGCCCGTAGATACAGGGAGATTCCAGGTACCCAATGCCAGAACAACGGGGGGTGATTTCCCGATGTTGTTAGATCGAGGGTGCAGCTTCGCTGTTGAAATTGTGTGAAGGGAAACCAATTGGGGGGGGTACCCTGTTGGGACACATCCAAATGGGCCGCTGTGCAACAGTGCCTCTTGGATACAACGTGAGATAAATCCAAGATTAGGGCGTGCGTGGTGGCTCCCAGCCTCGTATGAGTGGCCTGTTTGCATGTCTGTACATTGTTGCCGACCTGTCAAACAACGGAATGACCGTTCAAACCCGGTGCGCTGCAAACAAGCGGAGGAAAGCACTGCTGCTGGATGAAGCAAAGTCGGCCAATTTGCAGGCCATAACTTCAACGCTGGAAGGTTTGAGCGTTAGACAAAATCCCTAACACACCTTGCTAGAGCTACGGTCTATGAAGAAATCTCCCGAGAGGTCTGGCAGGTTGTCTTTACAGGTTGATTTGGACAGTCTCTACGAATATTGAACTTGATAGTGGCAAACAGGACTCACGAAAACCAACAAGGGCTTCGGCAAACAAGTGCAGTTGTTCGTGATGGTAGACATGCCGTGGTCGAAACTCCTGAAGGTAACCATGGTCGGCTTGTGAAGAGTCCACAAAACCAGCATGATTTTTTATTTGAAGGGTTTTGCGATTCCACCAGGCCCTAACAAGAACCAACACAAAGACCATGGCTCACCCGTCCCTTTCGCTTCCGCCCCTCTGACCTGAGTCGCGCCGAAAGTTCCTTTCTTGACCCACAAAAACTGTTTTAGCCCTGCCAACTAACTTAACTTGATCGTTTCATAACCCCCCATGGTTGACGGCATCGAACATGTTGAACCCAACAAGCTTGAAGCTTGATCTTATGCTTACCCCTTAAAACTCCAAGCCCTGGGGAAGTTAATCTTTTACAGACATATAGCCCATGTTACCCAAAAAGTTGAAAAGTTGTGTTTTTAAGGGGTAAGTTATGTTTGGCAACTGCACCGAACTCCGAAAGCTCTCCAGCACAAGCGTCGTCGACACGAACAAAACTGAGAGGCCTTCTCCACGGTCTGAAACAAGACCTCGACGTCTCGCAGCGCCTGCGTGGTCATCCTGGGAGGCTCGGGAGAGGTCTCGAGCGGAATCCACGGCAACACTTTCCGCTTGGTCTCTCTGCAAATTTGGGGAACCCCTTCTGGATGGTTTGAAAGGGAAACCAAAAGGACACATGGAGGGGCACATGTGGGAACAAACCGCGTATTCAGTCTGCCCTAAGAATTTGAAATAGCTTTGGAGGAGACCCCAGAAATGACGATTCACACCATACGGGAATGCTCGAGTGACCTTCATGGGTGAGCTTGCTTTGTCAGGCCTCGCGAGGGCTAGTCCAGTCTCTTGCTTTCAGACACAACACGTGTGTCTATAACCCTGCACACAATATCAAATAACTCAAACACGTGGTAGCGTCTGTTCAAGAGAAGGGCTGCAACGAGAATAGAGCCTGATCGACTCTTACTGAAGGCAACCTCCCACCGCCAATTCGTTGTGAATGAGCTGAGCTTGGACAACTATTGCAATACAACCATTTATTAAGTGCTGTCAGCAAGCGGAACAGTTTCGCAGTCACATGCCTGTCACTATTGGCCCAATGCAAAAGTGTATGAATCCGCCAAGTGATTCGAGCAACTGCTAAGCGGAGATATAATAGCACACATAGTACAAAAGCCTGGCAGGTGTTTTCATTTACCCCAGAAAAACAACACAAACACACAAGCAACAGAGTGTCGAGCTGTGCAGTGACTAGCACATGCGCAAATTGACAACGTTCTGCTGCCACTTCATACCCATGACAACTGTTTCAGTCAGAACGCTGCCTTCCACGTCCCCGCCCAGGCCCGCACGCGCTTCCAAGAGTATTCGAGCCCTTCTCCTGAAGACGGGTTCATGGACCACGCAGACCCTATTTTGCTGTCGGAAAGGAACACCACTCTGCACATCTTCCTCATAAGCAAAACTTGTCTGCTTGGCGATCGGAGTGTGGGGGCCTGCCTCATCCATAACAAGTTAAATTGATGCAGCCTGTGTAAGCAGCCACGCAAACATTGCTCAATCGTAGAAACCCCAGTTTAGCTATCACTGTCGAAGGGGCCCCCAACCCCATATTAATGAACAATAAACGTCAGCTTGAGCTTGGACTTGACGAAGACCACAGGGCCAGGTTTACTGCGGAATTCAAGAAAACCGCGGAAACTTTGTTGAAGTGTAGGAAAACGTTGTTGAAGTGTAAGAACAAACAAACAAAATATCCAAGCACAGAAGCAAACAACTTTTTTGCGCAGTAGCAAGGAAAGTTCGGTGCACATTCTGCGCCTTGATGCGACGGCTCTGGAGATAGAGCAGTGAAACCAAGTGCCACTCACTACTTCTTTTTGCTGAGATAATATTTGCAATTGTCTGCTTTTGGTTTAAAAGGGAATCTATCACTACTGGGAAGATGATTTGTTTATGTTTTTACCATGGGGCTTAAGCAACTGTATGACTAGCATCGAACAACATGCACAAACTACTACGACATGATGAGTAGCGGAGCAATCATGGCAAACCTGTGAACAAACACAACAGCTGAATCAAGGGCAGAAGAACAATTGGGTGTGTCTTCATTTAGGGACCCCAAATAAATGGTGGTGTTCCTTTGGGTTTCCATTTAAAACCACGAAGTATTGGTCCCCTCCACAACTAGGTCCTCCAGTGCAAAGGTTAGAATAAGGGTACCAACTTGCTTTCTGTAGGCTATTTTAGTAGGGGAACCCTCCCAACCCTTTAAAAGGCGTGAGAAAAGGCATCCCGCAAACAAGAAACGGTAAAAGGGCAGCTGGGGGACCTAACCATTGTAAGAACCTCCCCGCATGCGACCGGAAGCTGTCGGCTCCGCAGGTTGCAGCAGCCAATCCGCGGTGGCGGCGGAAGCGGCTGCCCGCCTCATGCCGGCGAGCTGAGCTGTTTTGGCCCTTTGGAACTTCGCTTCCTGAGTGGATGGCCCAACAAAAAGTCCAACCGTTGTGTTTGCCACTGAAATATGGTCCAGGTTAGAATAAGGGTGCCCTTTTGCTCTAGTCTATTTGAGTAGGGGAACCCTCCCCCAATAAAGGGTAACAGGGCACTACTGGGGGAACTTGGAATATTCACTTCCTGAGTGAATGGCCCAAACCATGTCAAAACTTTTGTTTGCCACTCAAATGGTCTTCCCATTTGTTGCTTAAAAAGTTGAGAATAGAAAAACTTCTAGGAATCACCGCCTCGGATCGACTGCAAATGGAGCCCAATGGACCTGACGTGGAATGCCAGATTCACCTACGAGCATTGATCAAGAACGCAAATTCTGATGCATGCACTTCCTGAGTCTGAGTTGAAATGAAAATTCCTAAGATCATACAATCCAAAAAAGGCTCACTACTGGACATGTGCCTTCCCCTCTGGAAACTGCACGCGAGAAACTATGGCAAGCTGAGTCTTACAAAATTCGACACCCCGAAGGATTCCGACAATGGACGGCTTCCTCAAATTCGTGGAGCTGTCAAACCTAGAGAGGTGTCATGATTCTAGCTCCCTCAAGAGCAACCCTATCGTAGCCTAGAAATCCAGAAGCTTGAGAACCATCCTTGCCAACCCACCGGTAATGTGCCACACGAAGTCGACAAGCCCCTCGTTCTTCTTTTCTGCCCGACTTGTCTCGTGTCTTTGGCCGCGTGGCCGCAGCGCCGAAGCGGAAAACTGGGGCCGAAGGATTTGGACGAGGCGGTCTCTTGCCGATAGCCGCATAACCAGAACTGAGGCCCAGGAGCATAGGTGTCCTTGTAGAAAAATAGATGGCCCTGGTAGATGATTAAACCACCAGGTAAACCAGGGCCATCTATTTTCCTAGCAAAACAACCAACAAGGACACCTATGCCCAGGAGCTCAAGGACCGCCCGAGTTTCGACACAGAAAACTCGGCGGTGATCCGCAAGGCCGTGTTTTAAGGCGTCGATGGGGTAGACATTGTGACCCTCGCAAGGCTGAACATTGTGTCTCAAAATGGGTTGAACCTGCTTTTGGGATGGGCTTTAAAGGTAGAATCCTACCCAAAATCACCAATTGGTGATGGTTTCCTATTGTGGGACAGCCCTGTTGTAGCTTGCTCTGGGTGAAGGCCTTTATCTGCATGCATTGTCCAGACGGAACTGCTGCAAAGCCCCACACTGTTCATGAGTACCGCCCTAAGCCTGGATTCGAGGCGTTTAACCCGCTAAATTGTCAGGCCAAGAACAGTACGATCCTTTTTGGCATTTTGGGCCTCACTGTAAACGCACCAAGTACCGGCAATGAAGCTTGGAAACTCGACAGATTATTTTTTCTGACCCTATGGACACCTGCAGTCACTCGAGGATATTCCCGAGCTGAGCCATTGAAGCTACATCAGCCTTGAGGACATGCCCCGCCACCATCAAATACATCACATCAAGTCTGGCTGCCAGCTACCAGCTGCCTTGGAGCTAAGGCTGTCACCCTAAACAAGAATCACCGTGCTACTCTCCGGGTCCATGAAAAAACCAGGGCCTGCTCCAACCACACCCCGATCGATCTCTGCCGTTCCTCAAAGCTTTCCCCTCCCCAAAGCTTTCCGCCTCCCCGAAGCTGAGTTGAAGTCCATAAGCTCCCATAAGAACGCAGTGTGATGGTGCATGTTCCATCCCGCGTGGATCCCAGGCAAGCCACTATAGGAAGCAAGCAAGTGTCCTTTCTTGGCTGTTGATTTGGGTGGCAAGCACTTTGTTCCCTGCCTACTAGGTAAAGGGATCGACTGGGTTAAGTTAGATTCCCGTTCGCCATGCTTCCAAACAGGGAAATGAAATCACTGGGTCGGAGTTGTGTGAGCCATCGTGAGCCAAAATGGAAGGCATGGGCCTCAAAGGTCGACATATCACACAGCGCCGGTCGAGGGAGTCAGTGACGCCAAAAACTGCACAGGCGGTTGCTTGCTGGTGCGATAAGCAGGGAATGTGGTTGAATGAACCCAGGAATTGGTCCCCTAAAAGGAAACCACCTGTTGGATGGTTTTTTTTCGGGGTCCTTCCATTTCTCATTCCCTGCTGAGAACCAGGAAGTGTTCAGCCCGGCTCAAATGTTTGCGAACATCCGAAAGATCACAGTGAGCAGCGTACCCACCACAGCGAGGTACACGTACCAGAGTGGATCTCTCAGTAGCTCCTTTAGCGGCTCTTTCACCACCTTCTTTACGCTCTTGATGAAGTCATTACTGGTGTCCTGCCAATGTGTATGTTTTTTGGAGTGTAAACGTACTTGGCCAAAGCCAACACGGCAACACATAAACAACCGGCCTTGAGATGGCCTTGAGATGGCCTTGAGCAATTGAGTTATTGAGCGCAATGACCAACGCCCGAAAGCAATCATGTCAACTGAAGCCTCAACGCAAGTCTCGCGCTGGCGCAGGTTGGCTACACAGGAAAACACGCATGGTCGCAAAAGAGATGGGAGACAGCCAAAAAGCAACCAACAAGGCCAAGCTGGCCAAACCAAGACCTTAGCACTCTGCAACAGTCCAAGCCTTAAGAATCACCCGACATTGTTCATATTCATGATTCCATTTGGAGACAAATGATTTCTATACGCTCGTCCTATCAAAGAGTCCCCAGCCAACAAAAAACCTGTACCTTCAAGCAAAGGCAGCCCACTTTCCTTGCCGAATGCAAATTGAACTTGTCTGAGACAATAGCCTTGGCACAGGGGTTGTTCAATCTGTTGAAAATCCGGGTAGCTGGCTCCACCTGGGTTGCTTGGGTCCCGGCTCACTTCCGATCAAGTGGGCTGGCCAAATTAAGTAGCCTATGTTTTTTATTTACCATCAAAAAATGGTCCAAACCAAAAAAGTGACTGCAGTTCGAAACGGAACTTGGGAAGTGAAGTTTCGGGGTGGGCTACCAAGGGACCACCCTTTAAAAGGGGCTCCACCTCCCAGCGAGCGCCTCCCGTCTCCCGTCTCACTCCTTGGCTGCAACGCGGCCCTCCACAGGCTCCGCGATGGTCTTCCCCCGCCAGCTGCCCGCGATGCCCGTGGAGAAGACCCAGCCGTCCCCGGAGGCCAGCTTCAGAAAGGTCTGGCCCTCCGAGGTGATGGAGTCCGAGACCTGGAACCTGGGAGCAGAGATTCGAAATCGGAGGGACAAAAACAATCCAAGGAGCCTAGGAGAAAAAGACAGAACAAACACAAAAAACCTAACAACAAAAAACGTGAGTCAGAGAACTCCTTAAAAACCAAGACAGCCAAACACCAAACACATCCAAAGCACCTGGGAGAAAAAAGGGAGAAAAAACAAACAGAACGAAAACACGACCCTAAATTGAAGCTCATAGCTTACCCTCAACATCCCCAAGAAACAGTTGAATTTTGGCTGCCACAATCAGTCCCACTGTCTACGGGGTTCTCAAGTTCTCCCCTAAATAAAGCTTGGACTGAGGTGCTTGTGGCACGGAGTCTGCTATCTGCTGTCCCCAGCGGAAGCTGAATGCCCCAAACCCGGATCCGCGACACGCCACAATTTGCGGGAGGGTGCTTTGCAACAAGGACACCGTGTGTATGCGACGGTCCGTATACATGTCTCTCAAAATGACTCCAGAGACGGATTCTCACTGAACAGGGCGGAAACAAGAGATCACGTTCCTTGTCGGCGATAATTTAGCAGGCAACATCAAGAAAGCAAACCTCTGTGGGACACGAGGAATCTGCGGAGTCTTAATAACTCAAACATATTCAAACTGTTCAAGGAAGGAAGACACCGGCCAATGCAAGGCCTAAGTGCCCTAAGCTTCTATTTGCGTTTTTTGTTGTGTTAATCCTTTTTTTTGCTTTCCCCCTGGGAAACATGAGCAAGCAACATGTTGCGTGGTAAAATTGATTCCCTTTTAAAACCAACCAGGAAAAAAAAGGCAAAAGGGAAGTAGCAACCTTTTCCAGTAGTGAAATCGATTCCCTGTAAAACCAACCGGGGAAAATAAAGGCAAAGGGAAGAAGCAACCTTTTCCAGTAGTGAAACTGATTCCCTTTTAAAACCAACCAGGGAAAATAAACTTGGTCCTCCAGTGGAGAGGTTAGAATAAGGGTGCCCTTTTCTCTGTAGTCTATTTTAGTAGGGGAACCCTCCCCCAAAAAAGAAACGGTAAAAGGGCACCTAGCTGGGGGACCTTGTTTCAGCAAAGGGAAGTAGCAACCTTTTCCAGTGAAATCGATTCCCTTTTAAAACCAAGCAGGGAAAATACAAATACATTCCCTTTTGAAACCAACCAGGGAAAATAAAACTACTTTCCTTTTTAAAACCAACCAGGAAAACAATCCCTTTTGAAACCAACCAGGGAACATAAAACTACATTCCATTTTAAAACCAACCAGGAAAGGAAACAAAAAACGCTTTAAACCAACCAGGGAGAACAAAAACATATATATATATATATTAAAACAAACTGCGTATTTGTTCCAGCAAAGGGAAGCAAGCCAAGAACTCGAAAAGGCTGCTTGCCTTTCTGGGCGCTGCTGGCCTTGCTCGATGCTCCTGCCGCTGCGGAGGCTCTTCACCTCCGGGGACACCCGCACGTTGATCTTCCTCAGCTGAGATACCATCTAAGGGTTTTTGTATTGCACCCTGGGAATCCAGGTTCAGGGTTTAGGGTTTAGGGTTTAGGGTTTTAGGGTTTTAGGTTTTAGGGTTTAAGATACCAGGCTTTACTGGTTGCTTCGTGGGAAAACACCTAGGTCCTCAATAAAGAGAGGTTGGAATACAGGGGCTCAAAATTCAAGAGCTAGGGCAAACCGCAGGTTTTTGTATTGCACCCTGGGAATACACCCAATCGGTATTGACCCCATGTAAGCACATTTCCGGATAAAACCTTGTTATTTTGAACCTGTGTGGGTCATTTCCCAAAGGGTGTAATCCCTCAGATACCAGGTTTTATTTGGCTGTGGCTCAAAACTCAAGAGCTAGGGCAAACCGCAGGCTTCTTATTCTACTGGTTGCTTCGTGGGAAAACACCTAGGTCCTTAGTGGAGAGGTTAGAATAAAGGGGCTCAAAATTCAGGAGCTAGGGCAAACCGCAGGTTGTTGCATTGCACCCTGGGAATACACTGGGAATTGACCCCATGTAAGCACATTTCCGGATAAAACCTTGCTATATTGAACCATCCTGGCATCATCCTTGGTCATTTTTCAAGGGTATAATCTCTCAGATACCAGGTTTTATTTGGCTGTGACTCCAAACCCAAGAGCTGGGGCTACGTGTTGCTTCGTGGGAAAACACCTAGGTCCTCCAGTGGAGAGGTTAGAACAAAGGGCTCAAAATTCAAGAGCTAGCTTGCTATTTTGAACCATCCTGGCATCATCCTTGGTCATTTTTCAAGGGTATAATCTCTCAGATACCAGGTTTTATTTGGCTGTGGCTCCAAACCCAAGAGCTGGGGCTACTTGTTGCTTCGTGGGAAAACACCTAGGTCGTCCAGTGGAAAGGATAGAATAAAGGGCTCAAAATTCAAGAGCTAGGGCAAACCGCAGGTTTTTGTATTGCACCCTGGGAATACACTGGGTATTGACCCGATGTAAGCACATTTCAGGATAGAACCTTGTTATTTTGAACCTGTGTGGGGTCATTTCCCAAGAGTGTAATCCCTCAGATACCAGGTTTTATTTGGCTGTGGCTCAAAACTCAAGAACTAGGGCAAACCGCAGGCTTCATATTCTACTGGTTGCTTCGTGGGAAAACACCTAGGTCCTCCATAAAGAGAGGTTAGAATAAAGGGCTCAAAATTCAAGAGCTAGGGCAAACCGCAGGTTTTTGCTTTGCACCCTGGAAAGACACTGGGAATTGACCCCATGTAAGCACAATTCCGGATGGAACCTTGCTATTTTGCACAAAAATCAAGAGCTAGGGCAAACCGTGGCCCAGGTTAGAATAAAGGAGCACAAAATTCAAGAGCTAGGGCAAACCGTGGCCCAGGCTTCACTTGTTCTAGGTCCTCCAGTGGAGAGGTTAGAATAGGTTGGTACCCGCTAGAGATAGGCGGGTTTTAGTCGTTGGTTCCATTTACCAAGGTGCCATTTTGGTACATGGTTTTGAGCCACAGCCACTGGTTGCTTCGTGGGAAAGCAAACATGAGCGCACAAAAACGCAGTTGATGCTCTATGGCAAAGGCTTCTGCAGCGTTGCATTCTCAATGAACGCAGAATCTCGAGTGGCCCTGTTCTTGCTGGTGCGATAGGCAGGGAATGACCGTGTTGGGAATGAACCGGTTTCGGGGAATTTCTTAAAGGAAGCCCTTGGAATGGTTTGTAGGGTTGTTCCATTTCTGCTTCTTCCATTTGCTTAAGTCCCCTGGAAAAATACACATATGTCCAGTAGTGAAATCCACTCCCTTTAAAGAAAACAAACAACAACCTAGTTATTTCAGCAACTGGACGCATTGTTTCGCTATCGCACCAATCGCAAATCGCAAGTTTTGGGAATCAGTTTGGATTGTTCAGCGGAAACAGTCCCCCTGCGGCCAGCGTCGTCAGCGCTTGGAAGATGCGAATCTTGGGCGGCGGCGGCCGCACCTTTGCGAAGGTCTTTGGATCTCGGCTAAGAAGCCCAAGGCAGAAACCCAGGAGCAGCCATGGCAAGGGCCGCATGTTCTCTTCTTTTTGTGGGAAATTTGCGCTTGACACCGGAGGTTCAAAAAGGAAAGGTGGGTGAAAGAGTGGTGGGTCTATCTCGCTGTCAAAAGCTTGGGCGCATTGAGCCTCTTCAGCGGCGACGACACATTGAAGCAAAGCTGTCAGGATCAATCTCTGGGCTGAAACAGCTGCGGAGTGTTCATCCGGTGCTTCCTTCAGATCTGCTCTTAATGCCTGACAGGAGCGCCCTGTATGTACAGTGACCATTTCGAGCCTCATGTGCCAACAAGCAATCACTTATACCTTGATAAAGGGGAGCAGAGGCACACGTGTCAGGCGGCAAACAAGTTGTGCTGAAACGAGTACTTTGAACAGCGCCAGAAATACACAGCATGTCCTAATCGCCATGATGCTGTGTTTTGTGCCCACCGTTCTTAGGGAACATATGCGATCATCTTCTGCAATTGGCATGGACCATGTCATGTCATGTGGCCCTCTCCCTACAAGCAGCCACACCTCACATAACCTTGGCCCTTTCGTGTCCATTGGGCCAGCCCTTTAAAAAGTTCGCTTCCTGATGGGTCAAAGCAAACATGTAGGAGAACGAAACCAGGCAACAAACAGGAAAGGCCGGAAATGTCAAGGGGACGGTCATGGCTCCAACACTCCAGGTCTGCTGTTCGACTCTGGCGCCTTTGATAGGTCTTGAGTTTACCTGTAGGCTTTAAAGGCTTCACACAAAAATGTATTTGCCTGGTATCAAAACGGATTACGTCAAGCATTTGCTCGCTTGCCCAAAGGACCTGGAAATAACGATTAACCTGTTGGCACCTCTACTAAAACTGGACCAAACTTGGAAAACAAGAATATCAAAAGGTCGGCATTGGGCTGAGACAAACGTGAAGCATGTGGAGGAGATCACTGGCCCCCCAAAGCGATCGATCCAAAGGCAGGGGCTGTAGAGGGCAAGCATCCTCTGAGGCGGCTTCTACGCCTAGGCCGAAGGCAAAACGCCTGCAACTCGCCTTTCTGAAGGGATGGATGTCGTTAGTTCCAGGTAGAAGCAATGGATCGAAAATACAGGGATCATCCCAAATTTTAATGCCAACTATCAACATGGTTCAAACAACGGGTATAGAAGAATTGGAAACACCAGGGTTACCCCTCCAGGGCTGGGGACCATTTCGGAAGCGGTGTCTATCAGCATGGTTCAACATCAGGGTCGCGCTACTGACACTGCTGTAGGGGTCCCGACAGAATTTGGACCCCTGGAGGTCCTTGTGGTACTGAAAGGTTCTAGGTCCTCCGTGACACCTAGGGCTCAAGCCCGCACGAGCAAACACTCCTCCATTCTCATAGCTTTCCGCCGACATCCCCAACAAAAAGAGGAGTTGTGGTGCTTGACAAAATACTGTGAATGGACGAAATCAAATCCGTTCGCACCACTTCTTGAAACCACGGTTGAAACCGTTGCTTGCTGGTATTTACAGGCGAATCATCAGACACTAGGGTTGAATTGGGGGCGCAGGTTTTGTCCATCCACAGTATCACAAGAAATCCTTTGCTCCGGGATGACACAGTCAACAGGTTGTCGTTTTCTCGCGATGTGCCTTGTGGATGAAAATCCACAAGGCAGCAACCCATGGCCATTCTCTAAAAAAAAACAGAAAGAATGCAAAAACATGTACCTCTGGACTCAAGAGCGTCCGGATTTCTTGAAATTATCCCGTTTGCTTTTTCTGCGGGTACATCGCAAATGATGCTACAACCAAAGCCCTGATCGTGGCAGCTTTTCAGGCTTCCAAGCATCGGATTCGAAATCCTGAAACTCTGGGCACGCCCTGCGTTCTTTTTGTCAAGTTCTGGGCACCTCGCTTCGACCAACGGCAAGACCGGACACCGGAGGCGGAGTGGGCACCTCGTTTCGACCGCGGGAGATTGGGAGCCCGGCTCCGCTGCAAAGCCACGGTGCGCCCTTGGGCTAAGGCCTCAGATTGGCGTCCAACATGGGAGCCTCCAGTTTTTTCCCGTGAAGAAAAAACGGGCCATATGGCTGGTGTATTGTTGTTTTTTCCCCCCAAAATGGCGCAACAAAAACAGTGTTCCCATATGGCCGGTGTATTTTGTGTTTCTCTTCCAACATGGCACCGAACGGCAATTATGTTGTGGAAACGAAGACACAAACAACCAGGGTTTGCCCCTGCTTAATCTTGGGCGACACCAAAACCTCACTTCCAGAGTGTTATGGGCCAATAATAAGTCAAACAACTACCACCAAAATGGTCCGGACACATACAGTATGAAGTCCATAAACTCAGGGAGTGAGACAATGGTTTGCGGAAAGCACTTTTGCAAAAAGGAAAATACAATGATCCTTCCCGTTAGATAGCACGGGATGTTTTGCACGTAGACAGCATGGGACCTACCGATAATGAGGTTGTTCCTTTCAAGCAAGCCCGCCGCCATTGGAATCCCATGATTCTGCATGTCGATTAAATCTCAATCAGATCTTAAAGCCTTTGAAATGCCAAGGGTCTATGCACCTGCATCTTTGGTGGCACTGCACTGTTCGTCGGCACGCCGGGGCCTTTTCTCTTCTGAGATGGGGTTCAAAAGCTAAATGGGCTTGTCTCAACATTAGGGGGACCCAACAAATTGGTGGCTTCCCTTTCACTGTCCTTTAAACCAAGCCACTTTACGGGCGCCCTACCAAAACACACACGCCCAAATACCCGCCAAAACTGCGCTCGCTCGACGCGACGCGGGCTCCGAGGCTCCCTTTCAAAGGGCACCTTCTCGCGAAACTTGCTTCGAGCTTCTAGGAAGTTGCAGGACAAAACCGACCAGCAGCCCCTCAACTGCTTTTTCACATGTCCAAAATTCCAAGTCCAAAAAGCAGCGGTGTGATGGGGCCCAAATGACCGTGGGTAACTTGCCCATTTAGTGCGGATTATCATATTTAAAGTGGCTTTCCACCAATGGTCATCCCATGGTCATGGGACCTTTTGATGAACCCCCACATCCACATCCCGTCGCCTCTTGGATTTCTTGCTTGTACTTGGAGTTCTCCCGCCAGCCCCTCTGCTCGCACATGCTGTAGCCTCGGGCCTCAGTGACGCAAAGATCACATGAAAGTTTCCACAAGACCCCGGATCTTTCGGGCTCCCCTGGGATTTGTGAACATTTCTAGCAAGGCCCCCCCATGTCCCGCACCCCACATGGGCCATACACAAAGTACTTGAAGAGCTTCCAACCGCAGATTTCGCATCTGCGCAGTCCGCTTCGGACTGGCCTGGAACCCAGCGGTTGATTCAAGGGGGCAAACCTGCGCAGGTGCAGGTCCAACTTGGGGTGGTGAGTCACAGAAACAAAATTGCTTGCCCCAATGCGCGGTGTTTGCTGCACATGCAATGGGCAGGACATTTGGAAAGTGGTCTGAATTGGCTCAGAAGGCACCCAGAGCCACGCTATCCTATGGGGAAGTCTGTGCATTTTAGGTCGATGTGTTTGCAGGTGCTGTGCAGGAAAAAGCCCCTCACACACAAAGTAAATACTTCCCTGGGCGATGAAGATGCCATGAAATGTTGCCTGACTAGTATCGGAAACTCAACCATGGCTACATCCAGGATGTCTAGTACAAACTTTGCAAGTTCAAATTTGAACTAAGCTGAGGGCCAACACACTCAGACCGTGACAAAGACACAGGCTTGGGGTACTTCAAATCGGCAGACTGATATCAGGGCCTCTCATCTTTGTCAGGATCAATTCATCCAAATAAATCTAGCAAGAACTGGCTCAGTTGGATGGATGAATTGATCCGTCAACTTCCAAGACATTGGCTGCAAGATGTTTCAAGCTTCGCTGGGCACAACTAACACCTTTCAAGGCTCCCAGGAAGACTCCTTCGTGTAGTCTTGATGGCATGACAACATGGCACGCGCACACACAGCTAGAACAAGAAGGTGTGCCTCGGAAGGCCTCGTCAAGCACGCCATATGCGCGATGCCTGAGTAAAACCCTTGCAAACGCGCCAAAAAAAGCAAAAGCAGGCACGCACAGACAAAACACACAAACAAACAAACAAACAAACAAACAAACAAACAAACAAACAATCAATCAATCAATCAATCAATCAATCAATCAATCAAAACAAACAAACAAACAAACAAACAAACAAACAAACAAACAAACAAGCAAGCAAACAAACAAACAAACAAACAAGCAACGTGAAATAATAATAACAAAAATACATAATATAACACACCAACACATGTTTTAAAGAGAAAAATATTGATAAACAAAGAAATACACAAAGAAGAAACGGGGAAAAAAACTATGCAAACATCCAAACACACCAGCATACCATTCTTAGCTCCTTTGCATGTGGCCATACATGTTTCTCTTGTGTGCCGGCTCTTGTTTGTGAATCCCCTGCAAGAAACATGGAAATACATGGCAAGGATTGGGCCCATTGATCGTGGTATTGTTTCTTTTAGGTGTCGTTGCTGTTTATACCAGCTTGGAGCACTTATCAAACCATCCGAACTCCCAAAACACGCGTTGCAGATTAAAAGTAATACTTAGTTCGTTAAAAAGTTCCGTTATTCCCGGGACACACAAACAAACGCTTCACCTTTGCGGGCCAAAAAACAAGTCAACTGGACAGGAAATGAAAGGGTAGAGAGAAGTGAGAAGAGATGGGGAGCGGCTATGAAATTCCTTGATAAGCCGCTCATAGACCAGGCCGGCCCACATTTAGAAAATTGAAAAGGCCTGGCCAGGTGTGTGAATGCGAGGAAAGCGAAGAGCGCTTCGCCTTCGCTTCGCACGCCCACCTGGAGTCTCCTTCTGCCCCTTACAAAATGGTTGGTCGTTACCAAAAAAATGGGGTCATTACCAAAAATCGTGAGTCATTCCCAACAAACATGGGGTCATTGACCCATTTTTGACTCGGGTCATGGAGACTCTACGCAACTCGAGCGCTCGAAGCCGCGCGAAGCCGCCCGCCAGCCGGGGCCCCGAGCAAAGGCCCCGGCAGCCACGGAGTTGGGCCGCGCGCCGTGGGCCGCCAGGGCGGTGGCGAAGGTCTCGGAGATGCCGTCCAGCCTGGATCGAGCGCTTGGCTCCCCCGAAGCGGATTCGCCGGAAAAGGGCGGAGGGGGCATTGCTGGGTTCTCCAGTGGAGAGGTCATAAGGGTACCAACTTTTTTCTGTAGTCTATTTTTAGTAGGGGAACCCTCCCCCAACGGTAAAAGGGCACTACTGGGGGGCCTAGGCATTATTGGCTGCTGAAGATCCGGTGATGGAGTTGAAAATCCAGTGATGTATTTGAACATCCAGTGATGGATTTGAATATTCAGTGATGGCTCGAAAATCCAGTGATGGAGTGGTGGATTTGATGGATTGTTGTGGCAGTATTTAGGATCCATTTGGCTTCGAGAAAAAACCTGAGTTAAAGACCCCCCCCGAACACGCCGCAAGGAACGGTGGTAAACGGTGATTGTCTCGCTTTAACACCAACCAAAAAGGGCGGTTCCCCTGTCGAAAAGAGGGAGAGAGAGAGAGCTCCAGGTCCAATTGGTCATGTTGACCCCTGTGGATGGTTACGAAATCCATAAAACGCACGCACTCTGAAACCATGGTTGAAACCATTATAACGTTGTGTTGGAATTTACAGACAATAAATACAGAAACCAGGGTTTCTTCGGTGGTGCAGGAATCTGTCCATCCACAGTATTAATCAACCCCTTAGTAGGGGATGTTTTTCCGCCATAAATTCATAAGGGGTTGATGAAAATATGGGGTCAACATTGTCCCTATCCCCTTGCACCTGGGCCTGGCCCAAAAGACCAAGGGCGACCAAGGGTCTGGGGCATGTTGACATTGGGGGCAACCCGCAAAAAGGCGGGTTGTTTGCAGCCAAACTCGAACATTGAACAGAACCAAACAACTAAGAAAGAATCAAACATGCCAAGAGAAGATATGTCCTCCAACCGAGAGGTTAGAATAAGGGTACCCTTCTTCTGTGGTCTATTTTAGCAGGGGAACCCTCCTCCAAAAAAGGGTGAGAAAGGGCACTACTGGGGGACCTAGTTATGTTCAAAGGGTCCCCCAAAACCCACATAAGCAGCGCGGCGACCAGACAGGCGTGATGGACTAATCTTCGGGTGAGGGCAGTTGCAATTGGGGGAAGCAGAGTTTAGCAAAATGAATGTGCTTTCTCGCAAACTCACCTTGGGAACTTTACGCCATTGCCCCCTCTCGAGAAGTTGTCAACCAGGGGTCAGGAAAGACAGGGCGGACTGATTGAAGCTGAGTGTTGAAGGTTCGCGGGCATGCCCAATTTCAAAACTCTCCGCATGCCGAGTGAATTTCAGCCAGTTCGACAGGACGCAAAAGCTTTCCTGAAGTGATTCCTGTTCAAGTGATTGCTCCCGGTCTGAAGACAAGAAACCTGCACTTTGACCCATACTAGACGTCCATCACGTATGGTACTCGTGTGCCATATGGACGGCGCCATGTCGCCAGCGAGCAGGAAACAAACAGGTCTGCATACTGCCACGAGGCAAGGAATGGAGCGAAAGCTGAGCAACTGGTCCAGGAGTCAATGCCCATCCCATCCATCCCAGTAAGCATTTCACAAGGCGATGGAAATAGATATCTTTCCAAACAAATCCAATTTTAGGAACACTTCCTTGCGTGGACATGCCACCGCAACATTTGGATCCTTCCGCAAGGTGACACAACTGGACCGTCACTTGTCCAATCATTCACCACCTTGACTCAAGCAAGCTTTTAAAGACCTGCTTCATTTCAGTTGGTTCACAGGGACCCAAAAGTAAAACTGGGTCCTCCAGTAGAGAGGATAGGACAAGCGTAGCCTTTTTTTCTATAGTCTAATTTAGTAGGGGAACCCTCCCCGCAAAAAAGGGGTTAAAAAGGGCACCTAGCTGGGGGACCTAGTAAAAGGTCCTCACCCCTTGGGGTCACCAAAAAAATGCAGCCAAACCTCCAAATTGGTCCGCGCCGGTCGCTAATTCGTCGGCTCCGTAAAACGGCTCCGGCCTGAGCTGGTCCCCGATCTTGGCCAAGACCCCGAAGAAGGGCCACCCTGACTCGATGATGTCCTCGTGATCGTCGAGTTGTTTTTTTTTCCGGCCGAGGCGCAGGGAGAGAACGGGCGACCGTTTGGATCCCGTTTGGATGGCATTGCAGTAGAAACCACACGGAAAACGAGCAGGTTTGGGTTCAGGGTTCCTGTTTTAGCCTGGAGTCTCCTTCTGACCCCTAGGAAAGGGGTTATGTATGACCCCTGATTTGTTGTAATGACCCCATTTTTAAACGGTCATGGAGACTCCAGGTACCTTGTCAGAACTCTTCGATTTGCTTCACCCCCCCCCCATATAGAACGTAGTTCTATAGCTAGGTTCCCTTTAGGGACAATCAAACATATTTCAGCGAATGGAAGAATTTGGGCCCCTGTTGGTGGGGAACCCACCACGCAAAAGAAAACAAGGGATGTGTGCCATGTATCAAAGCGGACACAAGCGTGTTGGAAGACTGTCATTGTAACACAAACATCGTGGCCGGGAGGTCATTCCAGGCACTCCCGTTCAACAAGGAGCCCTTACACTTCTCATTTACCACAATCTGGGTGAATTATAATATTTCACCAACCTGAAATAAGGTGGTTGGGGGGAATATTGGGGGATATTCCCCCCATAGACCACCATTTGGGGTGAGGTCGTGTGAGGTCGTTATAAATCACCCAGCACAATTGTAACTCGATCAGGACAAAGTCCCATTAACTCAGCTTACCCACACGAACCAGGGATTAAAATCTCCGAACCGATCCAAACCGATCCAATTGGGGGTGACCTACAATAATGGTATGTTGCCAACCCAAATTGCGGTGGGGGTCGGGATGTCCCTGTAGTTCGACAAACTTGTACAGTCAGGCGGAGTATACAGGCCCCTATTTTTGTTTTCAAGGTTTTAGAACTCTGTTTTGCGAAACTACTGCCATAGCACAGAGCGTGACACAATTGCCCAGCCTGAGCAGATTGATGTGAAATGCTTGTGACGGTGTCTTGTACGAACTGTCCGGATCTCTCTATTCTGCTCAATGAGCATGTCACACAAATTTGTTTTTTCTAGCATTCGCTTTGTCAATTGCTGAAACCAGGGATGCTGAAACATTGTTGTGCATGGTGTCAAATAGCATGCCATGCATGACTTTCTAGTTGAAGCCCAGCCTGGGTTGTATGCATGAAACCTGTATCACCATGAGAGCATATTCACATACACACACATACTGGAGAGCATGTGCTGCGTCATTCTCGTGACCAACGCCTGCTTCTGGATTCGGGGCTAGACGTAGTTGGGGTTGAACAACATTGTTGTATGCGTGCTTGTATTTCAGCAGCATCTTCTACACCAAGCCATTTGACATATGTTGTTCAAACGACAATGCGCAACGCATTGTAAACAAGAAGCCTCATTGTATTATAGTTCGATCAACAAGCAGCTAGAATACAGTCTAACACGTTGCCCGGGCGTCCCGCTCCCAAAAAAGGTACCATGCACCACCAAAATGGATCCCCAGCTTTCCCTGTAGCATCAAGTCTGGGAGGTCCAGGAAATGTCAACGCACCTCCTGAGCGGATTGGCCAGGAAAACTGGAAGGATTCGGTTCCAACCCTGGATTGAACATCAACCACCCACCTGTGTTTAGACACCCTTTGTGTTTGTTGTTTAAAGGAGGGCCTGTTTTTTCACCAGGGCCAGTCCTTTAAAGGGAAGCCCAAGTCGAAGGGGGGTGAGGCAAACTCTCCCAACTTCTCCACTCCATCCGCCGACGGCGGAGTAGCGCACCGCACCGCTGAGGCGTGCGCCGAGAAGCCCAGCCGCAACTTGGCCAGGTCCAAGAGGCCGCGGCCCCACTTCCTGATGGCCTCAAAACATCGGAGCATTTGCTTCCATTTGGTTCAGACCCCTGGAAAAAACAAAATCAAACACATATGTCCAGTAGTGAGAAGTTCCATCTAACACCAACAAGGGACAAAAAACACAAAATATTGTTGAGCAAATGGAAGTGTGCGTCGTTTTTGGAGGATGGCTTTAAAAGGAAACCAAAGGGAGAGCTGACTGGGCTCCTGCAAATAGACACACCCATTTCGAGCTATGGTTTTGGATGGATGTGAGAATGTACCACCAATCAGCTCATTAGCGTTTAAACATATATACCCCTTATATAAGTGGTGTATAGCCTCCGTACCTCCAAAACACATACCAGAAAATGCCCTTGATGAAATGGCAACGGTGTTCCTTTAGCTTCCAAATACCAAAGAACGGGTCCAAATCAAAGGGACCTCTGAATCGCGTGGATTCCTTTGATTTTCCTTTTGATTTCCTCTAAATACCAACCAAAAGGAATCGAATGTTAAGTGGGGATTGTGGTTTTCCTTTTGGCTTCCCTAAAGTGAGGCACACCCTCAAAAAAAACACCAAATGGGAATCGGCTCCCTAGATGGCTTCGGAATCATTTTCGTTTACCCTGAGCCTGTTAAAACAGAGGTCAACATGCCATTAGAGAATTGCATTTCAAATCCGGTTTATGTGTCTCAAACTGGGAAACTCGATACTGTGTATTTATTGTCCGCTTTGTTTTTGGCGGGGGGGTCCTTTAGTTTTCCGGCAAGGGTATGATAAACAACATCAAACAAGACCCACCCATGTAGTCGAACCCCCCTTCGGCAACTGTGACATATTGTGCTTCCATTGGCGGCAACTCATCATTCCTAGAGGGGTTCCACCGAGAAATTCAGTGACGCTGTGTCATTATTGACGCTGCGTCATTAGAAATGGCAACCTTGACGTAGTGATTTAAAGAATCCAGAAACGCGTCCATTCCTGATCGCCACAATATTGTATGTCCAGACAAATTAATGCCTGTCTTCTCAAGCGGATCGAACAATCAAACGCACACAGGCACGTGTCTCAGACTTGGGTCAGCTGGCATTTGGTCTTCTCGTTCAGCTTAAACCCCGCTTGGCAAGGAAATTCGAAGCACTCCGACAAGGAAACTGAAGAAACTGCTTCCAACGAGATAAGCAGGTGACCGGCAATCCATCCAGGCGTCTGGCAGGTTCCCAAGTTCAGGGGCTCCGTTCCCACTGGCGCTTCTTAGGAACTCATGGTCACGGGATCATCCTGTACACCTCAACGGTTGGATTCCCTGCAACCTGGCCTTTCCAAAGTGTGACGTCTCCTGACTGCCGCTCAAAACACAAAGCACGTGGCAAGTGCCGCTAGAAATCATGCCTGCAGAAATGTTTCTCACCAGGTCCCTTGCTCTTTCCCGGCAACTCTTGATTGACGTTGGAAGGGGAGCAACAAAAAATAAGTTTTAGCAGTTAAGTGGTTGGATTTCAACCACTAAACCACAATGAGCAAAAATGCAAAAAATGTTTCCCAACAAAAACCATGTTGAGGCGGTTTATCCCCAAGATGTGGAATTCCACCTCACTTATCCCAACAAAAACCATGAACTCCCCCCAAATGTTCAGAAGCGGTTGCCCTCTCTTTCCCTACTTGCATCTGGGCTCCCCGGCCAATTCGTGAATCCGCATGTTCTTATCCTGGCCCGTCAGATTGGGCCACACGGAAAGCGACTCTCCTTCGTTATCAGATGTGAAGCCCAAAAGGGCCAATCCATGGAGGAACAACTCCTTGTCCTTTCTTGGGTTCCATGTCGATGTGATTTTTTGTAGACGAAAGGCAATCAGTTTCTCAAGATGTCTCAAGCTGATTCAACTGACCGCCCGGGTCGTTCCGGTCGGTGATCACAGCTCGTATCCGAAGCAAGTCCCCTCTTCAGTGGCCTTGCCAGCAAAAGGCAACACTTTGGGAGGACCACCCAAAAGTGGGTTTCAAAGCCAACAGGGGACCAAACATCGAATTGCCACGGAACTAGCCAAAAGGTCGATGGGTGAAGTGCCTTCAAAACCCAGACCTCATCTGCGACTTCGCACTGGCTTGGGCTTGAACCATGGATGCAACCTCTTGCACCTGTTCCAATAGAAACCCTTCTTGGTTTTTAACCGGAAACCGCCCGGAAAGCCGAAGCCATGTTGTGGTCCTCCCCGCCCCCAAAAAAAACGTCCGAAACACTCAACACAAAACAAACAAACGCAGGCCTTTCTGGGGTGCCTGGGCTTGTGCGATCGAAATCAAAGGGAAACCGCCCTTGTAAAACCAGAAAAAGGGTTTAAAGTTCCGACCCCCCTCCTCACTGACCGAGTGGATGGCCCAAAACAAGTCCAAATTGTTTGTTTACCGCGAAAGTGGTCTTCCCACAAAGTATAAAGTCCATGAACTCACATAAAGCAAAGAAAAAGAGTCCCGAACCGCGCCAGAAAGGGACAAAAACACAGGGATGAACCAAACACAGTTCATTCCCCCGGTCCAAACTCGTGGTTTTGAAACCCAAGCGCCGAAGCGCTCGAAAAAATCAAACCCAAAAAAACAACGAAAACGGCAGATCGGGGCCTGGGCGCCGCAGAGCAAGGACAAGGACCTGACGCAAAAAAATGTCTTGACCCGAGGCTTGGGACTGGGTCAGAGCGCTGCGAGGAGATTTCTTGGGGAATTTCCGGGGCGGGTTCTCCCAGTGGAATTGACGAGTCTATACCTAGGTCCTCCAGTGGAGTTAGAATAAGGGTACCAACTTTTTCCTTTTTTGTCTATTTTAGTCAGGGGAACCCTCCCCAAAAAAGGGTAAAAGGGCACTAATTACTGGGGGACCCTTGATACGTGACCTGAGGGCATGGGGTGGTGGGGTTCGCCCATTCATTTTTGGCATGTTCAAGCACCATTCCTCTCTTCCAAATTTCTCTAGCTGAACTGTAAAATCCTCGGAAAACCGCCAAACAAGAAATCCCAAGACAAAGATAATACAAAGAGATACAACAGTGGGCTGTTACCTCTATACATAACCAAAGGGAGGGAACCACCCAAATCAAAAACCCGGAGAGGGTTACCTACTAGGGCAACTGGGATGCACTGGGTTTAAGTATGCGGGGGTTAAGTGCTTTGAAACCAAACTCGAACAGAATAATGTGCGTAGGCTTGCTTTTCGGCCTACTTAAGATGAATCGACCCCATGGGACGAAATTGTCCCCCTGCCAAGTCAATCCTGTCAGGCCCACAAGGTTTGGCCATGTTTTGCATGAAATATCCATTTTTGGCACCCACCCTTAACAAAGTAGCATAACGCCATGAAAAACAGACATGTAAATGTAACAGCCAACCCGACATAAAACACAATGTGTTCTTGTACTTTCATATTGATGTCCTATCGGCCTGAGAGGGAGTTCCGCAAAAGGAATGGCCGGATTCAAAGCGCATATATGCAATACCCTGCCTTTGGAGCATTTGAGCGAACACAAATCACCCATGCCCATGAACATGAAATCCAAGCCTAGCCCATTGGAGAATCAGAGCAAACCGCTCAGTTCAAGAAGCCCAGTATCCCTAGATCCTCCAGATTTGAGACGTTAGAATAAGGGTACCACTTTTTTGTTTTTTGTCTATTTTAGTAGGGGAACCCTCCCAACCAAAAAGGTTGGTACAAGTTGGCACCTAGCTGGGGGACCTAAATCCATAATCCGCATCCTGCTGCGAAAGCGTGCCTGAAAAGCATGAAGCCAATGGGGCACTGCTCGAAGAGGATGCTGCAGTTCCCACATTCGCACTCGCCTGGAGCCCGCTCAACGAGCATATTAGCCGACTCTGAGGAAATCAACACTTCTAGGGGTAACTTCCCCATTCCTTCCCGGGATCCTTCTTTCTATAAAACCACCCAAAACCCTGGGGAAATGGATCCGGTTTTCGAGAAGAACGATGGCTGAAAACCAACACTGCCCAGGTTCGCAAGGAACCTCCTTGTCGGTCAGGGCGTTGAGAGGCTTGGGGGCTCCGGATTTCTCCTCACTTCCTCGATAAAAAAAAAGCCCACGGTAAGCCGACCTTTGCAAAGAACAAAAGCAGTATAGATGTTGCTTCCTCAAGAAGTTTTTATACGGGTCTGTCCCAAAAGGGGTACCCCAAAATGGGTAGTCGTCTTTTTTGTTTTCCTTTAAAACCACTCAAAGTGGGGCACCTCCAAAAAACGACGCCCCCATACACCCATCTGTGAAATGTATTTTGGGACGTGCTGACATGCTTCTTGCTGTATGGAGAGTGCCACAGAATTCAGAGTCAATAGGCAATGCACACTGTTGCGTTCTGGCACAGTGGTTTTTACTGGTGTGTGTGTGTGTGTGTGTGGGGCGTGGCGTTTTTGAGGGTGCCCCAGCTTTTCATGGTTTTAAAGAGGAAACCCAACAGGAAAACCACTTGGGTTTATAGGTGGGTTTATAGAGATTTGCAGCGGCTCATGGCTTGTTTGTAGGGGTTTAGAGTGACTCTGAGATGCCAGTGATGGCTTCAGCGAATATTTTCACGGGAGATTAGAGTAGCTGCCTCGTTGTGATGTCCCAGTGCCGAGTGAGGCACACCTTCTTCTGGCTTCCAAGACACATTGTGTTAGCAAAACTGAGGGTCCAAATACGGTTGAGGTAGCTGGCAAACCTGAAATTCCCAGCTTGCCCCCTAAAACTGGCATTACCCCCCCTGGATTAGTGGAATTGAATTTCTGGCTCTTATAAAGAGTCATATGTTCCCCCCTATTGATAAAGGTCTGGTCTCCCTAATAATAAAAGTGTGCTTCGGAAGTCCCGAATTCGGGAATGCTACTTTTAGAATGGCCAATACTAAGCCAATTCTAAAGTAGGCATTTTCCTGCCCGTATTCAAACCCAGCCCTATTAGGGGGACCCGGGAGTACATTCCTTTACTACGGTCGTACTACAACGACTTTCAAGCCAGAGCTCCGGGAGCACGTTTGCTTTAGTACGGTCGTACTACAAAGTTTCGACTTTCGAGCCGGAGCTTGAACTTCTGCTGTGTAAACTCCTTGCTCGGCAATGGACATTTGATGCGATTTCACAGCCCGGAAAGGGGGGGCCGCAGTTGCAAACAAGCTTGCAAAGAACATGAGATACCTCCAAAACGTGCCCTCCAGAACCAGGAAATTCCGGGAAGAATATTTGTTGCGTTTTATTATTAGGGGGAAGGGATTAAATGGGAAACCACCCCTAACCCCCAAACCAACTAAAGTAAAGGGAAGCTGAAAAGCAAAGCTTATACCCCCATTCCCCGTTGAACATGCGGAAACCCACCTGGCCAAAAAGACTATGTTGAAAAGACAAAAGAAATCCTGTGAACCCTCCCACATCCCAGGAAGCCCACTATAGTAACCCTTCCCAGTGTTCCTAGAGTTTGTTTTGCAAAAAAAAGGCCAAGCCCTCGGTAACTGGAATCACTGGGCCTGATCGAGACCCCTCCATTTCAAGAAAGGAAACGGAAAAGCGGGTCAAACAATCAAGTCCTGTCAGCTCTCCACATTATCCGAAACCCGGGGTGGGAAAAAACAAACAAAAAGGTTGGTCCAGTTCCGCACCTCTACCCATGTTGTTCAAGCCAAAGCCCAAACCACCGGGTCAAAACAACACACAAGTCCCGTGAGGTTCCGAGCACATCTCTCGCCGACCGAAGGCACCGCACCGCGAGCCGAGCCTATCTCCGATCGATTTCTGGGGCCCCGAGCAGCCCGTGGCATTCCACCAGGCGGGGCAAATGAAGTCCAAGGACTCCTGGCCCTGGCGCTCCGCGGTCGTCGAGTCGTCGAGTCGTCGAGTCAAGCCGAAAAGGCTCCGATCGAAGGTTCCGAGGTTCCGTGGTCATCCCCGCTGTTTTTCAGTGACCCTGGAAAGAAAGGGAACCCTTTTTTGGGAAGACCATTTTAGTGGGGCAGCCAAAACAAAAAGGGAAAAAGAATTGGAGCCACTGAACAACTGAGCTCCAAAAGGGCTCCCTGGGGCCACCGTCCAATTTTCTTGACGCTGGGTTTGGGGAGCAAAAATTCTGGAAAATTTTAGCAGTTAAGTGGATTTGGAGTTCAACCACTCAACCACAATTTGCGCAAAAATGGGTTCAAATGTTTCCCAACAACAACCATGATTTGCTCCGAAATTTGGGGGGGAATTGCAAAACGCCCCGAAAAGAGGCTTCTTTGTCTTAATCCTCCAGGTAGTCATACACCTTGTTCCCAGTCCCAAAAAGGCATTGGAGGTTTTGAGATCCCAAGAAAGGGTTTCCTGGCCGAAAACTCCGGCAGTCCAATTTGGGTCTTTCTCCGAGCTCCCCAAATAGGGAGCTAACACAAAATGGGCGTTTATGAGGGTTCTCCCCCATTTTATGGAGCTCTCCAATTTTGGCCTCAAGTGGCCTCAAGAGGTCCTCAACTTTTGAGTTGGAGTCTACCTTTTGTGCCTGAGAAATCCGCGCCAGAAAAAGCCATTGGCCCCACAAACACCCCAATGCGGGGGGGGGGGGAAAAATAGATCTCTCAAAAGGATATCCCGCAGAAGGGGTTCTGGGCTTCCATGTCGGGAGTTCAAGCTTGCTCGGTTTTTCGAAAGGGAGACCATTTCTATGTTTTGTTTTATGGCAGTGAGCTGTTCAAAGACTTAACGTATATTGTCAATCCCTTTCTTTTGGAGAATGAAACCCTCTGGAAGAGAAAAAGGCATACCTACCTTGTGTGATCATATTTCTGCCTGTCTCTGTCTGTCTATCTCCGTCTGTCTGTTTGTCTGTTTGTCTGTTTGTCTGTTTGTCTGTTTGTCTGTTTGCCTGTCTGCCTGT